CTGGTCCGAAACCAACGCCAAGCGCCGAGACATTGGCAGCCTTCGCTTCTAGTAGTCTGACTGCCCGGGGAGAACGAAGAAGGTTATATCGCCTGAATTCAAGGGCCGCACGACTACAGGATTATGAATGATGTTCTGGTTGGAGGGCTTGCTTCTGATGGGAGAGGCTGCAGCTACAGGGCAGGTCTTGAAGCTGTAGTCGAGCGATCTGAGTGGACTATTTTCGTATGAAGCGGGCCGGACCGAACAACGTCGAGAGCGCGTGTATGTCATGGAGAGAAGTCGGTAAGATTTTGGTAGCGCGAGGTGATGGAGGTGAACTGTTATGCTCATTTTGTCCACATCCACGAATGCAAATGTTGCCGGCAACTCCATACTTCTCTACAAGGCAATGGAGAGTGCAAGTGAGACTGCGTGAGTGATGGTGTACGGACATGTCACCAGATCCCACCTGCTTACATTGGTACATTAGAGTAAGGGTCTGTTAGGCCAGCTTCACACATTGGATACAAGGCAGTTTACAGGTACAACAAAGTCTCTAATGATGCGGGTGTATCTGTAGATTGTATCTCCGATCCAACTCAATCTCCATTGCCCAGTCCGCTTCCAAAGATCTTGTCTATCCTCGTCGCCCTCTCCCATACTATATCACCCCTTCCGTCCTCACCACCCTTCCTCTTGAAATATAGTATCCGGTGCTGAGGTATGAATTCCTCGTCTGTTTGTTCAGTCTTCCATTTCTCGAGTCCGGTCTCCTTTGCGCCCAGGAAACGGTCCTCATATCCAATAATGTAATCACTCGGATCAAGACTCGGATCCCAACGTAGCCGATTGAGAACGTCGGATGCAGGACGTAGTTTGGTACTCGATAAAGGCTTCGACGTAGGCTTTGGACGCTGAGGTATCGCACGCTGAGGCTTTGTGTCATCAGCATCTTCGGTGTCTTCGTCGATAATGTCTTCTTCGTCATCCGAGTCTGAATCCAATTCCGTGGCATAGATTCCCCACTCCCGGTCATCCAGCTGCAAATCCCTGACTTCGCTAGACCTTACTAGCGATGCATCAATCCACGAGATGTTTGGGTCAAAGTTCTTCTCGTCGGTTCGCAACTGCGTTAGGAAACGATCCAGCACCTTGTCCAAAGCCTGCTTGGCCACCTGCTTCTCCTCCGCACTTGCTGCAGAAGCGGTCTTCTCAGCTTTCGAGAGTCCGATTAGGTAACATCCTTGGTAATCTTTACCATCGTCGACATCTTTTGAGTCGCTATCGGCGAAGCGAGCGGGCCAGATCTGTACTTCGGAGTTGGGTATGGCTTTGTGAATGTCTATCAAGATCAGTATATCGATTAAATAAGGAGTAGATGTATTAGAGTGCTTACCTATGACGAGGGATATGCACCGAGACTCAACCCAACCGACTAAACTCTTGCCCTTTGCTAGCGTTCGGCCCCAAAACTGCATGTCAATCTTGATGAAATTGTTGTAAGCGTGGAGAAAGTCTGCAACTCCATGCGGGATGTTCAATTCCTGTCTCGGAGCTGAGGGGGCACCGAAGAACGTCTCCCACGTAATGCCTGGCTCGCATAGCTGCTGCTCAGCGTTCCTGAAGGCCTTGACTAATAATTTCAGACCGGGAACAGTAGCCGTATGAGCAATGTTGGAGTTGGGTGCATGATAACCCAGCACGACCATTGGTTCTCTTGTGCTGCGGTAGTAATGCGGTCGCTTTTTGTGGTAAATGGCATCGTAGACGATGTCGTTTGTCCAGTCAAAGTGAGCGTAATGGTGAAAGAAGCTTGTGACTACGTCTGCAGCCGTGACTGAGCCATAGTCATGTCCAAGCTTCTTGCATACCCAGGACAACATGAGGGTGATGTGGACGCCACCAAGAAAACCGAACTTTGCACTGTAGATTCCACGCTGAACAGCCCATAACTTAATACAGCGATACGCTAGGCGGAATGCGGGAAGTGATGGCAGTGTACGTTGTATGTACAGTAAATCGCGGTACGGCTTGAGTTTGCGGAGTGAAAGAACAGAAAGGTTGAAGATCGGATCGGATGCTGGAATATTACGGAACTCGTGCCAACTATTTGCTATGTGTCAGAACTATTGCGGGATAATAGCGAAATGAAACTTACCTTTCGACAACTAGAGGGGCAGGACAGTACTGTAAATCCATGAGTATCTCATTGACGGATAGCTCAAGCATGGTGCCAGTACTAGCTTCGACCTTACGCAAGATCCTAATACCCTGACTCTCGGCTTTGGAAAGCCGTTGCCGAGCAAGCTTGAAGAATGTCTTGGAACTAATGGTTCCAATGCAAAGGCAGTCAATATCTGAGTCTGCCGTCCATACACCCAGTGCATACGAGCCAACTGGTACTATGACCAACGGTATGTCAGGTTGCGCTTGGTTTGAATCCTCCGATGTACCAAGTAGGACATTTTGAAGGCTTGCGAATGCGTCGCGCCATTCGCCAGCTTGTTTCTCGTTCGGGAACATACCATGTGTTTCAAGTACGGAGTGCAAACTCGTGGTGTCTGCCAGGACCCCCGCTGCTCGCCTGTGTTCGATGATAAGCTGCTTTGATGATAGATCCTTATTCACATCATTCGATACCGCAGCATCCGTCGACTGAATCCTTGCTCTTACACCATAATGGTCGCTAGCAACGACCTGCTCGCCATCGATCATTTCCGGAACGCCGAAATGGTTGAAGTGAACTATGCGGAGCGATTCTTGCGGCTTGAATAATATCCTATCATAGCGTTGCGGGCGATCGTGGGAAGTGGTCGTAGTTCCAGCAGCAAGCCGGTTGTTCTGGGGGTCGAATGTCGCTCCTTCTTCACCCTCGAACAGGTCACCAGACTCAGTAACACTTGTTTGGTCAACCCCTTCGACACGCGCGACAGACCATGCATCAGATAATCCGGCTTCGCGGATCTCGTCCTCGATCGCCGATAGTGTCGATACAGTCTCGCTGGATATGGACTGGTTCTTGACCGATAAGTCGATGGTGTAGGTCGATGTGACGAGGTTGAAATCTCCAGCAACAACCCATGATTCACGCTTGTAGTGTCGCTCCAAGTAACGTGTTAGAGTTCCCATTTGAGATTTCTTGGTAGCAACTGAGCCGTCAGTAAGACCCGCAGTCAGGTGCACTCCAGCAACAACCAAACCCTCCGACTCCACAGAGCTGGATGTCACAACGCCATTAAATTGTGCGATAAGGGCGCTCTTGTGCTTGCGATGGAAAGAGACTGAGTGCCAGGAAAACGGGTAGCGGCTTAGGATAACGACGTTCCGTAGACTAGGAAGGGGACCGAGATCGTTCTGGCAGGGTGGTCCATGTGAAACAAACGGATATCTTTGGGCGATCTGCATGACATCGGGACTATTCCGCAGTAGGTAGCTAAGGAAATCATCGGAAACTTCTTGTAGCACAAGTACATCGGCTTCCGCTGAATTGGATAAGATTGTGCTGACAATCAATGGGTCGCGATCATGGTCTGGCGGATACTCGGTGTCCACCAAGACGTTGTAGCTCGAAACAGTGAGTTCTCTGATTCCAGTCTGGCCCTTATCTCCATCTGTGTATGCTGACCATTTGTTTTCAGTTGGATCAAAGCAGAGAGCAGGTTCAGCTAGCACCTCGTGATCGTCAGATATAATCTCTTGTTGACCTGCATCGCTATCAGATTGAAGCGTAGGCAGATTTGAGTTCGGCGTTTTCACCCAATAGTCCGAGCTATGAGGTTTCCAGATGTCACTCGGAGCGCCGATATCGATGGTTCCATACAGACGCATATGATCCGTTGAGAGTGTTCCAGTCGTCCTTTCGCGAATCAAGATAGCAAGCGTGCCGACGCGGAACCGCATATCCGGCAGTAAACGCGCCTTGCGTAGGAGGTACGACTGCGATATCAAAGGATTGCCCTGTGTTTGGCCAACAGTAAGATGTGCGGTAGATCGAGCAGGTCCCTGTCCTAAAGCTCGTAGTACGATCGTTCGCAGTGAAACGAGAGGCGAGTCGACATCCTCGCCACCGTCGTCGGTAAGATAAACGTTCATGTTGTTCTTTTGAATGAATGCACCCGCTTGAACTAGTTCTATGTCGATCGGAGTCTCTTGGTCAAGATTCTCTGCCAAATACTCTCGAATTTGTTGTTGTGCTCTTGGGAGCTGCTCAGGTGCCACGAAAGGGTAAACAAGGTTGACGTGCGGTGGCCACTGCAGATGAGAGAAAGAAAAGTCAATGTATGTTTCTTGTATCATGAGTTGGTGCAGGACTTGCCCTTCCGTAAGCCTTGTCGTAAAGTTCCCGCAAATGGTCAACGTGACGGCATTGAGAGATTGGTGGAATAATGCACAACGCAGTGTCGTATGATGTCGTTGACATCCTAGCTGGAAGTAAAGATTGTTCGGTAGACGCCATAATCTGAATGTAAAAGATGCACGGAAAGCTATTGCAAGGGGTATATTGAACGCGTGATAAACAACTTCGGTATTGATGGTCCTGTGCTCTTGTGATTCTCCAGAGACCTTTATGTCTTGTATAGTAAATACGACCAAACACTGTACTCCACCTGTTGTATCAGTCTACTTCCCGATCGGGTGGAATGTATGACTCTGGAGGTTGCTGAGCCTCATATGTGAGGCACAGGCCAGGTGAGCAAAAATGAGTCATTTGCGCTAACCAGAAGCAGGTCTTGCGCCACAAGTGATGAGTGCATCCAAGTAACATATCCACGAATGCGCAGTCTTGTTGGAGGACTACTCGCGGCAGCATCATCGGCGTAATTTGAGGTGACTCCTACAGCATCGAGAACTGTCCGTGCCTAGGTGAGATGAGAGCAATGCGTTGAAGCTGTCCAGCTCGAACGGCCCGAGGCTCAAGTGGGGCCGACGCATCATAGGTTATGGTACACGAGGCGCCGCGAACAGCCCGTAAACCTTCGTTTACACGACACTGTCGCAATCTCTAGCAGACAGCGGCTATGGTTGGCCTACTGGATCTACCGAGTGAGCTACTCTTCAACATCATCCACATTGTGCTGTCGTCACCGATTGTGCAGTCAGAGAACGGCAAGCGCTATCGAACCAGCTGGTGGAACACCACTGACCGCAATCTGTACTGCGTACTCAGCCCGGATCACTCGAAACGCCCGAAAGCTGTAGACCTACTACTTGTCAGTCGGAAAATACAGATAGAGACTACAGAATATCTATCAAAAGCGCCAAGAAACTTCGAAATCGACATCGCGGTTGTCGACGACCATTGGCTCTGGCCAACACGACGCGTCATTCCCGTAAGAAAGCTTGACGAAACCATCGAAAGGTTAGACATCAATATCATTCCATGCTGTACAGAAGGACAAAGGGCTCTGCAAACGGGTTGGGACGACTATATGGGGCCAAATATGTTTGATCTGTCCATGGGCAGCTTCGTCCCGGAAGCACTACTAGCCCCACTATCTTACTTCTTGCTCTATCCACAAACGGATGTATGCATTGACAGGCAGATATCGAAGATATTCCGGGGGTTGGAAATTTGGCTCGACCCACCTTCAGATGCTCGTTCAAATGATCAATCAAACAATGACCAGAATCTGCCTGTCACTCGGATTAGTACTGTCGCAATATTCGTCAGTACATTGGCATATGGGAACGGTAATGAGGTTTTAAGCCTAGCAGCAGTGCCTTCACGGAAGATACAAGGTCTAGCCCACCTGGATTTCGAGCAGCTGTATCCAGTTGACCGTGCAAAGTCAGAACGCTACCTACGTGGGCTGAGCAGCTATATCGAGCAGTGGGCTCGCTATTGGAGTACAGAAAGAGTAGGACAAAGAATTGGTAGGATACAGTTTTACCTCAACGAAGAGATATGGAAGGAGCTTGATTTCGAAAGTTGTGTCACGGACATCTAAACCATAGCTTGCATTCCACAGGCGTGCCCAGCCATCCCGCCAGTATTTTACCACCTTTGGGAGCACGACGTGGTATTCCCAGCCGCTTTTCGCGTCCCTAGAACGCGAACGATGCCCAAACTCTTCAATCTACCAAAAGAGATGTTCCTCGACATAGCGGGCATGAATGTGTCCGCACCGTGAGTTGCTATTATTTGGGTCGCTGAGCGACATTAATGCAATGATAGCGTTCAAGCCGCAAGACACGCTACAGTGATTTGGAAGTCGTCTAGAAGAGTGGTGCTAAACATCGCAAGAAGCTGGAGCCGAGTATGCATGACGGATGCTACATAGTATAAGTCTCGTGGCTTGTTTTGCAGTACATCGTAGGCAGATCACCTAGCATTGGATTGATCGGATTCGGATTCGGATAGCGGCATTGAGATCGACGGGGCGATTATCCAGAGCTCTTTCCTACGACAGCCACTCACTGCTCGCGCAATCGGGTGTTCGTGAGAAAATCGTTTGGCGGAACCTTAGCTCATCTGTCGCTTAGGCTGCTGAAACAAGCTTCACCATGATCGACTCGAAAAGCAAGCGTTGGCGGCGGGTGGGGCTTGTCATCTTGCAATTATCCGCTCTGGGATCGAGCGATGCTGCAGCCACGTTGAAAATCCCATTGGAGATCAGCAAGGGTCTGGCCTATACTGGACTCGTTGCATGCGATTTTGGGGCACGTTCAAGAAAAAGCATGGGAAAGATGTTGAGTGACGCACTTCACGTTAGCTTCGTCACGTGCTGCGCTCCCCAGCCACCAATCATACCTGCATTGTGGCTTAGCGTTTGAGAACTAGGCAATACCATGACGCGCCTAAGAGTTTTGTAAAGGCAACATGTCTTTGTGCAACAAGCGCAAGAACATATCCGCGGTTCCAGGTTTGGTTCGGGTGCAGGGTGGCTGACAATGACGGTGACGATGAGTGACGATTGTGTCAAACGAGCAAGAAGGGTCCTTCGTGTCACGTCGCACTCACCTCGTCTCCAGCGCTATAAGACAGTTGCCCAACACACTTTCCAACTGCCTCGAACATCAGTCAGCGAACATCTCCAGTCCAGCATCACCATCAACGTCAATACCTAAAAGCGTTTCATCATGGTTCGTGCCCAGCAGCCAATTGACGGTCCAGTCGACTCTTACGCCATCGACAAGCGACAGCAAACCGGCCTTCTCACGCGTTTTGTTCCCGACAAGCTCAAGAACACCTCTTTCTACCGCTGGTTGTTGCGTCTCACCCGCGTTCTTCAGCTTGTCTCGTCCGCCGTCTCTCTCGGCATCTTCAGTCAGCGCCTATACAAAGTCTACCGTCTCGTCAACAGTGTCAAGACACGACGCGGCGTGAACGGTGCCTATGGCGCTGTGGAAGGCATCCTTGCTGCTGCTGTGCTATATACCCTGATCACTATGCTGCTGTCCTGCATCAAGAAATCCGCCAACCCCGGAGGTAGAACATTGAGGTGGATCTGGGTACTTCTCGACCTGCTCTTTGTCGGTGCATTCATCGCCGTCACGGTCTTGACACGCCCAGATGGCGGCCTCGCTGGCGCCAGGCACTGCTACAACCCTAGGCGTCTTGCGAACGGCACAAACCCTAGCACTATTACTGGCGAGACAGCAAGCCGCGATGACTCTTGCAACTTGCCTTGGGGTACTTTCATCTTGGCAATCATCAGCACGTAAGTTCTCCATATTCCAAAGTTCTAGTAGCAAGTCTTAACCAGCTCTTAGCCTCCTTCACGCTATCACCGCCTCTTTCCACGAAATTAAGGACTATCGCCGAAGTCACAGGCTCGAACAGGAAAAGGCCGCTCAGCAGCACAACGAGATGGGAGCTGACGGCGCTCGTTATTGAGCGTGCATCTACCGGACGTGCAGATAAAATGGCTTGCATAATTCTCTCTTCTCCTCAATCTGCGACTAAACAAGCACGGTTTTGTAAAGTGGGTTGGTTGCAGCCTTAGTATAATGCTTTTCCACGAAATTCAAGTTTAGCGATGGCGTAATTAGGTCGGGTATCTCTACCTACTGGGCAAGAGTCTTCAGTATGAAATTAATACGATACGAAGTAATCGCTTCCATTCATAGATACCAAGTGTGGTAGACAGTCTTCAACGTGCTCGTATATCAGCATTCGTTACTCGCGCGTTGTGATCAATTTGCTGGCCTATGCATCGCTCAACACAGCCTTCTCAAACCTCTCTGCCCACCCTCCAGAACAGATTCCTCCAAGCCAATATCCTCCCCTCGCGTCCTTACCTACACAATTTCCAATACCACCTGGGCCTACACCTGAACCACTTGCCCGTTTGTCGGTGCCGTACACATGAATATATGTGGGCTTGCCAGTAGTTGGCTTACCGACAGGCCCGCCCTGGTTGTCGGTGCGGGGAACAACTGCAGCGCTGAAGTTGATTTCAAACAACTTGGCCTTTGCCCAGTTAGAGACTACGAACACTGCTGGCGCCATTTGCGCATCCGGTGGTGCCATGTTAGTCTGTTGTTCGATACGGCTCGCACGCTGAGAAGCTTCGACAGCCTCCCTGTTTCCTTGCTCAACTAGGTCTTTGCGTATACGAGCAGCAATATGGCCTAGTGGCATGTCCAGAAATTGCTTTAGACTGAACGGAGAGACGATGCCGGTTGCCGCGTTCCCGATGAACGCTGTTCCTCTTGGGATCAAGACTTTGTACTTGGATGAAGATGTCGACAGCACGTCTCGCATTCCCAACACATTGACGAATATGACTGGTCGAACGGGCGGGGACTCAAGAAGAGTGGCATCGGCGGATACGAGGTGTTTGACCAACCACGCGGAAAAGATATCACCGTCGGAAAGGAAGGGCTTGGGCTCGGAAGAGTTTGAAGTGTTGTAAGTGATTTGTGAGGCATCGAGGGAGGTGAGATCGTTCATTGCCCTAGTACGCAGGCGAGCCATGTAAGATGCGGGCACGTAGAGCATTCGGCCGGTTGGTGCTTTTTTTGTTTCAGAGGCTGGAGATGGGGATTCTTGTTTCTTCTCTTGCACTTTCACATCAGGAGTGTTCTTATCCTCCACTGTTGTTTTGTCTTCGCCGAGAGGCGCTCCAAGCTGTGCCAGTGGGTCGAAATCAAACCCCCAGAACTCTGGCACATCGTCATTCCTGCCCTCCAAGACCGCCTGCCACGCCTTTAGGAGGGCTTGTCGTCCCATCGCGTCAAGAAGCGTATGCAACCAAGTAAGCGTGACAAGCGTAGTATCCTTGAAGCTCACAACGTGCAAGCCGAGCTGTGCTTTATCTGTATGGATCCAGTCATCGAGGACCGTAGTGCTGTTTTCCGTCTGCGTAACCTCACGAAGCGAGTCTAGTACGTCAAAGGATTGGACACTGTCGTTGTGCTCGTCTACCACCGGAAATTTGCGGCCGATGGGATGCTCTTCAAACCTCATGTCGTACGTCTTCTGAGTAAAGTTGACTGGTGGACGTTCCTTGGTGTAACATGATGGTACTAGATGTAGGTATGCGGACTCAGTATGGGTATCACATATAGTTCGTTTGGGGAAACTGACTGTGGTATTCGAGTTTATCATTTGTGGTGTTGAGGCGCAATCGCGCTCCCACTTTGTTCCAGCCAGGTTTCTCAAGCAATTTCCACAGCGAGTCGACTAGCTTCTGTGAATCAAGGACGTCATCAAAACGCATGGTGAACTCGATGGAGATATTCCTGTTTTGATTCGTGTCATCACGGCTATGGAGTGGTACGACGATGTCTGCGGGTACATGAGGAGACACTTCTGAACGTGCGGTGGAGACGCTGGTCAAGGACGACATCGTAAAAGATTTGGAGGCTTTCAAGGTTTATGCAAACGAAAAGAGGGGAAACACGCGATGTGATATATAAATTAACCAGAACATCTCACGGAGAGACCTAGCAGCGTAAGCGACGTTATACAGGTCAAATGCTACCTGCTCTCGCACAGTCGCAACACCCGAAAGCCCCGATGCCGACTACTCACGAAGTGATTTCGGGGCGCTTGGTTTTACCGAAAGGCGTGGCAAACCAGAAGCGAGGTGGCCTGACCCGCGCGAAGATCACTGCGACTTCTCTGTATATGGGATTCGCTCTTTCTGCTCCCAAGATAAGGCGCTCGTCAGCAGCGCGGCTGCTTGTGTTCTCGTTCCCGCCAAAGGACTGACATTAAGCGGTGCATCGGCTGAATAGGTAGTCCCGCATTAAGGCTTACATCTCCGCCTGTATGTTTGCTGGTGCACTCGCCTTGTCGGAATAGCAATCTATGAGTTCTGGAAAGAGAGTGTGATGGGAATTTGTGATGGGACAATGAGAGGACCCTAGCAGATATTCCTGTTCTTCGTCATAGTCACGAGGAGCTTGTACCCATCTCGGTTTCAAAACACACATATCAGATGAGTAGGTATATGTCATTGAGATCGTTATCATTTCATCATTATCGTTGTTCTCGAGGAACAGTCAATTACCAGGTCCAGTGAAGTTCCCAATGAATACAACCAAAATTGCACAATATGCGGCAGACGCCGCGAAAAGCTCGTGTCTCGCAGCCTTCGTCAGCAAGCTCATCGCAGCACTGAAGAGCAGAGTGAACACTATGAGTACACCGACCGCATTGAATGTATCTCTACTGTCAATATCGGCTTGGCTTGTCGTCGTCATATTGCCTTGCGCGTCCGTCACCACATGTGCAGCAGTGTTGGTCAACTGATACATAGTGACGACGGGAATAACCAGGAGACAGAATATGACGAATGTGATGAGTATGTTGACGAGCTTGTCGATGCGCGAGCTGCTGTAGAAAGAGACAAAAGGGTCTGTTGTCTTTTCTTGTGCTTCTGGAGTACGGAAGTACTTCTGATGGTTCGTTAGGATGGCGAAGTTCCGCGTTGCACTGATCATCTGCTTACTTGTAGTGGAGGCGCCTTGGTACCAAATATCTTCTGTAGAAGGCGGTCTGTTTGACTGATTATAGTCTCCACACCGCCATCAAAGGTTGCCCACTCGCGGCCATTGTGCAGTGATACAATGTCTTCTTTGCTACGGATAGCGTCCATCTCGGCATCCATGAGCGGCTTTTGATTATGACAATAGCGCCGTACGCTACGGTAGTTACGATCTGATGGCTTTTGGAATGACTCCAATGTTCTTGCCTTGATGAGAACCTCATCTGCAATATGTTAGTCTGACTCTAGAAGAAACAGAGTTTGACCTTGGCTGCTTCAGGTATACGTACCATACTCCATCAACTTGGCTTTAATTTCTCGAAGTATGACTCGTCGGCTACATTCGCCTTCAGGCTGACTGACGTCAAAGTCCCTTGACTTCAAACGTGCCGGTTCTTCATCATAATCTTCCCAATCGATATCGTCCAATTCTTTCTCTAGAGTTGTGATCTCATCCTGCAAGTCAAGCAGAACACGTGAATGCAGATAGCTAAACGATCGGTAAACTGAAAAGTTCGCTTCACTTGATTGGAAAGCTGCAAGTCTCGGGAAGCCATTGGGTGTTTTTTCCACTAATAGTCATAAGTGTTGAGTGAGGTAACGTTCATAGAGCGACTCACGTGTTCGCGTTCTGTTCTCGGTCACATATTCAGGATCAGGCTCTGAGCGGAAAGGGACTGTAATCCTTCGCAAGAACTTTGGTCTTTTCTTCTCGTTCTCTGAAGCTGTGTCAGTCTTCGATCAACCACCACCAGCCTTTAGCCCCCAACATGGTTAGGTTGGTATCTTATTGCCAGGTCATGCATACGTAAGCTGACCGCGATGTGCTTTTCTAGGTAGTAGCTGTATATTGCTGACTGACATCTTTGGCGCCAAAAATGGTGGGGCTGGTGGAATTTGGGGGCCAAAGAAGATTGCATGGGATTACCTACGGGGCTGTGCGCTCTCAACATCGAATGAATCTGTCCGTACCGAAGGCTGAATTGTAGAATGACTGTCTTCGGCATCTTCGATAAAATCTTCCGTTAAAGTCGCATCAGTGTTCGTGGGCGATACTGGCGATTGGGGCATCTTCTCATCGGTACAGGTGTCCCCGGTCATAGTACGAAGAGGGGCCATGATGATGCAGAGAAGTTGGTCTGGCCCGCACGCAAGCGAAAAAGCGACAGGAAGAGGATGAAAACTTTTGCGCGCAAGCAAGAATCGCTCAGATGGACATTCAAAGCGAACTGTGGCTCAACAAATTGTGGCAGAGAGCAGTGTATGTAGTGATGTAAGAACGAAAGTTGACACCGGCGATCGCCCTTCCCGTAAGACTCAGCCCCAACGCCATTAACGCCCCTTGCACAATTGGCCGTGTGCATCTGAATCACAGCTGCCTGGTGACTGTCCGGTGAGCTCAGCCTCAGGCAATGTCGCACGGCTCAGCTGCCGGGCTTCAACTCCTTTTCGCGTGTCCAGCCACTTGTCATCTGCGTGGTGTAGAAGTCTCGTAGCTGGTACTCGTAATATCCCTTGGCAGAGTTGTACCTGCTAGCATAAACGGTGAAGACACCCTTTGTTCGTTCACCATTTGCAAATACTGGCTTCTGCACGACTTGATTCTTGCTGAAGCGCGCGGTTGACTGAAACAGAGAGTCAGAGCGTATCGCCTGAAGACATGGACAAGGACTTACAGCAGCAGGATTCGGATTCACAGTAACTGAGGCTTTGGTCTCAGGAATATCGTCTTCCGACGCTGCACTCGTGTATTCGTCCTGGATTCATGGTCAGCCTCGTGAAGGAAGGAAACCGTCAGCGCAGTGGCTAACCTCGACTGTCTGCACAGGCTGTTCTTGGAGTGTGGTGGCCATGGTGATTGAGCTGATGGAAGAATGAGGCAGGAAGCCTTGTGGATAGTGCCCCAGAGGATGAGAAAGACGTCCGCTATTATAGGAGTGCTTGTTGATGGCCTCTTGATAGTTTGCCTGCTGCAGCCCTAGGCAGCACAGGATCGTGACCGGTGCGCATCATAGTTGGGGGCTCAAATTGCTTGCACAGCCGCGGCTTAGCAATGTTTGCATGCAGATGGAGCGACACGGCATAACAACCCACTCTGCGGGCGTAGTCTTGATGAGCTTATCACATCAGATGGTTCATGGCCGTAAACAGTAAATGCATGGCCAAACAATCCTAGCAAGGTGGTGTTAATGTTGGGGTGGTGGAGGCTCAGCTTTGGCCCCCATACGCTGGCGATAAAGTCGGCGAGGGCGGTGATTGGCGGCACGAGGGTCGATCTCCCATCTCCGCACTCTTCGAGCCGTGTTGCATGTCCCACCCAATATGGGGGCTGAAGGCCGCTGCGAACGATTCCACTCATTATGGCCTGTCTCCGCGAACGTCGAGCCTCGCATTCTCTCGGCCTTCCTAACCAATGGCTCTTTCTTCGAGCACAACGGCGCAAGTCGTCGATGCAATGGCGACCGAGGTGCTTCCTCACACCATCGTGAATCCATACCCAAACAAAGTCATACATGCCGACATACGGATACAATCGATTGACGACGACAATTCGGGCCAGAATGGTGCAGCAACGGAGAGCAGCGAGCCTGTGGTGGAGAGCAAGCCGAGCGCGGCAGACGCCGATTACAAGGCGAAGACTGCTGAGATGCAAGAATGGTGGACCGAAGCCGTCGCAAGGAATATGGACCTGCCTGAGGGATACCAAAAAGTTGCAGTCTTGATCATCAAGTGGGCAGATGAGCTGGACGAGCTCAAGACTGGGGGCGAGGTATGTTGGAGTCCACGGACGCGTTTGGCAAACCCCCATCTGACCAAGACTAGGCCCAAGAGCTCAAGGCCCTCTTCCAGAACCGCTTCAACTACCACACCGACATCGTCGCCCTGCATGTCGGCACGAAACCCCAGCTCCAGCTCGATTACCACGTCAGCGGCTTCATTCGCGACCACGATGGACCCGAGAATCTGCTTATTGTCTACTACACGGGACACGGCGTCTACAACGAGGACAGGAAGTGCTTGGAACTCACGGGTAGTCTCAGGAACAACCCTGTGTTATATGGCAGGGGACTTCGCAAGAATGCTCGCGCAAGCTGGACCAAGGCAGAAGATCAGCTGCGCCACGAAGATGTAGAGAGCGATGTCCTGACCATCTTGGACACCTGCTACTCTAGCAACTTTGCCAAATCCGGCAAGGAAGGCCAGAAAAAGTTCGAGCTTCTCAGCGCCTGTGCGATTGATCAAACCACCGAAGCGCCTGGCAAGAATTCATACACCCGTGCGCTCATCGACGCCTTGAAAGAGCTCCAAGACCAGGATCCCGAGGGACAAATATCAACCTTTCGTCTGTACCAACGTATCAACATGAATCCGAGGCGCAAAGATACACCCTCGCAGATATGGTCTCGTGGCAAGAGCACCCAGCATAACGATCAGCACATCTTCCTGGCGCCTCTAAAGCCAACCCAAGTCAATGCATTCAACTGGCGACCTAAGCCTAGAAGCTATCTGACGCTGCGTTTCGGTCTCCGAGATCCTATATTGAACCATGAGCAGATTGACTTCATGACCAAAACCCTGTCCAAGGCCTTCGGCAACAAGGCAATGGTCGGCTTGAGAAGGGTTGATTGGGAGGGTATCGAGCCTGCTCCACCCACATCGGACTTTGAACGCGTAGCATCCACCATGCGCGTCATAGCGCAGTGGAAGAGAGTCGTTATCAAGAAGAAGGAATCTAGAGAGTCTCAGCAAACGTCCCAAGTTAATTCGGTTAGCGAATCGCAAAAGCGTACAAACGAGGACGCGGATGACCTTCCAGAAGCCAAGCGTCGGTACCTGGATACATCGCACCCGCCTTCACCACCCGTCTCGGACTCTTCACGTCTCGACTAAGGAACACAGAGCGAACTCTTTCTTCCTTCGTGTACGGGATGTTTTTTCGTCACCTCGAGTTTGCTTGTTTTCAGGATACCCATAGTGTTGCGCCAAACGACACCCGTCTCGGTCTTTACCCTTGACAGGCTCACGATTAATTGTTGGTTTATTGTTACATAGCTTTTTCCTGCCAGAGATTTCATAATAACGCGCTCGTAATACTCGAGTGACGTTGCTCCAGAACTTGGACGCTCAATGTCGTACATACAGTCTCCATCATTCTTCATGGATATTATTAGCTTCGCCCGTTTTTCGGATACCATACACAAAGAATAGCGAAGTTCATTGCATACTATAGTCCATCCTCGGGTTGTTAAGTGATGCTTTTCTTCACATTCGTAGTATTGGGCTAAGGCCCAATATGATCAGACGCACCGAGGCTGAGGTGGTGCCACCTGCAGGGGACACTTTCGATCTCACCACCTTCGCCAAATTAGCACAACAAGATAACGCCACCCGCGCAACACGCTGAGCAACGTCGCCTCGTATCTTCTGGTCTGTTGCAATTTTTGCGTGATAGTGAGACCAACACGTTCTCGATATTGTTACAGTATAGTATAAAAGGTTGGTCATGATAACAAAACATACTCATATCACTATCAACATCATCATTACATCCACTACTACAACAAATACTTGAACAGCATCGAGGCGCTTAGAGAGCATAAGTCAGCCGTCACTCTAAAACACCTCTCAATGACTGCATCCACCACAACAACCGCCGCTGTCGTCTCGACAACGAACCAACACGACCATATCATCGGCCATTGTCGGGCACAACGGCACACACTCTACTCGTGCAGCGAAAGCTGTATCCCTGTACAGCTACAGTCGAACCAGAAGCCTACCGCAATTCCACAACTAAGTGAGGATACATGGATGGATAGTCAAGAGGAGCTCGAGCGCTGGGGCATGGAAGCTACCGAAATGACGAAACCCGAGTCTAGTCAAACCACAACACCAAATGATACACATGGAGGTTTAAAATATGAGGAGGTAGCGAGGTTCTGGCAATAGTAGAACACGAATACGGGAGAGAAAGATCTGGGATTGAATAGAATGTCAATGAAGTTTATTATTGTTGATGGTTCTTGCGACGACAGCATACACTGAAATTACCACCACTGATATACCAACCGCAACTAGCTAGCTCATGCATGCGACTCTACGCGCTCGACCCCATTCTGTTTCTCGTACTGCATGGCGACGTCCGTCAACGCAGGCTTCAACGCATCCGCAGCCTCACGTGTAAACTTGCGCGCAGAAACCTTGTGCTCGAACATGAGATCCAGTTCAGAGTAGGTAAAACCCTTCGGCTCAGGAAGACGGAAGTATCCCCACGCGATGAACAGAAGTGCAATACCAGCCCAGAAGAAACCACCCTTCGCGCCCCAATTCCAGTCGTTCTTGCCAACCATTTTCGGCATGATTGTGTTTGTGACGAAGACAATGGAGTTGTATGAAGCGCGAGAGAGTGCGACAGTCTTTACACGGAGGCGCGACGAGGGGATTTCGGCTGCAAGAGAGTAGCAGATGGGTCCCAGGGATAGCTGATTAGGTTAGCTTGCGATTGGCTGCAAGACGTAATGTATGAAACTTACCTGGAAGCAGAAGATCATGAGAATGATTAGAACACCTCCAGCGAGACTTGCATTCTTGTTCGTAGACGGCGCTAGGCCGATGAAGCCAACAATCAAAAGTATGATGAAGATGGCGGACAATCCAACGAGGTATATGGGTCGTCGGCCAAAGCGCGTCATGATCCACCAGGCGATAAAGCATCCAACTAGACCCAAGCAGTCCTGACCGATGGTTAGATGGAAGGAGTCATCTTGACTGAGGCCTACGCCTTGCATGAATTGAGTTCTGATAATGTCAGTGTATACCCTCCATGTAGCACATGATAGAACTTACCCAAAGCCCATGAAGGGAACACCGCAGAGAGCTTGGGTGATAAAGGCCATGGCAGAAACCTCAGTGCGGTGTAGATCGCTTCCTCGGAACAAATGCCAGTAGTTGGTTCCAGCACCGACTTGTTTCTCGTACTGGTCAGTGACAACCATCATCTCTACGTGCGCATCGAGGTCGAATTCAACGCCGTCTGTAGGTGTAGTGATTTGGCGGATCGCTGCTTTGGCCTCATCGATGCGACCTTGTCGGACTAGCCACCAAGGTGATTCCGGTGCGAGGAAGGTAGCTAGGATGATAGGGATGGGCCAGATCCACTGGAGAGCGAAAGGAATGCGGTATCCCCATTGAGTCGTGTTCTTCATCAGTCCAGTGAGAATGCCAGTAGACAAGAGACCGCCGATGACCCAACACATGTTGATCCACGAAGTCATGTATCCTCTCAGATGCGTGGGGCAGAGATCTGCGGCATATGAAATTGCCAGTGTTTGGAAGACACCCCATGGGAGACCCTGGATTATGCCTCCCACAAGGAACATCTCCAGTCCTGTAGAGAAGAACGGAATGAAGATGGCGCCAGTCATGAACAGCATGCTGCCGATCATTGTCTTCTTGTATCCAATCCATTCAGTGATATAACCGTTGACGATGAGACCGAGAATGCATCCGACCTATGTGCCTGTTAGTAAAGTCCATTGAGCTGATACCTTCACTGGTGTATATGCGTACCTGAGTACCATTAAGGATGATGGTCTGCCATCTCGAAGAGACAAGCTTGTTGCCATCGGCATCAATCTCATCGCCGAACTTGTTTCGAAATGGTTGAAAGGCGAAGAACTTGTTCATGAGACTTGTATCGTAGCCTTCCATCACAACGCAAAGCGATATGACGAATGAGAATACGATCGCTTTCCACCAGAATCTCAAGGACTGCCGGACCGACATGTTGTGCTCATTGTTGATAGCCGCGCTCGTCTCGTCGACCGCATTGTGTTGTCCTTGTGTTGAGGTGACCTTCTCGGTGGCCACGTTGCCGGTGGTCTTCTCCATTGAAGCCATATTGGACTTGACTCCAGAGTATGCGAGGGACCAGGAGAGATAGTCTTTGGTATTGACCTGTCGAAAAGATGCAGGTCAACCACATGGACGGATCTGCGGTCTATATAGACCTCAGCCTTTTGTATGCATAGTCAAGAGATGAACCATTTACAGGAGCCATGCCACAAGTGAAGGGCTAGCCCGAGTGCTTGGGAGTCTAAGCCCCGGTAATGGCCGAGAAGGGGCAAGAGCGGGTTGTCTTGCGGGGAAACACATGGCGGAATATTCGTACAGAGTGCCCATGGGGAGAGCTGGGGCGTCTAAGTGCGCGAAGAAAGCCAATCACAACTAGAGCGAGGTTTGCCCAGTCGGCCACCAGGTCGTGAGAGACTTCTCCGCCAGTATACCGCCGCTAAATAGGTGCTTTGGCCTAGCGTAGCCGTTTCCAGTTTTGGTCAGCCATCCGGGGGGACGTGCGAGTCATGCAGGCCCGCTTCTCCCTTCTTTTGCCCATTCATTCGGTTCTCCGCCAGTTTTCCGCTCTCCATCCCCAGATTATTGCGCAACTTCAGACCTAGTGATGCGCAAACCATCTGCATGCAGTGCATGTCGGTAAGCCTCTGATATGCTGTCCTAGTCCATATAGGCGTGCACCCGCTAATTTGGTCGAAGAGCTCGTCGGCGCAAATGCATCTATCCGACAAACCGGCTGGCAACGGTGTGCGAGCATTGCTTGTCACATGGTCTACAATGTCTCCGAGGCCCACCAGAAGGAGGCTATTATGCCAATCGCCAGGCTAGACTTCATGAGAGTATTGCAACTCAGCAAGCTCTCTCGATCCAAGCCAAGACATTGCCAAACCAAGGCCACGAGGATCTACCACCGGCCGCCTTGAGGCGAGCGTTAGTGGAGCTGTATTTCGACTACATTCACGACCAATTTCACTCGATGTATCACAAAGCGTCATTCATGGACGATGTGACCAATGACCGGGTACCGCATATAGTGCTCTATGCTATCTTTGCGCTTGCCGCAAGATTCTCTATCGACGAGTTCTTTGACGGAACTGATCCGAGAGAAAGGGGCGAGGTCTACCGTGCATCAAGCGAGAAGCTCTTTAGTATCCGCGAGCTCACCCCTGTAACAGTTCAGGTATGCGTTTTGCTGGGAGCATATGCCGCTGCGAGTGGCGAGACAGACGTCGAGAACCTATACTACAGTATGGGCGGAAGGCTTGCTCTAGCCCTCGATCTTCCCAATCGTCCCGTCACAAGTCTGGTGGAACGCGAAGTCAACATCAGAACTTGGTGGACTCTATGTATGGTTGATGTCTGGTCATCCACAGCCGTGAGACTACCACGTATCATGCCATTTGATAGCGCTGTGCCACTGCCAGTGGATGAGATACCGTTCTCCGTAATGAACAACGATCTAACGGGAGACTTCAGCGACCAAACGCCGTACCTTAACTCTCCTCTCCTTGCTGAGATGGTAAAGCTCAATCGGATCCTGGCGAGAATCATCGACTTCAATCGAGTGTGCGTATCAGAACATCTCGAAGGCCCACCGCTTGAAAGAGGCATACGAGAACTTTCTCGCGATCTCGACGTCTGGTTAGAGGAAGTTCCGCACCAGATGCGTGATACGCCAGCAAATCTCGAAGCCTTCGCATCGCGTGGCCTTGGCCGAATGTTTGTAGCTGTGTATCTTGGCTATTATCATTACGGGCTGCTTCTCAACTACCAATTTTTGTCTTCGTCAATTGACGCGCCAACCGACTCTGCAAAATATGCTGACGCCTGCAAGCAACATGCAGCCCGGCTATGCGCCCTCGTCTACCGCTCGCATTCTACACCTGGTAATGAAGTTTTGTATTCGGCAGTTTCACACATTCTCGTCGTTGCTTCCACTGTCCAGATCCATACCCTACTCTTTTCTGGCGACGAGGGTGAGATACGTATATCGAAGTCCAGGTTGGAACGCAACTTTGAGATACTCTTGCGTCTGAAAACGTATTGGCCAAGTGTTGACGGCGCGATGAGTCGTCTACGGGCGTTTCATCAAACTTGTCTCCGAAGCAAAGAGACGAGCTTCGTTCTTGATCGATGGTTGCTGCGCTTTCTGGTGCAATTCGCACCTCATATGGAGCTCGAGCCGAGGGACAATGATCCTGAGTACGAAGCACTGCTCGCGTTAAGCAGGCAATCCCCACTATCGTGCTATTCAGGATTATCTCTGTAATCGTGCAGGATCGAGTCAGTAGCTCCCATTCAAACATGGTGGGGTAGCATGAGCGTCAGGCTCTAGCGGCGGAAAACTCGCCAATTTTCCTGCCCTTGCGGAGCCTCCGACATGCCGCATCCAAGTCTGCGGACTTGGCGCAAGGGTCCATTCATCCGCGCCTAAGATCCACTTGAGATGGTACATACGTAGAAGACTGTTTAAGACGCCGTTGGTGCATCTATCACCGAGAAACAACATTACACTTCCATCATGACCAATTCACGTAGCAGCGTTCTGCTGGTGACGACGCTGCTGGGCAGCGCAACTGCCATTAACAATGGTCTCGCTATCACACCACCAATGGGCTGGGTAAGATCCATCAACAATATTTCAGATCTATAACTGATCAGACAAGAACAATTGGAACGCCTTTGGATGCGACGTCTCCGAAGACCTTCTCCTTACGACCTCTTCACAAATCCTAAGCCTAGGATTGCGAGATCTGGGTTACAACTATGTCGTGCTGGACGACTGTTGGCAAGATCCAAAAGGTCGGGATGAGGATGGAAAACTCCATCCAGCGCTCGACAAGTTCCCCAACGGCTTGAACTCCATCTCAGATCATCTGCACAGTCAAGACCTCAAGTTCGGCATGTACAGCAGCGCCGGTGAGATGACATGTGCGAGGTTCGGTATGATTTAGCAGTCACTTCTGCTTTCTGCAGCATGCTGACATCGATTAGAGGGGTCACTAGACCATGAGGTTGACGATGCAAAAAGCTTTGCAGGTTGGGGTGTCGACATGTTGAAGTATGACAGCTGCTACCACATGGGTCGCGTTGGCACACCATCAGTGTCGTTCAATCGCTTCAAAACCATGTCTGATGCTTTGAAAGCGACAGGAAAGAACATTCTCCTCAATTTGTGCAACTGGGGAGAGGATCTTGTTCACACCGTAAGCAAGATGAAATTACAGCCTACCGTGATATGCAAAAACTGACTTCTTGTAGTGGGGAATGAGTATATCTAACAGCTGGCGTATCACAGGTGATATCTACGACTCTTTCACGCGTCCTGATGACCTCTGTGGATGCAACAGTTTGGCACCAGGCGATGTCAACTGCGTAGCACCAGGTACACATTGCTCGGTACTTTTCATTCTCAACAAAGTCGCCCCTTTTGCCGACCGTAGCATTCCTGGGGGTTGGAGCGATTTGGACATGCTTGAAGTCGGTCAAGGCGGTATGACCGACGAAGAATACAAAGCGCACTTTGCGCTTTGGGCCGCGCTCAAATCTCCGCTCTTCCTTGGTAACGATCTGCGCAACATGCCAGCTTCTGCTCTTACCATCATCAACAACCCTGCCATCATCGCGCTTAGCCAGGATCCCCATGGGCGAAGTGTAACGCGCGTCAGAAGGGACACGGAAGGTGTGGCGAAAGATGAGTGGGGTGTTGGTGAGACACACGTCTGGGCTGGACATCTCCAAAATGGAGACGAAGCCGTGATACTCCTTAACGCTGGTGGCAAGGACATGGAGATGAGCGTCTCCCTGGCTGAGATTTTCATACCATACGGACCCGGTGGATCAGCACCGCACGTAAAGTATGACTGGGCCGTACACGACCTCTGGGCTCATCGCATGCCTGAAGCTACCGCCGAAGAACTACTCAGCGCAGATACTCATGTGCAGAGAGAATCCGTCCTTTCAAAGGCCAATTGGTACAATGCTACTGAGATCCCTTACGCTAAAGGTCTCGCTCAAGAGGATGCGCGACTGTTTGGAGAGAAGATTGGCGTAGTTGAAGCTGGTGGAATGCTCAAGGCAGATGTGAAGAGCCACGCTGCGCGAGTTCTACGTCTACGTAGAGCTAAGAAGGAGGGAGATGCATTCGAGGCAAAGAGTATCTCGAGAGAAGATGGCAACGAAAGGGACGAATTGTAACGACACTGATGATTAGTAAGATGCCTTTGGTATAGGGAATAAGAAGTGGCCTTGGTGAAGGCCAATCGAAATGCAGATTGTTGACATACAATCCTGCGTATTTACTTTCCGAATGGTATATTCCACCTACGTGCGCTTTTGCGAACAACTTTCTCGTTCTCGTCGGCATTGTGGTAGACCGAGTTTAGTAAGCCTGGTGCTTAAGCCCGATGCAGCCCCCATGCTCAGTCAGCTGTTTGTGACTCCTCATGGACAGTCATGCATCGCAATGGGAAAGAGCAGCAAAATGAGAGCATTGCATGTGAAGCACATGACAAAAGGTCTAACGAGACTAAAGCTTCGTTTGAAAGTGTCGACAAAATGAAAAAAGATAAAGCCGTGCTTGCGGACGTTGAGTTTCTGAAATATAGCTAGTCTTGACCTCTTGCATCATGAATCTCTTCAATATTATCAGTATTTGCACGTTCGCTCTAGCGCAGTTTACGCTCGCGCAATTATCGAACTTCGATGAATGGGAGCATGAGCGCATCCAGCTCGACGACGTTTCGATTCATTTCCGCTACCATGGTGAAGGTCCGCCCATCCTTTTGGTGCATGGCTTCCCCCAGCACTCATTAACGTGGCATACCATCGGACCCATCTTGGCGCAGAACTGTATGTCCATCCGTCACTTCTCATTACGAAACCCCTCCAGGCTAATGTAACAGCAGATACTGTGATCGCCCCAGATATACGCGGCTGCGGAGACTCAGCGCTTCCTTTCTCAAAGAATTACACGGCTGCAGCTGCCGGCACCGATCTCAAAGCCATCCTAGATTACCTCAACATCACGTCTACATACGTCTTTGCGCATGACAAAGGCGTAGGGCTTGCGACTTCTCTTGCTATAGAACACCCATCGGTTGTTGAAGCTATCATTCTCGCAGAATACGCTCTCCCAGGTTACGGGTATCCTACCCAGGTAACGAGTTCTAGCTTGTACCAGAATTGGCAACTCGCATTCTTTGCCGTGCCTGATGCAGCCGAATTCTTCATTCAAGGGCGCGAAAAGCAGATGCTGAGCTGGTACTTTTTTCATGCGAGTTATTCTGGCACAGCGGCTTTGAGCGAAGACCACCTACAGCGCTACACGAACGAGATATCCAAACCCGGGTTTCTAAGGAGCGGCATGGAGTACTTTGCAGCGGCCTGGGATGACGAAGCCTACTTCACTTCGGTGTTCGGTAGCGGGAAGAGGTTGCAGATGCCATTGCTGGTATTGGGAGGCGAAGCAAGTTTTTCTCCCGTGACGCTATTAGAAGAAATATGGTCGCAGATAAGTGATGATTTCGTTGCTGAGGCGATTCCAAAGGCTGGACATTGGATTGGTGAGAAACTTCTTTTCATGGTCTTTCAAGATCCGATCTGGGTTCTATTTGCATCTCGAGCTAGAACAGACCAGCTAACTCTCGAACTAGGCGATGAAAATCCAATTTGGACAGGTAAGCGCGCGTTGCAGTTCTTCGGAAGAGCTGGGCAGATAAGCAGCATCAATCTATCATATCTCAAGGACAGAGTAACTTTGCAGGGTGGAATTGTTTGACGATAGACGGCCAAATTCTTGCAAAGATAGAGAATAGTATGGATAGATTGCCGAGAGGACTTGGAAAGACACTTTAAAGCTACGGCAGAGTTGCACTATCATCATGTGTTAGGACTCCCCTCAAGCCCACTACGACGACGAAAGTCCTGTAGCCAATTGGCATTGTCAGCTACTGTTTGGTTCCACCCATCGTCCGGATCCTGATACAACAATCTTCGCGATTCGCGTTGAAACATCTCATCCGTTGGAATAATTCCTGATAACATCTGCTGTCTTGCGAAGCGACTAAGATGGCGTGTAAGAACAGTAGCAAAGTCGTGATCATGTTGTGTTGACAATTCTCGAAGAGCCGTCAAGGAGTCTTCAAAGGCTTGTTGATCAGGCGTATGTGTGGTTTCTGCTGCCGGAGGCTCTTGTGCTGGCTCTTCAAGTTGGATGCGTGAGATTAATTGCTTTGTGTGGTCGATAGATCCAGGGTTAGTTGCTGAGAAAGGCACGACGGTATTGGCTTGTTCGGCAAGAAGATAGGGTGGAAACGCATTGATGACACGAGCCGCCACATCGGGCTCAAAGCAGTGCTCGCCTTTCCAATCGGCCATAGTCTTGCCTTCACGAAAATGAGCTGCCAGATGGTCTGATCGCTCGTCCCAGCTGTTCAGATTCGCATCACAAATGCCGCATCGAGATTTTACTGGCAAAGTCTCAAGCTTCCAGTCGTCAATCAGAGGTAGCGTTTCGACTCCATGTACTAGGCGAAGGTGTTGGGTAAGGTGATCTTTTCGATGAAAGACACGCGGAGTATTGTTACCATCAGTACATGCCGCATGGTTGTGTTGCTGCAGATGCTGGGGCGTCGGGTCTAGTGCACTACAGTATGCACAATGTACTCTGCCGGTCAGAGGTAGTACCACAGAAGCCCCGTGTGGCGTACACATCCAACTTTCGAGGTTTAAATGCAGAGACTTTTCATGGCGTGTCCAGTCGTACTTGTGCTTGAATGTGTCGCAGCAGAATGTACATTTGAAAATACGCTCTGGGTCGTTCATTTTGGTGCCTCTTACTCTGCCCTTCCGGGTTTTGGTGGCCTGACTGCGACGCTTCGACTGTGACGTGGCGGAATGGCTCGAGTTCACGGATCGCAATGAAGATTCGCTGGCAGCGCTGTCGAGACTAGTCGTTGACGAGGGGCCCCGATATTTGCGAAAGGCGTCGCTACTAGAGGGTCGGCTAATGCGTGGTGAAGCACCTACCGGTCTGTCTTCCAAAGCATGGTAGATAGCCGATAGAGATGCAGCCTCGTCTTCAGGCGGCGAATTCCGCCACCGCTGAATAGCCAGCGACTGTCCTTCTTCGTGTCGGGGACTTCCACCAGGTATGGCTATCGGACTTGCGGTTCCAGTCGATCTGCGCTTAAAGTACTTGCTTCGACGACGTGGAAGTGTGTGTTGTCGTTGCACCAGTGGGCGTCCGTGAGTCTCATTCAATTGGAATGCATCAAACGGATGACTTGGAGAAGTCACAGTGCTCATTGGTTGTGATATGTTTTCGAACGTAAAGTCGTGGAAGTTCGGGTCGATTGCCAAGTCGTCGTCAACGCTGAATGCGGCAGGCGCACCAGATGCAGCATTAGGCGCATCCTGGCCAGGATCGGTGGCTAGGAAGTTGGAGAACCACGAAGGGTCAATAGTGTCCTCATTCCAGGGCTGCATTTGCCAATCGCTCATTCGCTGATGGTCCATAGGCTCGGTAGTCGCAATTGTCGGGTTGGTATTAAGATTGGTGAGAATGACTGAGGAACGATGGTGTCAGATGAATGGACCAGCCCGAAGTCGGCGCCGCTAACTTTACCACAAGGATGTGTATAGATGTGGTCTAGCAAATGGTTGTGATACACTCACAGCTGCCCCGGACTTTCTCTGACCGATGCCTGCGTCTCGCAAGGCATGCGCATCTCAAAAGGCGTAGGGCGTGTGGTGGGGTAAGCTCAGAACGCGCTAGTCCCGCGATCTAGAGCAATTCTTCCGTCTAGCGCGAAGGGTCAATCACCTACCAACGCGACGTAACGTGACGTGACTGACAATGGAAGACCAAGACAGGACGGCTGCCGGACAACAAGCTGAACCAGTCTTAGAGGGCATCTTTGGTATGCCATCTTATCATCATTTCGCAACTTGTCTCTGACTCCACCTAGCGGTAGCCAAGCCTGCACATGTCTCATCAGCAGACGTCCTCCTCAAACTTCAATCAACATTCGCTCCATCGACTACATTTGCGCCGCTGCTCAAGCATCAACCTAAACGTACCAGCAAATCATCCGATCAGGTATTTCGTTTAGGTCATGGTGGCACGCTCGACCCTTTGGCTTCAGGCGTACTCATCGTAGGGATCGGGCGCGGTACAAAATCACTATCGCAGTTTTTAGCATGTAACAAGACTTACGAAACAGTCGTTGTGTTTGGTGCTAGCACCGACAGTTATGATTGTACGGGAACCATTGTTGAATCGGCAGATACCTCGCATATCACTCGTCAGTTGGTCGAAGAAAAGCTGGAAAACTTTAGAGGAACCATCCAGCAAGTCCCTCCAGTATACTCTGCGCTGAAAATCAATGGTATCAAGGCTTGCGAGTACGTGCGACAGGGTAAGGAGCTACCAAGAGAGTTGGAGAGTAGAGAGATGAACGTCGATGAATGCACGCTACTAGATTGGTATGACATGGGAGAGCATTCCTTTGCACTTCCTGGCAAAGAAGAGCCTGCTTCAGCGCCTGCAGCGCGTATCAGGTTGACTGTGTGCTCTGGTTTCTACGTTCGCAGCTTTGCGCACGATCTGGGTATCGCATGCAGCACTTTTTCATACATGGCGTCTCTGGATCGCACTCGGCAAGCCAACTTCACCATCGATTCCTCACCCAGATCTCCGGATACTGTTTCCGCCCTCACATACCCAGAACTGGATGCTGGCGAATCCACATGGGGTCCGAAGCTCAAACCACAGCTTGAGAAGTGGGTTGTGGCGAATCCGATTAACTCAGGGCATGTCAATGGACGTCAAGAAAGCATGAAGAGGAAGATGGCGCAGGACAAAGAAATGAAGCCTAGACAGAGATTCCGTGGAGAATGGGTAGCTGAGACGAAGAAAGAAAGGATCAAGCAGCAAGGGGGTAAATTTAAGGGTAAATGGGGACGGAAGCCCAAGGTTGAGCCAGCCTCGGAATTGCCTTTAGCAGCACCCTCAGACCAGACTACAAACACCAAAGGAGACTCACCCAGCGAAGCGAAACCAACAACATGATAGAAACGTCTGTTTACCCCCAACAGTCTCTTGAGTCTGGAACGCGATAAGGCGTCAATGATACAATGGCGCCCCAAAGTTCCTCAATAGGCCCAACCACTCCGAACTCCTGTCTGTCAACTCACAACATTCCAACATAGTCCACATACCCAACTCCCCACGCGGCTGCGCTCTACTGTTCAACACTAGGCTGCTGCCATCTACTACGCCAAGTTGAAGCAGCTTCTCCATACCAATGTAGTTGTCTTTTCGAATTGCCGACAAGATTGCCGGAAGTTGCGGACATTGTAGCGCGTATCCAACGTCCCACTGCACGATCATGTCGATGAGCTCTAGGTATTGCGTTTTGAGCTCCGGTTTGGTGGGAGGAGTGCAGTGGAGAAGCATATCGTGAATAGGCGGCAGAGCGGCGATCTGTTCGCGTCGAGCGGCTGCGGAGATGTTGTCCAGAAGCACACGTACTGCATCTTTGTTGATGCCGTTGATGGCAAAACTCAACGCGTCGTACGTTAGTTCCGGGGCAAGGCCAATCATTTCCGTAAGCATCGAAGAATTGGTTGCACTACTGTGATAGGCGGCGAACTGCAGTACGTTCATGTCATCAAACGCTGGATCTCGAGGATGCGCGCCAGCGCGAAGTAGCACACGCGCCGCTTCTAGAGAGTTGAACGAAAGAGCAGCAGCTAGTGGTAGAGCATTTATCTCTCTTCTGTTTCGACGGAAGAAGACGTCTTCTCGTACTAGCCCGCCTTGGGCCTGCAAGATAAGTTCGACTCCTTGGGCAGCGTCTGCTGAAATCGCTCGCCCGATCGCTGTTCGCACCCCCAGATCGGTGGCGGTGCGTTGTGCGAGACATAGATCAAAGCCTCTGTCGATCAAAAGTCTTAGTATGCGAAGTGCGTCCTCTGGTCGCTTGCTCCATGTTTCTTTCGTCAACGCATTGATTGGTGACACATAGCGGGTGACCTTTCCTTGATATTGTAAGACATCGTCTTCTTTTTCATATTGTTTCGGTTTTCCCTTTATGCTCAACATCTCTTCCACCGCGTCTGCCCATCCAGCGCGGACGAAGCAAGCTAGCACCGAGTACTCATACGTCGTCTGCCATGGGCGATGCCCAAACTCAGCGCTCTGCAGCTCGCTCTTATTATCGAATACGCCGGAAATTAGAGCCGTTGGATCAAACTTTTCATGCTGCATAATGAGTTTTAGTGTGTTTGTGCCTTGATCAACGTTCTTCCATTTAGAAAGGCCATCGAGGAGGCTAGTTTTCGCAAGTCTGACTTGGTTTTCCGCCCAGTAGTGTTGGGCGTCATACATCTCCCTCGGCCATTGCTCAACCATTGGGTTTACTCCATGCGACGCTACGAGGCAGTTGATGAGATCCGCGTGCCCTTTGTAGGCAGCTGCAAGCATCGCGCGATCCATTGGAGTATAGTCACTTCTCTTCGCGGTCTCTCCGTAAGTGGCCCCTTCCCTCAAAAGATAGTCGACCACTTTTGCTCGTCCACTCAAGGTAGCCTTTGCTAAAGCTTCGTGCTTCAGTCTTTTCAATTTACCGATTGATCGATATATAGGATCGGCTCCCATACTAATGACTGCTTTGACGAGAGAAAGGCTACCTTCTGCAGCAACTTCTTCAAGAACGTCAGTCAACGTGTCCTGTGACGGTCCACTAGCTGGTTTTGCCGAAGTGGCTGCCCTTTTAAGTGAGAAGCTTTTCTTGAAAGACGAGAGACCCGTCTGACTTGACGCGTCATTTCTTCTACTGACCCTGCGCAATATCTCAGCCTGAGCGTCGCTGGGGTTCATCTCAGTTGCCTCGCTCTCTGTACTCTGCATAGTGGAGATGGAGAAACCCCTCTGTGATGACTGGAAAGGACTACCGGGCAAGCCTTGCATGGGCGACGAGATGATACTAGAGCTGCGAGTACTGCTTGTATTGCTGGTAGTAGTAACATGCCCAAAAGTTCCATGAGCTATCCTCAATGGCTCTGGTGCCGGATTGGAGGCTCTAGGGTGTTCAGAAGCGATATAGATGGACTGCATCCGGTCTGAGAGGCCATCTCCGTTGCTAGCGCTACTTCCCCAAGACATCGGAGGAGTCGGGGGGGCTGTTGAAGCACGTTTGAGAAAGTGTAGAGGTTGTGGTTGCGAAGACTCAGCCTTGTCCTGTGATATATGAGTTTTAGAAGCTTGCGCGCCCGGGCTGATCGGCAGTTGAGAGAACTCATTAGTTGCAGGATCACGACTCTGGGCTCTTTGACGATAGTTCAGCGGCGAAGGCGCTATCTGTGGCGTTGGGTAAGATGTCGAAGGAAGGTTACCATCCTTTTCTTTGTATCCAGGCGCCGTGTAAGCAGGCTTGTAGGGGTCGGTATCTGAGCACAATGCGTGTTCGTTAGACGCTCCTGCTATCGCTGAGGAAGTCGGTTGAGCCGGCGAGAGGTAGTCGAAGGAAGGTCCACCAAAATAGCTGCCGTATTCAGCAAAGCCGTCCGCATATCGTTCCTCATCATCCTGCATCTTTGTGGATTGTTCAAGCTCTACATTCGAGAATACCGACGGTGTGTTGATTGTGAGGTCACGCTGCTAGGCTGGCGGCGATGTATAGACGGCGCGGGGTAGAAGTGTATACTCGCAATGAAGGTTCAGTCGCCTTGCAGCCTGCCGTATATGCAGCCTAGGGGCATGGAAGACCACTTCAGGCGTCCACTAGGGTCGACTCCGATATTGAGATGACATATATATATATATATATATGTGCCTGAAGGCTCCTTGCAAGCCGCAAGCATGCTGCCATTCTGAGGTATAGAAAGGGCATCGTAAGTAGGGGTCTTGGACACAAAGAGGCGTTCGTCGCGTGTTGGTCCGGGAGAATCTGGGTAAGTAACCTAAGATCGCAATAACGGATATGCTGACAGACGAATGAGCTTCTCGCACTTCGCACGTGGGTGGAGAGTTTCGAGATACCTGCACCTCAGCCACCACGGGCGCTCACGCAGGAATGTCGCATCAGCGCTGTGTTTCGCTGCTCGTAATTTGTGTTATTCTGCTTGCCGCCTGCGGGACTTTCAACGCGTCGTAGGGCGGATGGGATGCGAGCGATTGAGGTATTTTCGTTCCTCAGACCGCGTGGACAGTATAAAAGGGACTCGGCACGCACGTCTTTATTCGGACGCATTATCCCAAGTTTGTGCTGGGTACTGAGCGATCTTCTTCTCGCACCAGCTATTGTCATACATGTTATAGCGACACCAAACGATGTCTTCCGTTCACACAGAATCGTGAAGGATGGTAAGGGTAGGAATGGTTACTCAGCAAGAAGCTTTGACCATGTCGTTTCTGGTCTCGCTCGCCCTCAGCATCAACTCTTCCTCAACCCTGTCATCTAACCTGCCACTGCAGACCAATACACTTATCGGGATCAATGTCTAGGAGGCATTACCGAGCCTGTGTATGATTGCACGCATGGCTGAGTCGAGAGCGCTCTCTACGATTTCTATGCTCTCTCGCTGTCAAAGCTTCTCCATCGTGGAAACCTAGGTAGGCTCCAGAGTAAGAAGGTAGACGTCAACACCTTGCACTTCTGTTCCAGGATCATTTGCGACATTGGGCCTTACGCGCGCTCTCAATCTCTATCGCCTGGGAATCTCCACGCCTATTAACATGAAGTGGAAACCAAATTAGGATTCTATAAGGTTTGTTGGCGTCGCATCGCCTCCTCTAGCGTAAAGCCCCTGAGACAGTCTGAGCGAAAGTGTGACGCCATCCACGGCAGGGTACAGTACCCTCGAACCCAGACCAACTTCATGTCCGCGAGTCTGTTGGTCCACTCCGCAAAATTTCCTGGCTCAAAGCGCCATGATTGTGGGATCTGGGCTGTTCGAGAAACAGAAAACCCGTCATGACGCTACACGGCGCCACACGTCGGCTTCATCGAACAGAATGCCATGGATAAATGCAATTAGGCTTATGACATGTTAGAGGTCCGCCACAGATTCTTAGTCGCCTCATCTACGAGAAGTAGGACCGACATCTCCAAGGGAAAGTCAACCGCGGCGGCGAGCAACTGTAGTTGGGTCGGAAGCAACCCCGCGACGTCGCCAAGTCCTCGGAACGCTATCAACATTTGCTGCGATTCAAGCCTGCGTCCCCTATCGCTACCAACGCGACTTATCAAGTTACCGGCGCGTCTAGGCAAACGCCACGAGGGCGTTCCAGGAAAATCCTGTCGGGTGCAGTAGCTTCACGACAAGCTCACCCAAGAATGTTGTAGTACCTGATGGCTTCCGGCAGTAGCTTACCACGCTTCCAACGCACTTCAAGGCTCCTATTTGTAGCTTGAGGTCTTCAAGCCGCTTCCGGCTTCTTCTAGTGCTGCCTAGGCTTGGTAGCGAAGTTTCATTGCTCAGCTTCGGCTTCCAGGAACGATAAGGCATCATGCCTGTCAGACGGCAGAGACTGAAAAACACGCGGCCAGGTTTGAATAGGTGATGAACGAAATGGGGTGTGTTGTCGCTCATGTCCGAGACACCACGCGATATCAGACGACATGCTGAAGCTGTTGACTGGACTGGGCCATGCGACACTTGGAGGAGCTTCATCATATATGGGTTGACGTTTGCGCGGCAGCGCAAATATGATGTCTAGAAGATGCCGAAGGTCATCGCCCATACGGCAAAAGAGTATGTCTCGTCTTGCCGGTAATAGGCTGCGAACCGCGGAGCTGGTTGATCGACTAGTGATCAGCACGGAAGGACGACGCTACCAGCCGCTTGGAACTATGCGATTCATGATACTCATATGCAGCATAACACGCCTGATCATATACCACCAGTTCGGAGCCGCGATAAAGCTGCCCCTTCGTGAGATACCCTGACCCTTGTCATCGCGCTACCCGGTATATGCAGGTGTCAAGATGTCAAACAGCCCCAGGTAGAGCCCACAGTCGTCTTCACATACACTCCTTCCATCTGACCCCATTGGGGTGAAGCAAGCCTCCGCCAGCCACACACGCACTGTGGGTTGTTCTGCGCAATGGAGATCATCACTTCCATTGTAAGATGTTCGCATACGCAATACTCCGAAGTCTCACTTATCGTCCACAGGTCATCCAGGGTATCTTGCTCGCTCTAGCACTAGGCGTCACGATCCTACGATGTTGGATTCGTCTCATTGTAGAGCGGCGCTCACTGACATTGCCCGACTATCTCGTGTGGGGAGGAATGGTTTGTGCGCTTGGCTGGTTCGCTTGCTCTACGAAAGCGCTCTACATCCTGATTGACCATCCTCTGGATGAGGAGACCAGAAGTGATTCCGTTGTTTACCTAAAGGTACGTCGATAGTACAGCATGTGGCATGTCCGACTGAACAGATAGGCTGACTAGTTCTCGGCGACAGGTCGTATTCGTGTCAGTCTACTTCTTCGACACGGGATTGTATTTTCCCAAAGCCTCGCTCGTCGCTTTCTACTGGTGGTTAATTCCTCAAGGCTTCAGACGTCTCCGGATCGCAGTTTATGTCACCACCGTGGTTGTGGCTTGTTCTTTTGTCGCCAGTGTATTGATGGATACTCTTATCGCACCAAATATATCGGATAACTGGTAAGGCCAAAGCAAGATTATTATACTCAAGTGTTTTTCTCCAGCTAACATTGGCTCCTCAAAAGGTCTATCGAGAACCAGCTCAGTTCAACATGGAACACTTACTCCAACTTGGTGGTCAATTGGACGCTCAATTTCGGCACTGATCTCTTGCGTAAGTGATGCTGAAGTCGATCCATAGGGCGTTAGCTAAGACATCTTGACAATTAGTATTCGGGCTACCGTTCTTCATCTTCAACTGCTTGAAGCTTCGTAAGCGACAAAAGATTGGTCTGGTAGGCATCTTCTCTCTCGGCGCAATCACGATGGCGATCAGTCTTGCCCGGTTCATCGTCTATAACATGGACTATGATGTTTCCGATGCAGATGGAAGTAAGTCACCACCTCGCCTGATTTATCTCGACAACCTTCGTTAACACAGCTACAGATCTATGGTGCACCGCGGAAATGTGTACAGCCGTTATCGTCGTCTCACTCCCCTCTCTGAAGGCGCTCATCATTAGACCAACGCCTAACAACACGTACGATCGCAGCAACTCTGGTTACCTGCAAGCCGGGGATGGCAAGACTATTGGCAGCAAAGGCAACGGGCATAGCTCGCGTGTTCAGGGCGGCACGTTGGACGATGACGAGATGGAACTTACTTTTCTCGTAAGAGATTTCCTTGAACGAACTGCACTTAGGACACGTACTGACTTCGCACCAGGACCGAAAGGCTAGTCCTGCACCAACTGGAGCCACTGATGAGACTAGGGTGCAAGATGGGAAAGATGGCGTGATTGTGACGACGGATTTCACTGTCACTAGAGATGTGCTGTAGATTGAGGCATAGGAACCATCCCACTCTGGGCACAAGTGTATCAAGACACCAATGGAAGCAAAATTGCGAAATCACAGCCGTAGTTTTTAGAACACTACAAGCATGAACTCGTGCTTTTCATGCGGCTTCTGTTCACCTACGCTGGTCTCTGCTGTGTCACCGTCATACTCAGACATCGGAACCGGTCCCTTTCTATGAGAATCTGATGCTCGGCGTATGTTGCCAAATTCCATCGCATCTGGATTAGACGAAATTTCGATACAGTATCGTATATGCGTCAGAGCCAGGACGGCACGGGGGCTAATGCAGAGAAAAGAAGTGGAAGGTACAGGTGGACCTGTGGCTTGATGGAGCGAAACGCAGCTACCATAAATCTGCGTATCATGAATGAGCACAAGCCACAAGCAAAATCGTTCTAGATCGAATGCTTGCTTTGATGTTCTTGTAAACCGAAGTAAACGGGTCATAGCTGCTGGTTCTGGTGTTTGGACCGAATCATAGTTTCTCTAATGCCACTCTGCACATTGGTTGCCCAGGGCAAGGTTTCCGAGTCGCAATCGTTCTGATGCAGTGTCTTGTGTCCGGTGAACGCCTGCCAATCGCGAGAATGCTTTCAGTCCTCCTTGTCCATCTTAGTGTGACTGTGACAAGTGCTAGGCATAGAAAAGCATGTGACGCTGGAGACCGAACCCAAAGGATGAGAGAAGGAGCCTATCCGCACACCTGCTGCATCAAAGTGTACAAGAGCGCGGTCCTGCCAGCACTAAAACGGGGTACAGCGCGATTTATAGATGTGAAATGTGCATAGGTACAGGAGGTTGGCGAGGTTATCATCCGTTGTGACGTCCGTGCGGATATGACGGCGAGGAGGCGGTGCAGCGCCCAACCAGCGATTCGCTCAGATGACCCACCCACCCGCCATCATCCACCAACTCCAGTTCTCTCCTGCTGGACGTACGCCAGCGCTCCACGCTCCACGCCGTTCCTTCACCCGCACCGACCACTGCACCCTCGACTTGCGCATACTCACGACGACGTCCACGGGCGTGTTCTGGATGCCGGCGATATGACGCCCAGTAGCTGCCGCCTCGTTCCCTTCTCGACTCTGCTGCTGGCTTGGGCGGGCTTTGCGCTGGCCGGCGACACCATCACATCCGGGAAGATCAAAGTACAGCTGTTTGCTGCGCCTTCGTTCTTGAGCGAAGTTAGTGTGGACGCGTATAATAACCAGTGTCTATCGTTGGATAATAATCTGTATGTCGCACTCGTATTGCAGCATTCGGGCAGCTGCGCTAACTCGGGAATAGTATCGATGGGCGCGTACAGAGCATTTTAGTAGGCGGGCATGATGTCGCGACTGTGTTGGCCAGGGATGATTACTGGAATTGCCGCTTCTATGAGTAAGTGGTGGATTGGGCTTTGAGGGGGGCTAGCAGCTGACTCTGTGGCAGCAACTATGACTGCGATGGCGACGACAATCTGGACCGGTACCTTGCGATATCCGACGGTGCAAACAACCTAGGGAGCATCGCATGGGGTACGAAGATACATGGCCTGAGGTGCCGAAACCGTGACCATGACGATGATTGAGCGAGCGAAGAGTCACCACGAGAGACGAACACGCGCAGCGATGCGTCTAATAAGCTTAACCAGAAAGAACAGCGAGTTTCGCACACGACATGGCTTCGATATCGACACGCCAGCGAGAAACCTCCGTCGCGAAGACGAGAACGTGGTGGGGAAGAGCAGAAGCACACGGTGCATACGTGTGCCAAGCACCGCACGAGCTGATGAAGCATATAAGCAGGAAGCATGGCAGTCGTATACCAAGGCATGCATTATTCGATATAGCGATGGGGTTGGCGTTTACGTTGGGTTCTGCATCCACATAGGACAGGTGACAACACCGGCGTTCGAAGTGCTCGACGCCCACTTTTAGTGCTGTACCAGTACCGAACAAATCTAAATCTAAATCTAAATCTAAATCTAAATCTAAATCTAAATCTAAATCTAAATCTAAATCTAAATCTAAATGTAATAAATTGATTAATCACATGTTCTTGTTCATTGACGGCCTGAATACCTATGACTGTCGCGTTATAAAGGATTCACCAGGTCGAAGGGCTTCTCTCTCCGTGGCGACATGTCATATCTCAGCCGTACACGCTCATCTGAGATCTGAAGCAGCATCGTGAGAGGTATGTAACACCTGTCTATTCATTCATTCGTGCCATCATGAGCACCTGGGTATCTCCAGTGCAAAAACCAGCCGCTAAACGCCATGCTATGTAATGCTTCCACACTTGCTGCTTCTATAAATCGATCAAGTCCGGCGCCTCTCCTGACCCTACACCTCGCAGAAGGACAATCATATTCCCAGACGTACACGGCTCGCCAATCTTCTCACTGAACTTCAGCAGTCGTCCGCCTTCCACGTGGAAGACGCGTAGTTTTTCCTCCTCACCGCCGCCGCGGTTGTTCACGTTTTGTACCTGCAGTGACTTGGCCGCCATGTCAAGCACCCGCCCTACGGTCCACTCTTTGTTGTAGAAGAACTTTCCCGTGGGGTATTTCGCCTTGGTTGTATCGGCTGATGCTTCGACGTGTAGGTATATGCGCTTCTCTTGGGGTACGCTAGCTTCGCCCTTTGCTGTCCGCTTCAGCGCATTGAGTTCAGCCTGCGCTGAAGCTGCCGCCGACGACGCTGAACTCTTTCCTATTCCCAGGAAACCCGTCTTCTTGGGGGCAGATCTCCGCTTCTCGTCGTCCTTCTTCTTCTGTTCGGCCCATGCTTTCAGTCTTGTGAGTGCTGTTTGCGTGCGCGCTTGTACGTAGTTTTGCGGTCGCGCGCCGATGGGCGTGAGGTTCTTGCAGTCGTGATCCTCTTCGAAGCGGTGCTTCAGACAATATCTGCGATTACATCGTGCACAATGTACACCTTGCGCGCGGGCGGTATCGATCAATGTCTTGCACGATGGGTCGGCACACTGTTGGTCGTGGTTGAAGACGGTCGGTTTTGGGGTAGACAGCGATGAGCCCTGGTTATTCTTGGCTCTCTGTCTTGCCCATTCGCCTTCCTTAGGACACTTGTGCGCGTATTCGGTGCGGTGGTCGAGACAGAATTTCCTGGGTTTGTTAGTATGACAACACAATCGGATGCTTTACGCGTTGTACCTACCCATGACAACTCTCGCATCGGAACGGTAGGAAGTCCAGCACGTTGCAGTACTCCATCTGGCAATGCGCCCCAATAGCTTCCAAGTCGCCCTTCATCTCGGTGTAGCTTGATTCGTTGGACGTCATGTTTGTGGTAGAGACAGGGACAGAATATAAATAAGGCACTGGTAAGGAAACTGCTAGAGAGTCACCAAGGCAAAGGCAGTGTATAATAAACAAGCTGAGCAAGCATGAGAAGCCTCGAGAAGGCCGCTTAGGCTACCAAGAGCTTACGATTGTCGCCGCGCCATCTTCGGAAGGCGATTCCGATGAAGGGCGAATGGCGCTAACCATCAACTCGCTAGCGCCAGGGTCCAGCGTTGCCATCCTATCAGTACGCGTCTACCTTTACCACAACCATGAGACTCTATAGCCACCCTGATGTCTGATATGTCTGGAAAGAGAGCAGAGTACTGCTATGGGTTCGCACCGCTTCGATAGTTCGCCCGTGATCTCAATCCTAAAGTGGAATTTTAAGTCGAGCTTCTCCTTTTCATCAGCCTTCTAACGAGGCTTTACTTCAGCCTTGCCGACACTCACATTCTATCTTTACACGATGGTAGCTCCAAGCACCGAGACACATCTCACAAGCCATCACAGGATGAGTTTAGTATTTGGTAGACTTATTGTACTGCACTCGCCCGTTAGACTATTGCCATACCTGCTGTTGAGGGGTTAATGCTAAGCAATATATGATGGCCATTCGTGCTTGGCGAGCGCCATCCCCATGCATGTAGACGTATCTCATTCGCTGAAGCAGATAGTCGTCAGCCGTACCAGTGCATATGAACCTATTGCCTGCAGCTAGCACTTGTTCCTCTCATTACAACACCGTCAATGGCGGAAGTGGTAGGCACCGTCGCTGCTGTCGTCCAGTTTGTGGACGTAGCTCTTCGTCTTTCATCTTGTCTAGAACGTTTTTGCTCAGATGTGCGCAACGTGCCGCGTCGTTTTCTTCAGCTGCAGATCGACCTACGTCAGCAAATCGAGATTGCGCAGCACATACAGAATGACCATATACCCAGTTTTGCGACAACAGTATCGTACTCGACGCTTGACGCGCCCCTCCTCGAGTACGTTAGTCTTGCTGACGAGTTGAGCAAGACGTTAGAACGATTGCTCACCCGTAAGAACGATGGAATGCTACAACGAGGCTGGAGTGGGATTTGCTCCCTTCGCAAGAAGGAAGAAGTGGCAAACATTTGCGATCGACTCGAACAAAAGAGAAGCATTCTCTCCATGTGGTTGAACGCGGCAAATCTGTAAGTAGAATCGCTGGACGAAGCAGAAGTCGGTTGTAGGTGACCGAGCACCACAGCACTGACTAGCATGCAGCAAGCTCTCGTCAGAAACTGCGGCGACTACCGATGAAGTGAGACTCAAGATTGGAGAGGCATTAACGCTAGTGAAGACAGTTGAAAAGACATCGAGCGCAACCGAACACAGTACAGCACAGCTACTACCTCACGTCGAACAGATCGACCGAAACGTATCGGCTACTTCTGGAAAGGCCGAACGGATACTGCAAGACCTCCAGTATCTGAAGTCTCAGTCGATGAGTCTCTTAATAGACCGGAATGTGGATACCACAGCACAGGAATCGAGCCGTCAGATGACGGCAATAATACTCTCAAACACCGAGCAGATACTTGAGGCCATCGAGAAGCTGGGCTCTGATTCGGATAGAGCCATTCTAGGTACAAGAGATGACTTTGTCGTAAGTCAACTAAGCGTCGATGCATCAGGCACACGTCTTCAGCGAAGCGCTACGGATTGTATTCGTAGATCTCAGAGATGTAGGTGTCGCACTGTCGGTACTGCTCGCCGCTGGCAACCGTTATCTATCCTTCGATTTACACGAACCTTCCGGGCGCAGCACTTCTCATACTGTCCGGAATATCGGGTCTCAGAACAAAGTCTCGAGGTTACCATGCAACTTGTTCCTCCGATTTGGCTCTTTTCCAATACCGTCAACCTCGGTACCCGCATAAGAAACTGGTCAACGATGAAGCCGTTCTCAATAAGTCCGATAGTAGTCGGCACAAGCAGACTTGTCGATCCGAAGACGTCGCCTGTATTTCGTGCGATTACAGAGACCATCGAAGAGCTTTGGGAGAATGGACAGCATCATATATCCATCCCTCGGCTCCAAAACACACTGCAAGACTTGTTCGACAATAATGAAGCATCGGTTCTTGATATCGACGATGATGGAAATACTGTCTTGAATGTAAGCTATGCCTTTCTTGCAGGGCATGTAATTTTCGTTGATCGAACAACAGAAAATCGTTGGGATATTTACAGCCTCTGAAGCGCTTTGGCGGGCAGGCGATGAGTATATCGCCATCGTCCGTTTTCTGTTGAAAAGAGGCGCCGATCCAAACGTCCTGAGAGGCTCGAAGGACGACGAGCTTTCAAATTCTTTCAGTTGCCAAGGCACCACATATGACCAACTTACAGGTCCGATAGCGTATGGTCTGAGGATGTTTTCTCCGGCTAGAAGATCAAGGTACCTGGAAGTTTTGGAATCGATTGTAGAAACTGGAGGCCATACCTCTAGACCTTTCGTACACGAAGTTCACCAAGACGCAATACACTTTCGTGATGAGATTGAACAACTACTTGTCTTCGAGGATCAGATCGATAGTGAGTTGTCTGAAGCGTTTGATCGAAAAAGATTGCTGATGTCTCCTAGTCCGGGACCATGGCGATTTTGTTCCAATGATACTTCGACAACAAGTAGAGCAGTTTCAACGCCTTACAAACAAGGCTAAGCTATCAACTCTGAACCACACTTCTTCAATCGATGGACTTGCTCCGATCCATTTCGCTGTCTTGTGGCCTACTGGACTGAGAATGCTGCTCGACAGAGGTGTGCATGTGAATCCTGAAGACATCTACGGTCGACGGCCTATACACCTCGCTGTGGCGCTGGGTATCACTGACTCTGTGCGTTGTTTGCTTGCTGAAAATTGTGGACTCTTTACTCCGCCAAATCGCAATAGTCTGTTGCAACTTGCATTGAGATTGCAAGATCCGGAAAGGTCGCAGATCCTGCACTTGCTTGTTCCAGCTTTGATCGATCGCTTTGAGCGCCTTCAAGATATGGCGAGCAAACTCCTGCCGCCCTCTGTTTTCTCTCAACTCGAGTTGGCAACTGGGCAACTGCACGAACAAAGAGCGCCGCTGATAATCGAAACGCTTACAGCGCATGGCATAGACGTTCCTCAGGCTCTGGAATTAGATGGAAAGAGCTTCTACAACTTCGCGGACCTCTTTAGCTGTATCAAAATGACACCAGAAACTGCGAGTGTATTCTGGGATGCTGGATTCCACGATATCGACACGCCTGATAGGAATGGGTTAACTCCGTTCCTACAAAGTTGGTTTTCCGCCAACTTTGAAATGGTAGATTGGTTCGCACAAAGAGGAATATCTGTGAGATCAGAGCACGAGTCTGCCTCATTGACGGCTCTTCACTTCTATGCCGCAAGATTGCGTTTTCCCGGCGATGGTTTCGCCCGTGACATCGATGCAGTGCCTACAAGTGAGCACTACATGGACATGGTACAAAAGGAATTGGGTATACCATACGACGATTGCCGATGCGCATGCTCTCCTGAAGGCTGTGCGCCTATCAAATTCTTGTTCGAAGAATTTTACGAAGATGACAATCCCAAGCCGAGAATCAAGAAGTGGTTCGAAAGTGTCAGACCATCCCAAGCTCTGGAGTCACAGTACGTACATGATCTCACACGATATCTGCTGTTCAAATTCCTGGGTGGTGAGCATACTTGCTGCCATCTTGGACAAGAGGGTTCCGTAGAATACACGAAACTTCGAATAAAGCCATCTATGAACAGATGGAGCGCACGGACCCAGAGAAATATAGAAAAGTTTGATGAGCATTGTAGGCTCTGCGAGAACGACATACCGACACCCCAGCGGGACTGTCTACAAGCTTTGCAAGACCTGGACATTTTCAAAGAGACTTTGGACTCTGCAATGTCGCATTACGATGAGATGGATCGGCCTGATACTATGCCACTCGAGGAACAGGCATTTAAGTATATCAACTGGCTTCTGATAGAAGGACATTTGGATATCGACGTGAGCTACGAGTGTGAGCACTGGAGACGCTGGTAGTTTTCATATCCAGACTTCAGTCCTACCTCAACAGTAAAGTTGCTGGATGATTTCGTAATCGAAAACTTCAGCAATAAACTTTGGTCGTTCTTCAGACTCTTCTTAATTCCAGCAACCTTGACGAAGCAAACACGAAGCTGTAACGATTTTGAAGGGGCCTCAGTATTCTTATAGTATTACCCTGCATCCAAGTGTTTCAAGGCACCAGAATTGCTGTATTACTTGTGCTACCAAACGCCATATCCATGCTTATGCTTCTATACAACGCCATGTGTGTGTGTGCAAACCCTACCCGAATCCATGCGAAGGAAAACTACGACTTCGTCCTCGTATCAGCGTCCGAAACTCTCTTCACTAACCCTCTGATCTTGGGCCAGAGTTCCGGTATGCGAAAAGGTTTCGAAATGGCATCATCCATGCCTGATGCCAGCGATTGTTCAATCTGTTCCATGCGCGCATTCGCGCTGACAGCTAGAATTGGAAGGCGTAAGGATTGTTTTTCAGCCCGTTCGTGGGAGGCGGAAGAGGCAGACAAGGTTTTCCTGTGCTGAGCTTGAGTAGATGGTGCGGAATGAGGAGCCGACGGAGCCGCGAGGAGGCCTTGGTGTTCGTAATCGCGGATGAGCCGGGCGCAGGTAAGACCATCCATGATGGGCATTTCAATGTCCATGAGAATGATGTCGAGTTCGTGTTTGTCTTCAGTATTAGAGCCGTCTTTCTCGTTTCGCCAATAGACACTGTCCTTTAACCATTCTAGCGCCTCTTGACCGTTCCCAGCTACGCTGATGTTCCAACCAAACTTTTGCAGTTGCTTTCTAAGCACTTTTTGGTTGACGAGGTTATCCTCTACGATAAGAACGTTGAGTTTGATCGTCTGCATAGCCTCCTCACCTGTCATCGTTCTACGAGGAACAGGTCGCGCCTGTACCGCGCGAGCGGCAACATGGTCAGCTGGTGGATGCGCGAGGCGGGTGCTGATGAAGAACGCGAATGTCGATCCTTCTTCCTTCTCGGAGTGAACTCCGATGGCTCCTCCTTGTAATTTGGTGAGAGACTTGGAAATGAAAAGGCCCAGGCCAGAACCACCATATTTGACGTGTGTGCGAGGCGTAGCTTGAGAAAACCGGGAGAAGAGTTTCTTTTGCTCATCCATGGTCATGCCGCAGCCCGTGTCCTTGACCTTGAGCCACAAAAATGCTATTCTGCCTTCGCCCCATTCCGCCTTCTCGGTAATATCGGTCTTGGGCTTTTCGTCATCGGTGAAGGTTACTTCATTCCAACATTTTGGTGGACGGCTCCAGGAACCACCGATAGTAACGGTGATCGCCTTTTGCGGGCGATCTTTAGTGAATTTGATAGCGTTGGTGCTGATTGTATCAGTAGATGGCACGGAAGCTGAAGATTATGCTACTCACAGTAGGTTTATGAGAACCTGTAATAAACGTGACGGATCGAGCATTGTCCATTCCATTCCACTGAACGTTTCATCAACGCGGAAAGTGAGCTCGATACCCGACTGATTACACTCGACTTCGAACATTCTGACTGCGTCTGACACCACGACCGCGGGCTGAACACGCATCGGCGTGATTAAGATCAAGTTAGAATCAAGTTTAGACAAGGTAAGTACGTCGTCGATAACGCGTTTCTGATGCATCGAACACGACACGATGATGAGTAGTGATTCAATGCAGCTCTGAACTTCCGCCTCTGCCTTGGATATGTCGGACGGTTGTTTTGATCTTGCGAATTGGCGTCCGGATAGTTGTTGGAGCGAAGCGATGACTGAGTCAGCGCATTGTATTACCGCTGACAGTGGATCTAACAACAGTAAACGACGTTAGCATGTATCTCGTATGTGGTTCGTACATGAAGATGACTAACTTCTGAGTTCGTGCGACGTCATATCAATGAAGCTGTTTAAGTTAGTAAAGGAAAGTAAAACAGTGCGCGCGGAGTCTTACTTTTCTTGCTGTCGTTTAGCTTCCAGCGCCTCATCTATGCGACGCCGCTGTACGCTCTCCGCCCACTTGAAATGTGATATGTCGAACAAAGTCCCCATTATGCCTTAACTGGTCAGCACATGTATCAATTAGTGTTCAATGAAACGTCATCGTACTTATGACTTTTCCATTTTCGTCCAGCTCTGGGTAACTCGAACTTTGTACCCATATATTTGACCGTATGCCGTCTTGGTTAATCCATGTTTTCTTTAAACGGAATTGCACCCCACTCGATTTACCGCATTTGAGCATGCCGTCCCAATCCTGCTTTACTCTCTCCACATCCTCGTTGGAGATTAGATCGAACCACTCGTATTGGTTGACAGGTGCATGTGCGTGGCCTGTAAGTTCGAAGAACTGGTCGTTGACAAAATTCATGCCTGAAACAATGTCAGAACAAATCGGATTATGAGCTGGTTGTACTCACCACTCTCAGGGACGTATATGTATATAGCTGTAGGCGAGGTCTGAGCGAATCGTGCAAACTTCCTTTCTGCAAGCCGCGCTTGTTCTAGTGCTTCCCTGAACACGAAATCAGCATATGAGCACCCTATATGCTTGGAAAGACACTTACACCTGCGCTTGTGCAGCTTCTTGTGACTTCTTCTGTGCGTTGATGTCTATTGTATTGCCGGCAATACCGATCAATTGCTTATCGTCATCGAATACAGGGACACAAGCTGAGAGTACCCATTGCGCAGCGTCTTTTGACCCTGAACGTGCCTTCCAACGCATCTCAAAAGTAACGGATTTCCCTTGGGTAAGCGTGTTCCACATGGACATTACTAGTGCTTGGTCATCTGGATAGACAAGATCCATGAATGAGTACTCGTCGGGTTTGGCGTCTCTGGGTTGGGAACTTGACTTTGTTAATGAAGTAATGAATAATGTTGCGTTCAAAGTTACCTGAGTCTATACCATGCCTCATTTGCATGTAATAGCTTTCCCTCTGCGTTATACTCAAAAACGCCAACATCGCTCATCTCCATCATGGTCTGGATACTTTCCCATCTGGCATGAAGGCTTGTGTATGGAATGTTCCTGAGTGACACTGCTCTTTCGCGCTTGAGTTCACTCATCAATTGCGCCTTTGATCTTGTGAAAACTGGTATCCGGCCCATACTGAGATCATCGTTGTCGTCCGCTTCTTTCCCTAACGAGGCTGAATCCTGCTGATTTGCATCCAACTCTCTCGCCTTTACCACTTTCCAACTGCCATTCCGCCCCGATATTTCGGCAGTCCAGACTAAACCTCCAAAGTCATATCGCGGCTTGTATTCACTCAAAGCCTGCGCCCATGAGCGGAAGAGGAGCGCTGCTCTGTCCTGGGCTAATATGGAATTGCGGAGATGGAGTTTTCGGAAAGCTTCGTTGCAGAAGAGAAACTCAAAACCCAGAGTTATTTCTCCCGCTCTAATGACGAAAAGTGGTGCTGGATCAGACTCCAGCTCCTCCAGGTCCAGCAAGCGTGCGCTGGCACACTCGGCCGACGGCATTCCGAACAGGTTCCGATGACTTTCGATGGAACATAAAGGGACAACAGGCGATTTAATGGTCTGATAGTGTATGATCTTAGGAGTGTGCTCGGCGCTCAGCGCTCAGCGCTCAGCGCATCCTGTAGGATGTAGTTGTAGCAATGTGATGGAAGGGGCGGTGTCCACCGGGAATGGGTATTGTAAGGAAACTGCTGTTCAAGTTCGCCACTAGGGAAATCAAACGACAGTGATCCCAGATGGTTCCACGAGCTTGTTGTCTAAAACGATGAATATGATGTGTATGATCCAGGATGTAGTTGAGCAAGTCGAGGTGTTCGTGCGCTGTCAGTGGTACTATGTTGGCGTACCTTAGATGCGCGACCTGGGCTGCAAGGCCGGCGAAATGCACCAATGTGTGGCATGGCAACTACTGTATGCGGGCTGGGTGGGGATGAGTCGGACCGTTCTAGTCCTCGATGGCCGGAATAACAGACTAAACGTAGATGCGTCGGATATCGGATCAGCATAGAAGAGAAGGGGGACGTCTCCGGCTATTGGTCGCCGTCGCGAGTGTAAAGCTCTGATTTTGACGCTAGTTCAATCTCGACCGCAACCATGAATTGAAATAGCTGAAGTGCCGCGTTCAGGGTCCAAATGATCGTCGATATCGGCCCAATTTCCCATCGACTGCTGTTGAGGCAACAACTCTTGCCCAACCCATGTGGCCCTGCAGCCTTTTCCGGTGTGTCATATCGGGATCTCCATCTCAAAGCACACACGCAAGCATCGATAATCCCAGTCAAACATGAAAGAGTCAAAAGACACCTTGACAGACATTCGGAAAGGGCAAAGCAGGTCATGTCAAGTCAACCTCGCTCTCCGTAAACAGGGCTTGCTACACAGTAGGTGTTCGCTGTCGCAACATCGACAGCCGACAGCGTTGATACCTAGATGAATCATGTTCTTACCCCCAGGGTTTTTCTTGTTGTTTTCGATTCTAGTAGCACAATTCCTCGCTCATCTCTCTTTGCAGTTTTGCACAGGCACGAGTGGCCAGTTCACGCTACGAATCACGTGCTAGCGCGCTTTCAACCTCTTGGCGTGTAACACAGGACGAAGTCGCGACTCCTGCTTATTGCTAACACAGCAAATCCCCGCCCACAATTAACGCCCGTACACCTACTATCGGTAACTGAGGGCACTGCTGCCTGTCATAATTCGCCTGATTCGCCAATATGAGCGAGGATGAGTTCGGCTGGTCATCTGGCGACGAAGAGCCATTCGCGGCTACCACAGATGCTGTGCTAGACGGAAAGCGCAAACTTACTGTCGACAGCGGTAACACGACGTCCTTGTCCAAGCGAAACAGACATGAGAGTAGTAACACCGTCACCCCTTCACCAAACACGCTTCTTGCGAATCGAATCCTCAAGGAACGCTTCGCGATAGATGGGTTTCGGCTCGAACAGGAAAGAGCCATCACTCGACTTCTGGATGGCGGCAGCGCGGTCGTTGTATTTCCCACTGGGGGTGGCAAGAGCCTTTGCTACCAGGCGAGTCATGTCTTTGTGCAATGACTTACCCGTCTGACTATCCAAGGTACCTGCCGTAGCGTTTAGATATCAAGACGAACAGCTTGGTCGCCGGACTGCCGATCAAAGCGGCGTCACCTTGGTCATCTCACCGCTCATCGCTTTGATGAAGGATCAGGTAGATGCCCTCTTACGCCGCGGAGTCAAAGCTGCTGTGTTGAACTCGTCCGTCTCCCGCGACCAATTCCTGGCCACACAAGACGACCTCAAAAAGGGCCGCTTAGATCTTATTTACTGCGCACCAGAGCGTCTCAACAGCGAAGGTTTTATCGCGTCACTCAAAGATATCCCTGGAGGCATCCGTCTGTTAGCTGTCGATGAAGCGCATTGTATCTCTGAGTGGGGCCACTCGTTCCGCCCAGACTACCTCAAAATTGCTCGATTCGCAAAAGAAGCACAAGTTGAGCGAGTTGTATGCCTCACCGCCACAGCAACACCGAAGGTCGCCGAAGACATTAGAGATGCTTTCGCTATACCCAAAGAAGGCCTGTTCCGGACAACCATGTACCGCCCCAACCTACGCCTCCTGGCTGAGGCGAATGGCAAAGACGCCGATTACGTGTCAAAACTAGCTGTTCATCTTGCGAAGTACCCTGGTCCTACCATCGTGTACGTGACAGTTCAAAAAGGCGCAGAGGTACTGGCCGGAGAACTGCAGAAGCGTGGCTTCAAAGCTAAGCATTACCACGCTGGAATGCCTGCGCCACTGCGCTCGAAAACACAAGACGAGTTTCTCATCAGCAAAGACATGATCGTTGTTGCTACTATTGCGTTCGGTATGGGCATCGATAAGCCAGATATCCGTAGCATCGTTCATTTCGACATACCTGACAGTGTCGAATCGTACAGTCAGCAAATTGGTAGAGCTGGTCGAGACGGCAAACCAAGTGTGTGCATGTTCTACCTCTCGACAAAGGACTTCTATCTGCGCAACATCTTCACTTACGGTGATCGGCCTTCGTTACGCTCATTGAAGCTTCTGATGCAGGATATATGTTCGCCAGCTCGTAGACAACTCAAAGCAGGCGATACTTTCCAACTCTCACTGTACACGCAGGGCCAAGAAACTGACATCAAAGCCATCATTCTCGGTATTCTGTATGCGCAGATGGAGTTGCATTTCGAACTCTTCCGTTCTGCTGGGGCTCTGTACGCGAAGTATAGTTACATTGTCAAGAATCCGAACATCGTGCGGAACGATGGATCGGCAGCAGCGTCAGCGATTGTTAGGGCATCAGTCAAGAGTAGCAAATGGACTCACGTGGCATTGGATGATCTCGCCGATTCCAGTGGCATCACCCGAGCGGATTTAGTACGCAAAATGGACGAATGGAATGAGCGCGGTGCGATTGAACTGAAGAAAGAGGGCGTACAGAACGTATACCGCTTGGAGCGACCCTTGCCGTCCACACCAGAAGAGATTGACAACATCGTCAAACAACTTGATGAAACCATGGAAAAGACAGAGCAACAAAACCTTGCCCGGACAAAAGCATTATTGGATCTGATCACCGACAAACGCTGCTTGTCTAGGTCTATCGCGGACTACTTCGGAGAAAGCACTGATGTATCAGAAGAATGTGGACATTGCACGTGGTGTGAGACACATAGGCGAGTTGTGCTACCTGACGAGCCGCCACAATCTCCTGATCCCAAGAAGGTTCAGCAAGTACTGAAGGATATTAGTGTACGCGATGACCCTAGGTTCCTTGCCAAGCTCGCATTTGGAATCAAGAGTCCGCGTATGACTGCACTGAAGGTCTTTTCATCCTCTGCGTTTGAGTCGATGAATGTGTGTGACTTTCCCGAGTTGTTGAAAGTTTTCACAAAGGCTTGCGAGGAACATAGCAGGAAGGGGAAGGCGTGAGCCGAATGCGATGAGCATTTTAGGATAGTTCCTAGCCCTTTAAAAAGATGTACATGCGGTTCATCGAAGCACGCTTGCCATCACAACGATTCGTCTTTCTAGAGAAAAAAGTTATACGTGCAATCCAATCAGTTCTAAGGGCGCATCACATATGTACATTGATACTGAGTGGATTATATGCGTCGTGTATCTACAGATGTCGATTAAGACATGGTATGCCTCTATAGCAAGAGCTCTCTACAACTCCTTCTTCAACTTATTCGTTTGTGTCTCCTCTTTCCTCAACTCTTTCACGCCAACCGCCGGTCTGCCCGCGACTGCTTCCTCGCCACCAAACGTCTTGAACGCATTATAGAAGATCCATTCAGTAGCGTGTTCGACTGGCTCGTCGAAGACAAAGGGGAGGAACGGGACTGCTGCAAGACCAAGCTGCTCTTAGTTAGAACCACATCGAGATCGAATAGCTGGAATTTACTTACCCCGATGGGTCCCCAAGTCCTCAAGGTCTTGTTCTTCGCATCCTTCAGTGCGCGCCCAGAGTACCTGACGATACTGTGGATAGTAAAAGCAGGTAGACCCATAGAAGCAACAGCCTGGAACACGGCTCTCTGCGCCATCACAGCCCTGTAATCCTCAATCGCAGGTATCTTGCCCGCAACCACCTGCCCACCGGTCAATGGGCCCCCGGCTTCACCATACTTGACACCTTCTGTACTTGTAGCATTCCTTGCCAGGTCTTGCACCTTGTCGAGAATGCCTGTACTAGTAGTCTTTCCTGTTGCCGCGAGATCTTTATCCTTGCCTTCTCCTAGACTCTTCTCTGCTGCTTCGTCGATGTAGTTCTCGGGGTGGAGTATGTGTTGGTTGCGACAGTAAGCTTTGTAGCCTTCGTGGGCAACGTCACCAGTGAGGTAGAGCCAGGATATACCATAGGCACCTTTGACTAGGTAGGGATGTGCGATGGGGCGGAAGGACTCGCCAATGTCAGAGGTGTAGGCTACATAGCGGTGCGCGGAAAGCATGATGGTGCGAATTCGGGAAGCGTACGCGGCATATCGGATGTTCGTATCTGTTGTGTCTTCGGCTCTGTAGTCTTGTCAGCTGAATCTATGAATCGTGGAGAGACTCGGAGCATCGCGGACGGTCGTTCGAATGGGCATATAGAGGACAATTGAGGGATCAGTACTTACTCGCCGTCGTAGAGCACGTCCCACATCTTCTCGTCATCATTGAGCGTGTCCTGAAGCTCTTTCGGCAGCTGTTTCCTAGCTGGTGGAATTGAGAAATCCGGTCGCGTGCCTTGACGCTCCACCGGTACGCCGTCGACCTCTACGATCTTCTTGTTGTCGTCTTTCGCCATGGCTAATGTGTTGCAAGGATTCTTCCTATGCTCAGATTTTCAAAAGATGGACAAAGGACGGACAAAGGACGGACAAAAGAGAGTGAAAGCAAGTCCTGGAGAGATGCGCAGGCGTAGACCTCCATGCTTCTTTGGTACCACTACTGCCTACCCTAACCAGAGCGCACCTCGGCAGCTCGACGTCACACCCACTCAATCGTTGTGGCTGTGCTAGTTCTCACTAGCCACAACCTGTCAGCCACATAGCGCCAAGACCCCATCTTCTCTTCCGAAGAGAGCTCCGCGCAACCGCAGCATCCACCAACGCTCCACCGCACGACTCTCCATCCATTGACACTCCATCACCCCGCTTACGGCACGGATAATCCTTAAATACCGCAAAGATGGTTGCCATGTACACTATTATGGGCCGCCAGGTCGGATCGCACGTCGTATGTTCTTTCCCTTAGAGGTGTACCGGAGGAAGAAAACTTTGGTGAGAGGGAGGACCGGAAGCATTGGATGAGTGCTTCGTGGCGCATGCCTTGGAGGCCATCCATGGCGGACTTTGGGGATCAGAAAGACGATATGGACCATAATCCCTGACATGGGCTGACAAGTACTGTGTTTAGCTCGCAATGGCCACCCTCGGTATCACATTCACCGGTGCTGCGCTCTCCATGGGCGGTAAGAAGGCTGAGGACCCCACCACTCCCCCGATCAATGCAAAGAGCAGCGAGGAGGAGAGCTTCGTAAAGTGCGTACACATACCCTAGAAGTGACATGCAGCTAGCTGGTTGCGAAAGCAGTGGAGTACAGGCGCTTGTACCGGAAGACGGAGGCTAACAACATACTAGGGAGTACGTCAAGAAGGCCGCCGACAAGGTCCAAGGAAAGCAATAAACATGACGTTCGGACTGGAGCAATGATGATAGTGGACGAGAACACGATGCGGCGGCGAGATCTCTTCGGATAGCCGCAAACGTGCTTCAAGGGTGTGGAACATTGTAGATACGCCAATTGTACCAACAAGCAAGCATTGGACCGATCTATCCACTCTCACACAAGTTGCTGTTTGCCATTTTGCGACATGAACATGACTGGGTATTCGATACTACAAAGCAGAATATAGACATGAGCGTGCGCTCAAGACCAAGGTATAAAGCAGCCGTCATAACCGTCATATAACTAGAAATGTGCAAGTGCGCCTCCCGTAACTCTGGACTTCTCAAAAAGTCCCCAATTTATTATCAACCGGCTTCTTCCTCTAGTCCTGGTCCTCTTCCAGGATGATCTTCTTGCTCATACTATCCACAACCTTACTATAGAATTTGGGCGCTTGCGCCCTCGGGAAGCAAATCTCTTCTGTGAGATAATCGGGCAGTAGATCCAAAAGCTCCTTGTCTCTTTGTTCGTGAAGCAAAGGCTGGTAGATGAATTCTGCGTCTTCGTAGGATGTACCGCTGGAGGCTACTGTGAGGTGGAAATGCAGTGCTGCAAAGAAGTGGTGTCAGTATATTGGTTATCCTAAGTTGAAAGGCACGTGGGGAATGCGACTTACTGCCGTTACGCCCTGTTTGTAGACAATCGTAAACGTCTTCCTCGTCTTCGGATCTCTTCACACCAAGAACAACGAGGTCTGTAAGATCGCTGTAAAAATCGACCTTCTGCTTTGCGAGTGTCGCTTCCTTGGCTGCTTCAACAGTGCCTGGCAAAACGACGCCGGTTGTCCTAGCTTTCACCGCGCTTCCCGGCACATTCTTGGTCTCTGGCTGCGCTGATCGGGCTGCTGCGAGCTTGCTCGACAATGCCTTGCTCTCGCCCTGTGCCGATGTGAGCGAGTCGGCGAGTTTCTTGTTTTCGGCAGCGAGACGCGCTGACTCCTTGGAGACTGCTGCCAGCTCTTTCTTTATCGATGCGAGGTCCGAGGTGCGTGATTGGAAATCAGATATTTGTTGCTGAAGGGCTTTGATGACTGCATCTTGGTCTAGAGATGTTTAGTATACACTATTGAGTTGCGTTCGTCGCGTCGTACCTTTTGCGATCTGGTCTGTCCGCTTCTTAAGCTGTTCAAAGTTCGACTCCTTTCCTGACGAGGCAGACTCCTTGAGCGTCTCGTACTTGGCTGTCATGGCGTCGAGTTTCTTTGTTAGGTCACCGACTTTCCTTCGCATGGCAGGGTCCCGCTCAGAGTCTGACACACTTCCTGTTCGTCTCACTCCAGCTGATGTTCGTCGCGCCCTGCTGTTCGGTTGGGCTCGACGCGCGGAGGGTCGCACGTGTGGTGGCGGCATGCTTTCGGGTATTTCGTCGACTTCGACTTCGACTGATTCTTCCACATCCATTGCGTCTGCGTCTGGCTCTTGTTGTGTCTCAGGGATTGTCATCTGCTCAGGCTCGGTCTCGGGCTCAGCTGCGCGTTTCGTCCCTCTTGACTTCGTCGTAGGCTTCGCCTTGGTCTCCTTCTTCGCAGGCTCTTCTTTCGCGACAGCCTTGCGCCCTCTCTTTGCGGGTGCCGCCTCTTCGACCTCGACCTCCTCCTGCGCCTTCTTCGCTGGTCTACCTCTCTTGGCTGGTTTGGGCTGCGCAACCGCCTCTTGCTCTTCTAGCTCTTCCGTCTCGTCCATATCGCTTTGAATGGCTTCAGCAGGCTCCGCTGGCGCCTTGCGACCACCCTTTGCCGCTACCTTTTTCGCGCCTGCTGTCGCGCTCTTCTTCATGGCTACCGCACTAGTGCCGCTCGTTGGACGCGTCGATGATCTGCCCTTCGCAGTCGCCTTGGTCGCGGAGGCCGTTTTCTTCGTTTGTGCAGCTCCACGCGTGCTTCGCGACGGCGCTTTGTTTTCGCTGTTGGATTCGGGTGTAGGATGCGCATTGAGCTCGTCGACAGTCATTTCGTCTTCCGAAGCGGATTCGACGGTAAAGGAAATATTCGCAGCTTTACTTCGGGGCGCCATTTTGTTCTGTCGCGAAAGTTTGGTAAGGGCGGGGAGTTGGGTGTGCGGCGGCATGGGAGCGGGAGTGGCATGTAAACACACGACCCTAGCGTCACTTCCTAACACAGCGCTTCTGCCCCCGAAGACGCAACCAGATCTTCACCAACAAGGGCAATGTTGTGCATGGAGAAAATTGGCATGAAAGAATCGTTATTATGTACAAAAAGCTATATACTGCTACAGTAGAGCGGGCTTGGTTGCCCAGCCCAGGTATCATCCCAAAGCATGTATCCAGAACGCCTAAGATCAGTTCGTCGTGAAGTCATAGCATACGCGACATTACTGTCAAAACCTTACTCGCTGTACTTTTATCTCCCAACACTGCTTCCGCCCCAATTGCTAGGCGCCAGACTGCTAAGCTTACTGGATACTGTACTGCCAGAGAACCAACTCGATGACACACCGCCGCCAAATCCGAACTTCCACCACTTCTTCCCACCATACTTTCTGCCGCCACCAAGAACAGTTCTATTGCTCTTCTTGTCGTCAATCTTGTCTTGCCATTTAAGCTTTGTTTCCATGATCGCTTGGATGGAGTTGATGATGAGGAAAGTCGTGGAGCCAATGGCGCGGAAGAAAGCAAGGCCAGCGACAGCCCAGAGAATGAATGTCAAGTAGAAATTGTTTGTCACTTTGCGATCCGAGTATGCTTCACTGATAGCCATGGCGAAGATAGCGTTTGAGATAAGCCAGATGACAACCATGTAGGTTCGGACAGCACGGTAGTAGTCTTCCTGTTGTTGCGACTCGGAGATCGGAGGCTCAGGTACTTCGACACGATCACGAAGATTCCGTAGGGCTTCGTCGTAACCACTGTCGATATCCAATTGCTCTGATGGCATTTCGAGTTCGACAACATCTTTGTTCTTTCCCTTTGCGTCTCCTAGATCTGTCTTCGCTACGTTATCACCCTTAGTTCCCCAGGTGATGTCGTGTGTATTGCAGAAGGCGTACACTTGGAGAGTGGCGATGTAGGACGGGAGAAGAGCGAAGTATTGCGCACTGGACGTGAACATGTGCCAAGGATCCAGGTACATGAAGGACATGAGGAAGTAGAGACCAACCGTCGTCCCCATAGAGACAATAAGGTTGGTGAAGACATTAGCCCCTATTGTCTTTGGTGCTTTTGGATCTTTGAGTTGGACGATGACGATGTAGAAGGAGGCGAAGGTAGTGTACGCCATGATGATACCGTACATGACCATACTCCAAAAGAACATCTTCTTGGCTCCTTGGGGTCGGTTACCCATAGATAGGATGAATTGCATGCAGATGAGCAAGGTGCATGTGTAACGTAGGATGTAGAAGATGTATTTTCCGATGTTGTGGCCGAAGGGATCGAGTTCCGGGTCTGACAGTGAGCCAGCAACGAAGTAGAATGTCAGGTAGAAGTTGGCAAGCGAAAAGAACGTGAACAGAAGTTGCACGAACTGGTACACGAATTCGATGTGGAGGAGGATCTTGCGCCCGATGGTATGGTCAGTTGCCCATACTTGCTTGAAATGAAGCAATGAGTAGACAGCGGCGAAGAAAGCACCGTTCAGCCATCGTCGACGTTGGGAAATGAACTCAGGTACAGCATCTGCGATGTGTTAGCTTCGGTAATCGATAGGACTGGCGAACATTCTTACCTGGCACATCAGTCTCACCAGTTGCCGCTTTGACGTATTTTAGAACCCATTGCTCGCTACGCTTTGCTACAAGCTCCCAACATAGGATACGATCTTCAGCCAGATACATGTTTGCCGTGAAAACGTCTGCATCTTGACCATGAAGCGTTTCTCCCTTAAAGTACTGGCTAAGGGGACCGTGGCCTGTGTGGTCGTTCTGCAACGCGTGATAACGGTATGCTGAAAGCGCACCAGGCAAGACAGTAATGTACCCAAATACAGACTCCAATGGCTTGTCGAGGATATTGGACATCTTGTATTCGAAGTTCTGCGACGCGACGAGCGGGTTGAGAAGACCAAGCCAGGCTTTGCCTTTACCTGCCTTGATTTCTCCAGCAGCTCCAGCGACAGAAGAGTCGGTGTCGAATGCTTTCCACAAGTGGTACAGGGCTTTGGGTCCAGGTTTGGTTCCCACGTCGAGTAGAATGCAGACGTTTGGATTAAGCGCCCGTCCGAAAGCGTTGAAGAACCAACGATGCGAGTTCAGCTTCTTCGAGTTCTTCTCCTTCAAGCAGAAGATCATTTGACATGGCACAATGCCCTTCTCCGCGCCCTTGAACTTAAGATCTGAATCCAAGGAGACTTGAGTGGTGTATTCGTATACGTGAGCTGTGACCTCCTTCTGGTTCACGTGGTTCTTCGCGATACCTTCTTGGAAGCATCCCATTGCAGCGATGGCATCTAGAGTTCGGGGATGGACCTTGCCACGACCGTCTGCGATGATGCACACAACGATCTTTTGCCATCCGTCCTTTCCCCAAGTTCTTGACTTCATGCGCGAGCAGAAATGGCTGATGTTCTGCATGACACCGTGCATTGTTCGGGTGAAGTCAATCTCGTTCTCGTTGTACATGGTAATAGCGATGAACAACTCCGTCTCCCGCTGATTCCCGATATTTTGGCGTAATTTGTAGCCACGATCAATGTAGTCATCTGGGTCGCATGTGACAGCCGTATATCGCATGTGCGTGAACTCGATGTCATCTCGTCGCGGAAGGAAACTGTGGAGGATGGTCGGGATCTTGCACTCGAGAATGAGTTCACCGTTGATCAGGCGAACCTCCTTCTTCGTCATTACTGCATCTCGCGCTCCACGTCGTTCCTGTGCGCCATCTGGAGCTGGCCCGTAGTGCTCTGCCTTCTCGTCGATTTCAGTGTATATGTCCGTATATGTATCGTCGCTCATGTAGGAGTCCCGCGATCGCAGGTCTGGTCTGTCGTCGCCAATGTCGGTGAAGGGGTCGTCGTCGTCGTGAATTGGTATTGAAGTCATGTCGGTCATGTCCATGGTGTTCTCAGATCCGCGAGAGCCCGGTCTGGCACCATTGGTGAACAAGGGCGCTGGAGGTAGTGGTCGCTGCGGACTGCCTGGCCGTGGGCTGCCATGAAGGTCTAGTGGCTCGTATGAGTTGACTGAAGCTGGTGGCCGCGAGTAGTCGTCTGATGTGCGAGTGGGTGAGTATGGCCGGTCGGGTGATAATGGCCGCCGGTAGGGAACATAATCGTCATCTGGCGGTGGCATGTTCGGTGCAGTATCCATCACTGACGGCGTCCGTGATAAGCCGGATACTGAGGATGATGTGGGGTGGTATGTGCGCGATACTGGCGATGGAGGTCTGCGGAGATCACGTAATTGTAAGTCTGGGTCTTGTGATCGTACGGTTGTGGAGAGCGCCGCGTAGTTTGCGGTCTCCGAGTTGATCATCTTCCTTCGTGGCATCTGCGTAGGTGCAGCAGCCGTGCTGGACGTTGAACTCAGCGCATCGCCGGCCTCGCGCAGGAAGTCGTGAATGTCCGATTCGGCAGCCTTCTGCTTGCCCACCTCAGACATGGTCATGCGCGCGCCCAACTCGGCAGTATTGCTGTTGGCACTTGACATGTTTGAAGTGTCCTCGAATGAGGGTCTTCTGGTGCGGATGAGATTGAGTCCAGAATGCAGGACGCAAGTGAAAGAGAGACAACAAGGAAGACAAATACTCACTGCATATAGCTTTGGCTGTCATCCACGTTTGTCAACAAGCGCATTGTTGATCCTCCTTGTAGTTGCTGAGGGGAGCCGTCATCATAGTCATATGCAGGTGGCCGTCCATAGTGTGAACCACTGTGCGGTGTGGACCCGTCCATCGTATGTGTGTGCGCCGCGAAAACAGAAATGGGTATATGAAAAGTGTCGTAATTCTTCGTGAAACCCGAGGAGTGATTGAGATGGGCAAAAATGCGATATGGATGTCTTCAAAAAGGGTGGAATAGCAACTTTTGCAGCAGTGATGCGATGGCGGTGTATGCAGCGCTGTTGTTGCTTCGGACGTTGTTATGGAAACGCCGAACCCCGGTCCCCTGTCGACCCAGGAACACACCCCATATGCGGCCCCATGTGGCTTAGACGGCGCCCTCTCAACCACTCCATGTGCAATTCGTCCGTACTCGCGTGCGACTGTTTCACCTGTCGTGTTCTATTGGTTCGGGATACGGCCTGCACTATTGGGGCTCGATCATCGGTTGTCGAGGCAAATATCTGCTGGGTCTTGCCGTCTTTGCACTAGGTCTAGAGCATGGCAGAAGCACCCCACAGCCGAACAGGGTGTTCGCAGTTTACCGCCAAAGCTACGACTTGTTTATCTGTTGAGCATATGCATTTGCTTCTGCCTACGACCCAAATGTCCCCCTGAAATAGGTCTCGATCTTAAACTGGTCTGACGTCAGTAAGAATGGTTGCAGTCCTCGACCCGCGAAAGGGCATCTGCTCGACCAAATGCTCATTGTGTCGCTGAGCCTAAGTGTTGCGTGCATCTATACTTATGATCTCTCCCTCTTCGTGATATCTTTTGCTGAGGTATCATCCAAAAGACGCAACTCGTGAACGACTTGTCGTCGCAGTACATGCCTGGGTACCGTGATACTGCGCGTACGTTGTGAATCAAAGATACCTAGGTAGCACATATCGCGCATCACCCAGCACCTTTTCAGCTACAACCACATCATATGCTCTCCTAGTACCTATTTCTGAGCTTACGAAATCATATTACGCAACTGAGACCACGAGGGTTTATCCATCTCGACATGGCAACGACGAACTCCCCTCGAAAATACCCTCCATAAGCTTGGTGTTCCAACAATGCTCTTCAGGTGGTTTGCGTTCTACGACCTCGGGATGCTCCGAAAGTTGACATCGACTAGTAATTTGCACAACTACCACACAGGCGATAGAACGACATCACTAGCAAGGGCATCCAGAGACAGCCTATATTCATGAAGTACAATGGTCTGACCATCCAACGTATGAAAGCTATTACAATCACCGAAAGAACTTCATAACAGTCATCTATAACAATGATGTATGATGAGCCTAGAGAGATGAATCTAGAATCTAAAATGCACAGCGCAGGATGAGTCATTGAGGTTGATAGATGGGGTGAACCACGAGTTTCAAAGTAGGCGAGGCTGGAGAAGAACAAGAACTGACAGTGGAGAACAAAAGATGCATCAGACTGCGCTCCACCGCTCCCGACGCACGATCTGATCGTCGAACGTCGATCTTTCTTGCGTCATGACTCCTGACTCGACCAAGGTTCCATCGCCGGATACCAAAAGGCGATCTAAGCGTTGAGTGCAGCTGGCTGATGCTTCATGCGTCACGCGCCCTAACTCGTCCCAGTCCGCAACTTCATTCGCATCAGTTTGACAACTAAAATGCGCAACTTCTAGTGTTCACCACTGGAAGACGATCTAGGCTTAAGGTTGGAATGTCGATAGTTCGTGCATCACGCGCTCTAACTCTGTAACTCCCGAGGTCGTCCCAGCAGGCGTCCATATTTGTAGAACCGGCGTTGACACTACCCCGACAACTTACAGGAAACTGCTGATGTTGCAGATGTTCCTCACATGAGAGTATTGAGAAAGTACTCAGTATAGCGAGGGATATATGTATTGCTTATTGATCGCAATAGGGCGGAAGAGAACAGTGATGTCGGAAATATTCAGATTGGGACCACCCCCCTAGAGATGTATTGGAAGAAGCATCTTGGACTCCCCGTGCAAGGCTGTACTCTAGAGAGGTACCTACGATGCAAATATCCCCTTGAAATAAGTCTCAACGCCCCTGAAACCTTCCGCATCGACCGTGTCGATGTACCCAACGTATTGATCCGGTCTCGTAACGACCACACATCCTGTCTCCCTGTCGACACCATACCCCTTATATGCATCGCCAAAGCCCTCGAACGGATTAGCATCATCGGCATACACTGAATCGTAATCCCATCCAAACTTCGAGTCGAATGGGTGCAGGATATCTGGGAAGTCGCGCAAAAGCTCTACTTCCTTGCGCTTCGAAGAGTGCAATGTGAGCACTTCCACGTTCTTGATGAGATGGGGAGCCAGTAATGATGAGGACGATAAACTCTCGCAGAAGCCTTTCAATCGGGCGCTCTGTTGTGCATTTGCGACATTGCCGGCAAATACAACGATGCGGAATCGTCCATCGCTTTTCAGCTTCTGCTGGAACTCCCAGGCTCGACCGTCAGATTGGTTGATGACTTGGTAGCTTGGGAAACGCATGCCCAACTTCGTCTCTGAGGCGAGCTCTTGTTTGCCGATGATCTCGAACTTTGAAGATACGTCTGTCCCGTCGCCTTGATCTGCTGCGTTGCCTGGTTTCCCAACCAGCATACTCGTTCCATAATCGACCGAGAGGCCCGTAGCGAATAGTTGACCTTGATGTTGTTAGCAGATGTGACTTTTTTTGGGGGGAAAACTTTATCCTTACCCTTGAGGAATGCCTGCTTGAACTCGTCCATACTGACTCCTTCCTCATCCATGACATCCTTCGCCGGCCGCCCGGAAAATAATCTCGAAAATTTGTGGTCGAATGCAATCAGATCCTGCGCAATACGCCTCCGCTCCGACTGGTAGGTCTTCAAAATGGATGGTTGAGCGATACCTTTCACCACCAAACCCAGTTTCCAGCCCAGGTTGTAGCCGTCCTGCATGGAGACATTCATCCCTTGGCCAGCCTTCGGTGAGTGCGTGTGTACGGCATCGCCAGCCAGGAACACGCGACTCTTGTGGTCGAAGTTCTTGCCGACTCTCTGACCGATCTGGTACGCCGTCCACCAATCGCAGTATTCGTATGTCAGCTTATATGGTGCAATAATCTTTTGCGCAGCGGTGAGAATAGTATCGGGTGTGATCTTCGATCTATCCGCTCGACCACTGGCGTCGGGCTTGATCTCCGTGAGCTGTATGTAGAGCCTGGCAAGCTTGTTCTCACGTGGAATGATCATCATCGATCCTGAAGACTCGCTATGTATCGCGCAACGTTTACGGACGTCTGGAAAGTCAGTAATGGGAATAATGTCCAATACACCCCAGATGTGATCTGTAGGCTCCCCTTCCAGCTCAAAGCCTAGTTGCTTTCGTGTCCAACTGTGAGCGCCATCGCAGCCTACAACGTATTTCGCTCTCACCGTCTCCGTGCTACCCTCCTTTTGCTGGCTCTTTGCGATGAGGTCTTCAGTGTCATCATCTGCCAGATTACTTCTGAAAAGACCGTCGTTGATTCCAGAGCCCTTGCTTTGAGCTGGTTTGGCCTCATCCTCGGTAAGATATCGAAGCTGAACTGTGATGGGATAATTGTCTGGAGAATGATCGTCCACTCGGTCTTCCGCAATGTGGAGCGACTCGGGTAACACCGCACGCTCGACACGTAGGGTATCCTTGGAGTGTTTTTTGATGTGGTCAAGGAAGAATCTTTCAATCCGTCCCTGGTGGAGTACGATCTCTTTGAATCGAGAGAGACCAGGTGGTGTATCGGGCACCCCATCTGAGCGGCGTATTACACCGTCTTTGCCGGGATTCTGCGTGTGTTAGGAAGGCCGGAATTCAGTCCAAAAGCGACAACATACCCACATGCAGAACTAGATGCTGGTTAGTCAAGTTCATCCAAATTATACGTGATCAGAAAGTATACGGGTCAGTCTTTTTCCTGAGAGAGATATATATATGCGCGTACCTCTATCAAATGATTGGCTTCCTTCCAAGCTCTATCGGCGAAGCCAAAGCTGTCAAAAATCTCTAGACTGCGGAGCTGTAAACCATCCGCTTGTCCTGAGTAGATCTTTGTGCCACGTTTGTCGACGACGCGAGCATTGATGCCACATCTCGCCATCCAAGCCGAGAGCATCATTCTGGGATCTTGTCAGTATTATCAAGATGTCGCTCTTGATATGTATAATTACCCTGCCGGACCAGCACCAACGATGAGACTTCAAACTTGTTAGTGACATATTCAGACACATGAACATCGGTGGACTGACACATCGCATTTTGATTCCTTTGTCTCCGAGACCGTCATCTTGGGATCTTTTCGCCGTTGTCACTAAGAGCTGATAGTTCGTGTGCAGCTACCCCGCTTGAAGGTTGCTTGTACAAGAGATGGGTGGTGTCACACATCACCAAATGTGGCTTGCATCTAATATAAGCTCTTAAAACCGCTTCGTCCCGGGCATCCCAGTAATCATACAGTACGGCAGTGCAATTCGGCGCGTCAAGAGTGGACATCGCGTTGGTATCGACGCGACTGGTGCGTGGCTACCCCACATCACGCCAAGCCGGTTTCGGGTCGCATGACGCATGGAACGAAATCCAGACATTGTGATTCGCATGTCCACGTGTGGGTCGCGACCAAGCGCAGAAGCAATCTGGAGTTTGTCAGAGCTTTGTCAACGAGAATAGAGGTGTTGCCTTCGGGAGTGCTGGGGCTTGGGGTTTGTAGGCCCTCAGTCATTAGTTTTGTCAGAGCTTTGTCAGGCGAAGAGAAGATGAGGATGTGGATGCTGCCGTCCCGAGCGCCGCAATGCTGGTCCTTCCACTGCGCGCCCATTTTCCGCAATGACTTTGGGCAAACTACGGGTCCCTCTTTGTGTTCGTACAACACGGGACTTTTGACAGCGGCCATAACCCGCATCCCGATAATGGTTAGCTCCGTTGAGTAGATTACCGCATTCGGTCGTCGAGAGTTAAATTCAGCGCAAAGGTGAGTTGAAAAAGTGCATCGGTTGCCAGTCCTGGAGCGTCTTGCGCATCATAGCAAATTTCCACTATTCGTATGGGTCATGACGTACCTAGGTACATACATCATCAGCGCCGCCGTCGAAAGTGCACGTCACCGGCAATAAGTCTTTAGCTAGCCAACCCGCAAGTACCGCTATGATAAGTTAAATACTTGCACTCATCTTCCAGAACACCACAAAATTCTACGCTCAACATGTCCACAAATTACGACTTCAAGACTGCTCTTGTGACCGGCGGTGGGGGTGGTATCGGAAAGGCGCTTGCGCACCAGATGATAAAAGATGGGAAGAAAGTCATCATCGCTGGTCGCACAGAGTCGAAATTGCAAGAAGCCGCAAAAGAGATCGGAGCAACGGCTTACTACGTCCTTGATACTGGAGATGTCAAATCTATCCCGGCTTTCATCAAGAAGCTGATATCCGAGCATCCGGACCTCGATTGCCTCGTCAACAATGCTGGTGTGCAGCGGCCACTCGACGTCAACGAAATGGACCCAGAGGAATTTGGCAGCAAGGCTGACCAGGAAATCGATATCAATATCCGTGGACCCATGCACCTTGCACTTAATCTGCTCTCACATTTCAAAACTAAGCCAATGGCACTGGTGGCCAATGTATCTTCCGTTCTTGGCTTCGTGCCATTCTCCCTCGTCAGTAAGTGTCTCCGTACAAACTCTTCGTGAGGAATATACTGATCTCATTTACCCACGATTTAGACCCCGTGTACAACGGTACGAAAGCATGGGTACACTTCTGGTCAATGAACCTACGAGCCCAGCTCAAGGATACAAAGATCAAGGTCATCGAGATTGCGCCGCCCACTGTGGCAACAGACTTACATCGTGAGAGAAAGGATCCAGATGACAACAAGAAAGAGAAGAACAAAGCTGCCTTGAGCGTGGAAGAGTTCATCGAAGAAACGTTAGGGAAGTGGAAGAAGGGAGACGAGATGATTGCCGCCGGCCCTGCAAATAAGATTGTGGATACTTGGCAGGAGAACATGGGGCCTATCTTCCACGACATGGCAAAGTAGTCGCTGCCAAAGAATTAATAATCGATTTATACTTGTGGGTTGACACCTCGAGTAGGATTTGAAATCGACTGATAAGACCACGAGACATGATGCTCATGATTACACCAACACATGCACGGCAGAAATGATACCGACTTGACCTTGCTAACGCAGGTGTTGGTGCTTGGTTTTCATTGGTAACGAGAGGCCCTACCGATCTTCGGTCTTCGTAACAGGATTGGAAAGTATATACAAACGAATCAGGCGAACATATTCCGTCGTGTTCTCGACATCCTTCACTCAGAGTCCAAACCATTTCATGTCCTCCGCTTCGTGTACTGGCACAGTGTGTCCCACGTTCAACGCGCTGTATCCTACAAGTTTGGTTCCATCTCCATACACCATTTGTGTATATCCGCTCTGCGGGGTGTTCGTCACGTTCTTTGTGAACGAAACACCCAACAGTCCGCTCCACTCCTTAAGTTGCTCGCCCAAGTTTGGAATCTTGACCAGGGTATCAGCAGTACCGTGCCATGTCGCCATGCGAGGGTAGGTGCCAGTGTAGCCTGGGTACATGGCCTTGACTTGCGCCACCCATTCCGCTTGCGTCTTGATAACTTGGCCGTTTGCGCATCGCGGGTCTGCAGTGCTTGGGCTGGCGCCGGGGCTGCCTGCTACACAGCCTGCTGCGACACCAGAATAGCATGATCCTGCAGCGATGACATCGGGGTAGGTCGCCATCATGACGTTGGTCATCATACATCCGGAGCTGCTTCCAGTGACAAAGACCTTGGCCGGGTCGGCACCGTACTTCTTGATGGTGTACTGGATCATGTTGTTCAGGCCTTGGTTGTCACCGCCGGCATCGCGAGAGAGGCCCTTGGCGGTGTTGACTTCCCAACAGTTGTTGTCCTTCTTGGTGGACGGGAAGATGTTGATGAAACCTTTCTGCTCAGCTAGGCTGTTGTATTTTGTGGATTGAGCGTAAGCTTCTCCAGTACCGCCGCAGTAGTGCAGCTATCGATAGGTTAGCGCAAGCCTTGTTAGGTAAATCCTGGAAAGGTATAAAAGCACGTACGGCCAGAATGATAGCGGGCTTGGTCGCAAGTTTGGCAGGAACATAGATGTTCATTTGGAGGTTGGAAGGGTTGGCTCCAAAGTCATTGACACGAGTAAGGGCGGCATTGGCAGTTGCGCAGAAAGCAACAATGCTGCCGAGTACAGAGGTGGAGAAGTGCATCTTGATTGCCGTGCGAGTTCGTAAGGAATGAGTCTCCTGCGAGTCACATCCTTCTTATAGACCTGCTATGCTCGTATGGAGATATTCACTAGCGCGAAACATTGTGAGGTTATTCCCCGTGGATACTAGCCGTGCTTGAACGCTGGCATAGTGTCAATTTACCAACTTTCCGAATCTGGGAGGCACGGCCATGCGCAAGTCCATATATAAAGGTAGTTGCTTGTTTCAAACACTTTCTCGATCCAATCATAAGCAAGTGAAACGGATCATCTGCGTTTCTGGACGAGTTTTCGAGGCTTTCGTGCCTACTGAGGTTAGATATCAGGGGAACTCGTGTGGACTTGCTGTAGGGGATCAGGGATCTCGGATGTTTACCCCGGATGAAGTCCCGCCAAATAAATTAACCTACTACCGAGGTTCGCTCCGATGCTAGTTGCGTGCAGCAGTAGCTTCTTTCACGTCCACGTCACTTGTTTTGTTTTATTGTGGAGTTGCCGTTCTTGTTTACCGTGCAACAACACTTGACTGTGTTTCTGCCAGCATCGTATGTCAACATCAGAAACATGTCGATCAATGACATACAAGCAAACACTCAGCAACGCACATGTTTTTATGATAATATATTTCAATGTTCGTCTATTATGCTAACATGGGCGTAAATTCTATTGGGTATCTCTCAACATGGCCTCTACAAGTTTGGGTGCGCCTCCTTGAACTCCTTGCTGTAAGGGTAATCAACGTATCCCTTCTCACTCTTGGGGATGTAGAAGGTGTCGCGGTCGTAAGGGTTGAGTTCAATGCCCTTCTCTATCCGGAAAACAAGATCGGGGGTGCTGATGAAGTATCGTCCAAATACCGCTACAACGTCACGGTCCTTGTGCTCCTCGACCAGCTTCTTCGCGTCCTCAGCCTTGAGTCCACCAGCGATGAGTAGCTTGCCCGAGTAATGGGGCAGCAGGGGGTCAAGAGAGTCGGATCCCTCAACATCGGCGTTACCAGCCACGCGGGCCTCAACAAGGTGAAGGTAGGCCAGGTTGAACGCGTCCAGTCTCTTCATGATGTCTGTAAACTGGGGAAGAGGGTCCTTCATCTTCATGCCCTGGAACTCTGAGAAAGGACTCAACCGGATACCGGTCTTGTCCGCGCCAACGGCTTCCGAAACAGCTTGAGTAACCTCGACGGCGAACCTGGAGCGGTTCTCAACAGAGCCGCCGTAGGAATCTGTGCGCTTGTTGCAAGTATCCTGCAGGAACTGATCGATGAGGTAGCCGTTCGCGGCGTGAATCTCTACACCGTCGAAGCCAGCTTCAATGGCGTTCTTAGCTGCTTGAGCGTAGTCAGAGACACTCTGCTTGATTTCCTCGACGGTCATCTCCTTGGGAGTAGCGTAGCCCTCGCCTAGGGATGTCGCGCTGGAAGACTTGATGGTGATGTCGTTTGCTTGTGCAAAATCCTTGTTCGCTACACGACCTAGGGCCCAAAGCTGGAGGTAGATGTACGAGCCCTTGTCATGCACAGCCTTGGTGACCGGTTTCCATGCGTCGATCTGGGCTTGTGTGTAGATACCGGGTACATTGGGGTATCCACCAGATTGTTTCGAAACTAGTGTAGCTTCTGTGATGAGAAGAGTTCCTGGCACGACAGCACGCTGACCATAGTACTGTGCGGCCATGGGCAGGATTTCGTGGTTGTCGTTAACACGGAAACGTGTTAGAGGCGCCATAGCAATGCGGTTCTTGAGCTCCATAGAGCCCACCTTGAGTGGCTGGAAAAGGCGTTCAGCGGACATCTTGGTGTTGTGTGTGTTTGATTTGGGAAGGTTTGACAATTCGGCGGACATGTGAGAAAAAATTGGACAATAGGAATACCAGTTGAGATTGTTGAGTACTGAGGACGAAGAGGCATCAATATACCTATATACGCCTCATACTAAAAAAAACATCCTGTCGATGGTTTGAAATCATCGTTCGGTCGATCTCGGCAACTGCGCGGTAAACTAACCCCATAGAACTTTCCGCTGTATTCTACACCGGTGTAGACCCTGATGTGCATGGTCCTAAGGCTCCGTTAGCTATAGACGGTAAGGAACGCCTGAATCAAGATACGTAGCCGCTGAAAGCGAGATGGTACCTGAGCTTGGCAGGGCATGAGAAATGCTGTCGGCAGTGGCGGTAACGCCGAAGCTTATGACGTAATCTACATTTGTCAGAATAGTACTGTGGAACAGCGAAAGCCGAAGCTCTACCGAACATCAACCAAAGTCGGATGAAGAGATAGATACGTGAGGGACAAGATGAGAAGACCTTGGAAGCCATAGAAGAGCACATTGTCAATTACTCAACCGAATCTTAGCAACTCGTGGACTTTGAAACCCGACGTCACTCCTTCAAGAGCATTGTCGCACTGTTCAACTGCGCTTCCAAATCAGCATGCCAGAGCCATTGAAAGCTCTCGTTGATCCTATCTTCAATCTTGCTCATATCATCCTTTACTCCTTCAATCATGAGATCGTATGCTAGAGCAGCGTCCATGCTCCGTTGAATCAGCTCCTGCGTCCTTGGCCGTCTTACAGCGTCGTAGGCCTTGAATGCAGCCTCGATGTTGTCGATGCTTCCAGCAGTAACGATCAGGTGGCTAAGTATATATGCATCTTCCATAGCCATGCCAGCCCCAGCTCCCATGTGAGGTGTCGTCGCGTGTGCACTATCACCCAGGAGACACTTACGGTTCTTGAAGTATGATGCATTGTGTTGGAGGGTGAAGAGTGCCCATTTCGAGGGCAGATGGTATTTGGCAATGAGATCGATGAGCGGCGGATAATAGTCTCTAAACTTTTCGCGAACCTCGTCCCCATTTGTCGATACTGTCCAATCGTCCTGACCCCAAGTACTGGTGAAGGATTGGTCGTGCGGCATGGCGACCATGTTGACAAATTGACCATGCTCGACAGGATATGTTACGATGTATCCTCCGTAGCCACAGTACAGCTGGCTGTTCATAGCCATCTCTTCTCCAAGTGCCCTCTTGGCTTCCTCTCCTGGGACCATCGCTCTCATCGCTACTTCGTGGGCATATTCCGGCTGGATGTCTGGACCACATACAAAGCCCCGTACTCTACTTTTAATGCCGTCACAGCCAATGACTGCGCTAGCTAGTGAAGTCGTCCCGTCGGTAAATGTTAGCTTGAGGACCCCATCACCCACTTCTTCGACACTTTCGAAGCTCTTGCTGAAGCTTGTTATGTCCGTAGGAAGTAGTGCAACCATCTCGTCGAGCAATCGCGCTCGGTGTATACGCTATATATGGGTGTACAAAGTCAGCACGTGTTCCACATGCAGTTCGTACAAGGACACTTACACCTCGCATCCGAAGTCCGGCTAGCGCACCCTGTGGCTGATATGAGTCGTTCTGATGGAACGCGAGGTCTCCAGCTTTAGATCCATGGGTTCGTCTCTCATCCATACCCCATCTAATCGTGTTGAAAGTATCATCCCGCTCAGGATCTGTATTGAAAGTTGCATGTTTCATGAAGCCTTCCAGCAATCGAGGGTCGATCAAGTGTAACGCAGTCGTGGCGTTGGCGCCGAATGTGACACCAGCGCCTATCTCTGAGAAGGCTGCGGAAGCTTCGTAGATGTGTACCTTGACACCATGTCTGAGCAGACCGATTGCAAGGGCAAGGCCACCAAGACCGCCACCGACAATTGCTATCGGAAAAGTCTCATGGTTTCTGAAAGTAGTCTTGGTCAATCCGTCTCCGGGCGACATTTTGTCTTGATCAAGTCACGCTCAGGGTACCTCAATATCCAGTTGTGCTTTCGCAAGGCCACGTTTGGGGTCATTGAATACGTGCCTCGGATTATTGTCGATCAGCTTGCGGGTCATGAGACTAATGCGAGCTGATGTAAAGCCGCATGTATTTGACATCGCGCTGGGTAAGCTCCTCACGGGAATGGCCTGGTAGGGATGGTATATCCGGCTGGATGAAGAGACGTCGAAAGCGGGGAAACTAGGAACTGTGTAACTGGGCGCTGATTGTTGGTGATTGAGTTCTTATCTACTACAAAAGCGCTCTACGTGCTAATCGTATGGGTCGCAAGACAGCAATGCATGTTCCAGAACATGAAAATGCTCACCTGCCTAATTCATTTCAACGTCGATTCATCTCTTCACAGCTCGTTGTGCGCCGGCGCAGCCTTCTGTACGTCGACACCACAAACGGCAGGCGTACCTACTTCCATTCGGTATACACACTTCTCCTCTTCGACGATCTTCCAGATCTCATCCTTCTCCGCACAGGCCAAGATGACCGTGGTGCTTCTGTTCGGTCCGTTCCAGCAATGCTGGCCGTTCTCGTACTTGAGCGCGATCCTTTCACCGCTGCCCAGGCCCCTTCCGTCGGCAGGAAGCTCTTCATCGACGGTGATGGATTCAATGCGTGCAAAGTTACCCATGCCAGTGTGACCGCCACCCTTCTTAGGCTTCTGAGTGGTCTTTGAAAGGAAGCAGTGCTCGTATGTGTATTCGCCGGAGTCGGTGGATGTGCACCGGTCTCTCAGGGCGCGGAAGATAGAGTCTGGGCCGTAGTCTTTGGTGAGATCTTCCTCGTGCTTTGAAAGTTCCGACTTGTCTCCCTCGAGTTCCTTCTTCGCAGAGTCTAGCTGCGACTTGGCGTCGGTAACGGCCTTGGATTCAGGTGCGTCGCCAGTCGTAGGGTCTGCAAGGATACCGTTCTCGATGAGCATGACGCGCAAGTCGCGAAGCTTGCTGTCCACCCAGCTACGGATAGAGTCGGGGAGGTATTCTTCGAATTTGTAGACTGCGTCCATGGTCAGTGAATTTATAGGGTGAGTGAGCGAATATGTACTTACGAAGCTCTACATCAGACTCTTCAACTGTCTCGAACTCTTCCCACTTGATAGCGCTCTCAGAGTCTGGCTTCAGAATCTCATCGAGATCGCGGTCGAGAGCGGTGTTGGGACCTGTACGCTCTTGCGCTGCGTAGTTCTCCCAGGCCTGCACGGCACGCTTTACACCCTCGTCGTTGAAGTTGGGGTTGTACTCCTCTTTGAAGCGCTTCAACATGCCCTCGAGCTCCTCGATCCTGGCTTGTGCTGCGTTCCTCTCGTCTCGCACACGGTTGACGTTCTCAGTGAGCTCTTGGATCCTCTCTTTGGCCAAACTGGCCAGCACAGTGACTTTGCCGCCCTTTCCTGCGCCTTTGACGACCTTGCCTCGCTCCGCCCTCTCAATCTCGGCGAGGCTCTTTGTCAGGCCATCTACCTTGAGTGTCGCGCCTTCGATCTGTGTCTTGAGCGTCTGTATGCGGTCCTCGACCTCCTTGCGCATACGACCAGCCTCAGCCACCAGCTCCTTCCGTTTCTGTCTTGCAGAAGTCAGGCTCTTTTGTCTCGCCTCGTCCGCCTTCCTCCATTCTTTACCGATGGTCGCACATTTGTCTTCACACTTGACACCTCCTACACGCTCATATTCGTCGCTGCCGTCACAGCATAGTTCGTAGTCGCATGCGCCGTCGTTCACGTTGGTAAAGGGAATGTAGCTCGGCTGGTGGCCTTTGTTCTTGCAGTAAAAGCCAGGCAGAGCCGGCGTGGAATTGACGTCTTTGCCTTGGAAGCCCAAGGGCTGCGGTGGGGAGAGGGGCGAGAGGTAGGAGCATGCCGATGTGCCTGGCTCGTCAGAGCCATCGGGGCAGTCGCAGTAGTCGTCGTTCAAGCGTGCAATGGGAAGCTTGATGGCCGGATTCGAGATACAAGTGAATGTCTCGGCATCCTTGTAGTACTTTGCAACTAGACACTGGCTGTCAGCTGTGCTCAGTCGTGCGTCTGGAAGCTCTCCACGAGCTGTAACGGGTGCAACATACACTCCGGACCAACACCCCGCGGCCGGGCGGGGTCTGACGCCGCATCTGCGGTGCTGGCTAAGAGGGGGAGTATAAATGCTAGCGAAGACACGTGCTTCCTTCCCATTTTGAATATGGAGAGAGCAATTGGAGCTGGAGACTCCAACATGCTCGAAATGCCACATCGACATAGTTTCAGGGTCCAATGGCCCGTGCGCAACCGCCTGAGCTATCTCCAGCCCTCACCTCCGCCTCCGCAATGTCAACTCTCCACAACGGCGCGTGATGCCATCCTGAGCGACTAATGACATCTTCTTCTATCACCCCTCCAAGCAGATAGTATCTTTGTCGCCGTCTTCTCTTTTATTCAAATAGCAAGGAACGCCTACGCTTACAAGAGAGCGTTTGTTGCATACCCTGGACATACCGACACTTCTGGGCATCAAACAAACAACAGCCTCATGCTCCTGTCCCAATACAGAAGCTACGCTCAGTAATGGCATTCAATCAAATTCAGGCCATCTTCTATCCAATATCGGTCATGTATCGGGCAATAGATGCGGCTTTTGGGCGGCCGCCCATGTCTGCGCTTCAAGCAAACGCTGTGCACGCAGTCTCATTGCTTCGTTTTGAGTCTCGGAAATCAAGATCATGCACCAGAATGGCCGAGCTCGCACTCTCGAACGACCTCTGTCGTTTGCATATATACGAATCGCGTGCATGGACTATGTGAAAAGAGCATTCCAACATGATCTTCCACTCCTTTACACACCATTCTTCTATCCCGACATAACTCTAGTCTGTATCATTTCTGGCTCCAAGCAGGTTCTCTAACGTGATGACATACGCTGATGAGGACGAGATCGATTGGAGTGATGGTTCTTTCGATGATCCACCTCAGAAGGGTATCGATACCTTTGCTCGTCCGACTCAATCCAGCCCATCTGCAGAAATACAGAACGATCAAGACTATCTACTTGTATCAGAGGTACATGGTCAACACCGGACATCCTGCAGCCTTCCACCCGAATCAGGTAAGAAGCCAGGCCCCATCGAAAGCCGCTTATTTACACTCTATAGTTTCCGCGGATGGAAACAGCACGGCCCAGGACCCTTCGCGTGTTCAGCGAGCCGGCATAAGTGTTCATCTCAACCAGCGTCTACCTTCCAAGGAAGATTACGTGAAATATGCACTCTACCAAGCTAGCCAGAAAGCTTACGAGGCCACCTTTTTGAACACCTTCATAGCACATGCCTTGCATCACGATCGCATAGCCCAATGTTCTGAAGATCCAACTGGTAGTAGCCCAACTGTTGTGGGATATATGGAATCAGTAATTCATGAGGTCGATAGCATCACGAGAAGGATGATCTGGAATGCCCACTGTCGTATGGTCCATCTGCTCGCAAAAGACGGCAAGGATGGCGCCCCATTTCTCGATATAGACTCATTCGACGCGAAACCCTTTTCAGATTACGGTCCCAGCAATCTCTTTCCTGTGGCAAAAAGAATGGACACATCTTGGCATTGTACCACTCCAAGTCCTCTCATGGTTCAGTACTCAACCAAGGAATACGAGCTTGGCTGTCAAGCAAGTCCTCTGGAAGAGATTGAGGATTTCAGTAATACAGTGTTACGCAGAATAAACATCAGTGGCGTCTTGCCCACTGGACGCGCCGTCAGGTTGTCGACATCCGAGAAGCGCAAAGGCAAGAATATGCCTGGAGCAGCGATCAGGGAAGATCGAACCAACTCGCCTTGTAGTAGTTGGCTCCCATTTTCGCCGTTGGATTCAATGTCTGGTTCCCGCGTATCGCAGCCCGTCGCAGACACTCCAGTCACCATTATCCACCAAGCAGACTTAGATGGTGCTCGCCAAGAGTCTGGAACTTCCGTCTCTCCAGCATATACGCATGACAGGCTATCGTACTCATCTCCCACCCACCTCGGAATACCATTCGGCCATTGTGATGTGGAGACTTCGAACAGTGATAATGCCATGCAGAGTATTGAGTACACAGAGAATGTCAATCCATGGCGGATGAGACTGGTTAACGACCACAAGCGGAGGCTGACGCGGAAATGGGGCAACCCGCCACAGGTTATCGGTTGTGCAGTTCGAAACTTCAAGCAAGCCGTTACTGCGGCTATTTCTATGGGCATCCACCCTATCGCACATGACCACCTGAAGAGAATCGAGGCTATCACAACAAGGAAACAACATCAGAAGTATGCCAGACGCTCCGATCAGTCCCGGAACAAGGATGGTTCAGTATACAGTGAGGAAGCCGCACCAGAGTTGCATGTGTCACGTACTCGTCTTACAGGCTCAACAGCGGCTCTATCAGAGTCCATGCCAGACCAACTAGCCTCCACTGAGCTACAGATAACGGCGTCCTTGGCACGGCCAAAGAAGAGGAGGAGGAATATAGCTGCGGTAGAGCATGTTCCAGCCATGTCCTCTACAGAGAATTGGAAGACTGCCTTCAAATCTTGTAGAGAGTCCGCATTTTACTCGAACGATGAGACCTCATCCACTGGCCAGTCGCCATATCCTAGTCTTCAGAAATCGAGAACTCTGGAATCGCATCAGCATCTTCCCCCCAACGCTTATTTCGAGCCAATCTCCAGAGATGAGAAATTTGTCTGGCGTTGTGCCGTTAAGCACGCAATGGGTCACTACTACAACGCTGGAGACCGCAAATCCTGTAGGGGCTGTAACACCGCTCTTAGTGATAATGTTCGTGTTGTCTTGATGGACTTTTACATGCCGCCGAGGACCTTTTACTTCCAACCCGCGCAAGGTATGCGCTGGAAACCTTCCAAACGATTAAGCCAACCTCGTAAATGGGGATTCTCTTGCCATGATGCGGTTGCGAAAGACGCTTACTGGAAAGCTATAAATTCCGGCGCGTCGGAAGAAGAAGCTCAACAAATAGGTATTGACGCAGTAGTGGAATACATCAAACCGAAGCCGCCTCCAAAAGCACCCACACCCGAACCGACCCCAGACCCAGAGCCCGATCCTGGTCCCCATCCAAGCGGTTCGACCACGATGGAGCATGGGCAAGACATTCCTGATGGTTACTACTGGGAGAAGCGAAAGACAGACGAAGAGCATGCCTGGCGATGTGATGTTAACCACGGTCTTGGGCGTTATTACCTAGCGGGTGACAAGAAGACTTGTCCAGGCTGTGGATCCAGTCAGAGAAGCCCTGGCAAGCATAAAGAAATGGATTTTTATCTCCCATCGGGGGTCATTGTGCGACAAGAAGCACCTGGCTTATCGAAATATAAGCCTCGTAAGCCGTACAAGCTGAGCAAATCTACCGCTACGAAGAGAGGATTAGTCACTCACAATCAAATGTGCAATAGGGTATACTTTAGTCTTGTTGACAACGGCTACGATGCAGAAGAGGCTTTGCGGCTTGCTGTAGAGAGAGTCGACAGTGACCTGGACAAGAAACAGGAGAATAAGATGAAGCAACAGGACGAACAAGATGGGAGTGAAGGCCCAGAGGCATTGAGAAAGCCGAGTACTTCAAGCAGTGCTCCAAGAAAAGATTCTGTAAACACAAGTGAAGTCGATAGAAAAAGAGCCAAATGTCGTCGCAACTCTCGAGGTGGCTATACCATGGCTCTCGTTCCGAAGAAGCGAAGCGCGAACGACCTGAGCGAGGAAGAGACCTATGGTGTCGCTGTCGATCAGAAAACTGGGGACACGTCAAGCGAACAAGACCCACGGGATTCTTTCGAGATCTCATCTACGGAAGAAGAAAGCTCCGCCTCGGAGAGTGAGTGAGGGCATAGATGGCGGCTCTAGTATTGAGAGACATGAGCGTTGAAAAGCATTCCTTTGGCTATTTTGGAATGAGTTTGTTCTCGAAAACGCCGTTTCATGGAGAATCAGACAAGGATGTTTGTTGCTTTGTTTCACTATCTTGCTTCCTGTTTTTACTCTGTTTTGTCTATGTATGTATGTATGTATGCATCTTCATCTCTGTTGATAGTTTTGCTTAGGTACTCACTAGAAAGGTGAATCTCGCTCAATACCTTCACTTGCGTCATTCTCTGGATTTGTGGTTGAATGTGAAAGTCACTAGCTGAATCTTAAGTTGCACCCCTACCCTATGGCGACTTGAATCAACCAAGTGGATGATAGAGTGAGGATTAGGAGTTAAACATGTACAGCAGCTAACACAAATCTTGTGCATTTGGTAGAAATGCTGAGGACTTTCATACTTTCTTTGACAACCTATCTAAAAGTAGAAAATGCTGAGATAGTGTCGCGTCACGATCACTGTAGTAAGGAAGACTCCGCAACCATGACGTAGCAGCAATCCCTATCTCAGAGTGTCTAGCGTTGTCTTTATTAATTGATTAACCAAGCAATACTTTCACATACGACCATAGGACACTGAAAATTAGGCTTCCCGTCCGCTCAGCCATATACAAGCAGTGTACCGGCGGATTAGTAGTTAGGTGGGTGACCACTAGCGAATCCCCGCTGTTGTATGTTTTTGCATTTTTTTGCGCTTCGGTGGTGGATACACAAGTCGCCGCGCGGATCACTCATGTGGGTCTACAACGGGTTCGCTCCTTTGGGAAGCTTAACCTTGAACACCAGAACCTGATTGTCTAGATTGTAGCCAGACGCATCTACGTACTTGTTCTGGCCGAAGTTGATGTAGCCTACAACTTATTAGTACAGACTCATTGATCAAGTGAAACAACTTGCCGTTCTGAGTAATGAAGTCATTGTCCGAAAAAGAAATCAGGTAGTACTGCTTTCCTTCATTTTCGTCTTGCCTCTCGCTTCTACCGATCTCGTCGTCCTTGTCTACGGGCAACATTGCGAAGCTCTCCCACTTCTCATTCAGCAGGTTTGCGTCTTGTGCACCGCCATTGTGGAGACCAAACCTGCCCAGCTGGGCATTGTTGTTGTAGGAAAGCCACTGACAGTAGGTAGCAGGTACGATGCTGCTCTTCAGCACGCCGTCTTTGCTTGCGATTTGTCCATCATTAGCATCGGCCACTGTACCTGCGACGTTTGTGGCTTTGGAGATGTCGATCACGTCCGCGTTGCGGTAGATGGACTCAGTGCTTTCTGCGCCATGGCCAGCATTGGAATCGCGCGCTAACACGAGAAACTGCGTTTCGGAAATGTAGTGCATTTCGGACTGGCTAGCAACGCGTCCTGTTGGCAGGACAGGAAGTTGAACAGCATACTCAGCCTCTAGCGTGGTTGTGTCGTCTTTGACGCGGTACTTGAGGAGGCGAGTGTTGCGACGCTTTTTCGCAGAGCTGCCGCCGTCCTGGATTGTGGCACTCTGGAGCATGGTGTAAAGGTACTTGCCATCTGGGCTAGCGGTCAGAGCTTCTAGGCCTTGGTTGTTGCCTCGACCACTGTCTGGATCTTCAGGCGTAATCTCAAGTTCAGGGTCGTAAATTGGTGGAGAGGCCGCATTGAAGCTCTCGGTGCCGTTGCGGCGGGGGACAAAGGCTTCTGGAGTGCGAATGGCCTTGATCATCTTGCCACTTTTGTCAAACTGGTAGACATAGGCGGCATATTCATCGCTGATCCAAAAAGACTTGTCGTCTCCGAGCACCAATCCTTCGGTATCTAGCGGGACACGAGCGCCGCCAGTACCATTCTGGCCGAAGCCATTACCAGTGTCTGTAACGTTCAGTGCTGTGTGCTCCAATATGATCAGAAAACTTACATCTAGCAAGAGGAAGGGTAGGAAAGCCAGGATAAGTGATGGTCTCGGTTGGGTCAAGACCTGTCAAGGGCGTACCGTCGGGTCCAGTGAGGAGAAGGGTGTCAATGTAAGAGAACTGGAAGTTCGGACTGGCTGGATTTTCGAGGGTTGCTTCTACCGGCGTGAAGGTGACACTGAATTTGTGGATGCGAGTCTGAGTGTTTTGAGTACCCTGAGTGTTCCAACCTCGGTCAGGCAGGCCCCAAACGACGCCCTGATAAGCGCCTTTCTTGTACTTCCAAGACTTCTTCTCAAATGCAATGGCACTTCCAATACCACCAATGGTGTCGCCGAACTTGTCACGGGCGTCGCTGGCTAGTTTCCCGTAGCCTGCAAGCTCTTCATAGGTGTATAGCTTGCCATTGCAGGTGGTGGAGTTTGCCGCGGTCGTGGGATCAGCACGAGTGATGACCGGGCCAGCAACGACTTGACTGACCGGAAGCGCCAGGAGGCTGAGCGAGACGGTGAACAGCATCATGAAAAGTGACTGATTGTCGTGCGCCTGGATAGGGGGATTCTGAGCAGATCAACAACATGTATTAATACCTGCGAGCAGGAGGGCCATCCCGCAATGACGCGACCCGACAGCCAGGCACACGAGGCTATCTTGCATGCATCTTCAACGAACGAGCTACACGTGCGCTGTCTGTTTGGCTGCAGCCGACAAGGCTATAGTCTTAGTTGCGGCATGGCGTTCATGAGAGCCGTGTGAAGAGGCAAATGGCGTCGAAGAGGCGGGATGCACGAAGAAGTCCATCTCCTGGGATGTCACTAAATCATACCAACAAGCGCCATAGGACTTCAGGTTGCCTGTAGATCCCCCAATGATGACGCGACGTTTGCGGGAGTGAGCGCGCACGTTGTTCGAGGACTAGTTATGAGTCGCTGGCCGGTGATAATGCCTAGACGGCGTTATACTCTATCGGGCGGGCTGCATGTGAGCTAGCACAACTTGGATGGGCACTTGAAGTCAAATATCTTGGAGTTTGGCAAGGCACTCAGCGTGAATCTTGACAGCAGAAAACGATACCGAGCCGAATGCTCATACCATCCGGTGCTTGGACGCGCTTCCTGTCGAAGACCCCGGAAAGCAGGAATCTACCAAATTTACGCATCCCTGCGTTGAAAGATCAATATTGTACAACGTGGGTGAAACAGCGGTATCAGTAGAGTGTGCTCGTGAGTGCGTTCTTGCAAGCACTATATCGTGTGCTTCTTTTGCTTCTCTGATTCTCCAAGAAACTGCAGTTTTGCTAGCCAAGACGATGGACGGACGCGCACTCAGCTACGACTTCTCAAAGTCGACCGATTCTGATCTTGGAAAGAGCAAGAACCCTGGTTCCTGGAGGTGTTGCTCTTTTCTCATGTCTGGTATTCGTTCATTACATGCTTGCCCTCTTAACCGCACACACGTCGTTCTGCAAGAGAATTCTCATCCTACGGCCCTCATAACACTTGCTTCCGAATCCCCTACATTTCGATTCATCTATAACAACAAAACTGATTGACTTATATCCTCCGATTCCAACGCTGGTATATCTTGCCCCTTCTTTGGTTGACACTACCGCCCGTCGTGTCCCGCAACAACGATGCTTGGAACCTCTGGCGATGGCCTAATCACGACACTCACCTCATACCTCACATCCGACAAAGTCACACCCTCCGAAGCTCCTCCTCCTCCAACTGATCGACAAACCGAATTTCACCCTACTCTGGCCGCAACTTTTTACCATAATGCTGAAACAGGACTGTCAGCGAGGCCTTTCGCAAAACCGATTCCTAGACACTCGTTGAAGAGATCTGTCAGCGAACTGGTAAAAGCTCTAGTGTACGTGCTGCGTGTGTGAAGCATGTGTTGACTTCGCACATCATCATATTAGGTTGTACCAAGTCAGGTGCGTAACGATCGCCTAACGGCAACTGCAGCGCTGAATACAGTACGCTTCATGGAAGACGAGCGCCGTACAACACATAAGATCCCATTCCCAACACGTATCCAGCTACAAACTCCTCGCCCTGCTTCTCAGCGTTCCATCAGCAACTCTCGACATGAGATTAAGTCTCGCTATCATGATCCAGCCATCTCATCTGCGAGCCTCCAGAAGCAACTTGTTGAGCAAACAAAACCTCCGATCAGACGAATTCGGTTTCCGAGTTCAACTCAAGACGAAATCATGAGGAATTTCAGGCCAGAACCTACCAGATCTACTGCTATGCGCTCAGACACAGAGCCGGATCCAGCACGAGCATTTGCGAACCCAAAAACGCACAGCTGTAATGTGACACTGAAGCCATGCATCAAGAAAAAGGCAAAGAGTACCACGACAACACCACCAGGCGAATTTCAGGGAAATGCCGTCAATCTTGAGCCGGTATTTCTACGTCGTGTCAGAACAGTCGACTTTCAAGAGGCTGGTGCAAAGCCATCTCCCCCACCACCCCAGGTAACCATCACACCAAGAAATCCAACCGAGGCCCTGAAATACGATATCGGGCGTAGTGCCAAGTCTGCCGACAACCATACGGAGACTGTCAAGTGGAGTGCATCATGCCCGAACACAATAAGTACAGCGAAAGGTGCTGCGGCAGAACCAGCTATTACGCGGACGGATGTCCATGTCATCGCCATTGCTCCATCTTGGAACGCGGAGAATCTCGCCACTGACGACGGCGCTGATCCGGCAACACCTACTATGCAGATCATCGAGACAAAGAGTGGCAGCTATGAAGTAATTTGGGACGACGTACCACCTGAACATACTGTCAGGACAAGAGGGCGACGAAGTTCGTCAGCAGGTCATGCTCTAGAGACTGCTAGCCCAAGCGCCAAACGTGGTCTTGAACGAGTTAACTCGAAGCTTGCGGGCTGGTCGGGAACGTGGAACAGTCCATCAGACAGCTTCAAGCCAACCATAGGTGAACTATGACTTTAGAGTATGCACAAGAGATATGCGCTGATTCCGTACCTCTACATCTGCAGTGGTTTTTCCTAACGACGACGGTCGAGCTACTCGCTATGATTGCACGGTGGACGAAGAGGAAGACCTGGCAGCAGTGCCTCCAAACAGCCGGATGACCAGCGGTGCGCCTTCTCGCATCCCATCCCGCCCAGTGAGTGCGCCTTTGACTAGGACTGTGTCATCTGAGGGGATATCACTCCAGGACGCCTTACAAGACACGCCACAGGCGGGGTCACCGCCTCTAGAGCAATCTCTTGTGGTGCCCAGTGTTGAGATCAGGGGACGGAAGACGAAATCATCGGTAGGAGTTCGGAAGCTTTCGAATCTCGAAGAAGCAGACACAAAGTTTCGTGATCATCGCGACTCTGTGGCAATTGCACACTCTCGTCTCGTGCGCTCGGGTGCTGTGTCGCCTGAATTGTTTGCGCGTGTCGATTCTGTTTCGCTTGGGAAGAAGCGCATGCATGCGAGAAACCATGCCGCATCATCAGCAAGAACAATCTCGCGTCAGAAAGAAGTGTTAGTTGAGGCACTAGGGCTCCTTGCTGATGAGGACATCTCACCAGTAACATTGCCTACCGTGAAAGAGCATGCTGCACAAGTGCTGAATAAGAGCAATTCACCGTCCATCCTCCAATCACCACAACAGGCTGCCAACGAACGCCATATACGGGTAGTGGAGTAAGCAAGTCTACAGCTGGACGGTTGATGTTGGCCAAGGGATAGGACTGGGTTAGTACATAGACTAGATATGAGGTTACATTTGGCTCTTGTAACTGTTTTTACAGAGGATTAGCAACCGCTAGACCGTAGTGTCAATTGCAATGTGCTGCTGATCTTAATCTCACTGTCAGTTGGTTTTAGGGGATGATGGTGAGCGAAGGATGTTTGAGATGGATGGCTCGGCGCACGGTAATGCCGATCGGCGCAATCGCCATTCCACAGGCCTGCCGAGGTCGGGCGTGACTGGATTGCAGCTATCCACGCTCCAACACTCCGGACATATGCATCAACTAAGTTTGTCTGTGTCATCTCCAGCCACCAATGCGAGCATCTGATTGATCTCTACTCATTGCAATATCTTTTCTTGGCATGTAGCACGAATCGTCTCAACCTTCTTCCATCAGGATATGCAATGCAGCGTGCTGTACCTGCATACGCCCGTCATTGTAATGCCTACAGAGAACTGATACTCCTGCTAAGGTTTTTGCTCTGTAGTAATGATCTAGGGCCTGCTATGGTGGTGATCACTGTGGCTGCCATGGCTCGTAACGTCTCATCGAACGATTGGCGTCGCAGTATGCGTTTGAGCGTCAAGGCAAATGAGCATCATGCAGCGTTCACGCCATCGTCGCTATGGACTCGCCCAGATACATTCACTAAATTACAGGTATAGCTATGTCATCATTCGCAGCCCACAAATCCAGTCACGACGTCTCTATCATGGCATTCGCGACGGACGACTCAACGAAGCGCGACCAACGATACGACTCCCTACGCAACACCGACGACCACCCCGATTCGAGTACAGAGATCGGCGATTGGGAGGTAGAAGAAGCAGTCCAGCGAAGACGGCGGAAGAAGACAGTATGGAGGAAGCTGAAAGGCTACAGATGGGTACTAGACACTGCGCTTCTCCTCGTTATCGTAGGATTGCTGGTAGAGAAGAGATGGCAAACACATACAAAAAGCCACCAGTACGAGCTCGCAGGGGATCTTACAGGCTTCGCCCCAAGGTTCTCACAACAGATTGTGAGCTTTAAGCCCGATCCAGTTTTCGCTCCGGAAGATGCGATGCAGTTTTGGAGCAATGAGACGCAGCATGCATGGTTAAACATCGTACCAGGTACGTTCTGACTTGCTTCTGACCTTTACCATTGTATAGAACTGACACGCCGAATAGAAGGCCTGGGCTATGTCAATGTCGAAACTCCCTCGGAGTACTCCAACCTCCCCACCCCGATACACGACTACCCTAATCATACCGTCTTCACCACATCCGTAACGCATCAGCTTCACTGTCTATACACCATATTGGGCGCGTACAATTCCATGAAACTTATGGTCGCCTCGCCAGTGTCGGCGGACCCTGTCAAGATGCCATGGCACATCAATCACTGCTTTGAATACATCAGACAGGCAATAATGTGCGCGGGAGATGTGGCACTGGAAGGAGCTGCGACAAGTTTCCCAGGCGATGAACACGGTGAGGATCGAGGTGGAAGCGATGGGTGGGATGCGAAGCATGTGTGCAAAGACTACGGGCAAATATACGAGTACTTGGAGAAGAAAACGATCAATCACATGAAGTGGATCTCGTCGGATAAGTAATCCACATCATGTCCTCGGGAATAGCACGTGAAGACGAGTAGGTTATGGCGCGGGCCGTTTGGACCCACGAGTGAGCCAAAGTAGCTGCGCACACAGATGACGTGGTTATCAACTTACAATCAACATTTTCAAGTCATTAGTACACGCCGTTGTAGTATACTTGCTCTATTGAGCATATCCGTGAAGATGAAGTAGTAATCTGACTGTGCACCTTACCATCAGCGGTGTTACACGGGAATATTTGCTCCGAGAACCTATGATATCCTTCTTCCAGATTTCGGCCGTTGTCTGTAATCAGCAACTTGCTCCTGCTGACTGCAATGTGAATCCTACCCAACACTGTACCTTCCGAGTCCTCCGAGCGTGCAGGAATACCATCGGGTAGTAACCCCATTAAGCATAACATGCGAGTTGCAGATCTACTGTATTAGACTTGGCCAATCGCGACCCCCGTGATTCAGCCTCGGTAACGGGGCAGCGCAGGGATGCTGCAGAGACGGCATCACCGAAATTCTACGCTCTAGCCTCCGCGAGCACGTCCGCCCGTGAATGGGTGCGACTTCAGCAGTCGGCCGCCGCTTTGCACCGTGTCGGAGCTGAATGCTAAAGTGGATGCATAGGCCGTAGGGAGTTTTAAATCGACGGGGTGTGGAACCACTAGATCTTCGGACATCGGAGGCGTGTGGTATAAAAGTCTGGCTTGCCCTGGTGCCTGGTAATATAGATTGAAAACCTGCCAAGGTTTGACATTACGCTGAGACAGAGACATCTGGCTGCACTGGACGAACGACGCACGCGTACTGCCAACATCGGACGTCTTGGAACAACCACCGCGACAAGCGGAAAAAACAACGGAAACGTCCAACTGCTGAGCTCGGCCGAACACCCATCGACCGACTGATACCCTTGGCACGTAGGCAAAGAGGCTGTCATTGGCAAACGAATTGAGGGGAGAGAAACAAGGACTTGGATTGCCTGATACCTGGACTTGGCTCGAAGAAGGAACCTTGGTGAAGAACGAACCTAGTCAAAGCTGACAGCGGCTGTGTCGTGTACCCCAGCAATCACCCTACGAGGTTGACGATTCAATTACCTTTGTGAGAGGCTCCACTTAAACACTCCACGAGGCGGACGCAGTTGCCACGACTAGACCCCGGAAGCATTTCAGAAGCACTTAAAAAAGAAGCGTGGCTGCCCACGATTTTTATTCTCCGACGTCATCACTAGAATCCTTCCTCAAACACGTTCTCATCAACTACATCTTACCTACGAACAAGATGGCACAATCGCCATTGCTTTTCATTGTCGCGGGAGCGGCCATCTCCTACATCCTATACACCCGCATTGCACTTTATCTTGCGCGACAACGCTTCAAGAAAGAGAACGGCTGCCAACCATGCACGGCGCAATTCCACAAAGACCCTATCTTCGGAATCGACAATGTCAAGGCCATGGCGTACAACAGCAAGCACCATATTCTGCTGCAAGAGAACCGGAAGCGCTTCCAAAGGCTCGGCAACACCTTCCACAACAGAATTATTACTGAGCCTTTTATCGCGACGTGTGAGCCAGAAAATGTCAAGGCGATATTGAGCTTGAAGTTCAAGGACTTTAGCCTTATACATAGGTCAGCCGCCTTCACTCCTCTTTTGGGCCATGGTATCTTCAATGCGGATGGCGAGCGATGGGCTAATAGCCGTCACCTACTGCGACCCAACTTCGCCAGGGATCAAGTCGCCGACATCGAGGCTTTTGAGCGCCACTTCAAGCTTATGCTCAAACATATCCCAAAAGATGGCTCGACTGTCGATCTGCAAGAGCTCTTCTTCCGCCTGACGATCGATACTGCAACCGAGTTTCTCTTCAACCACTCTACCAACTCGCTCCGCATGGTTGGCCAAGATGACGGCAACAACGAGGACCTCATCTTTAGCAAGTCGTTCAACTTCGCGCAAGAGGACATTACGGTCCGCGCCCGTTATGGTATATTCGATCGATTCCGGAAGAACGATGAGGGCAAGAAGGCCATCGACATCTGCCACGCCTACATTGACAAGTTTGTGGATGATGCTCTGCGTTTCAGACAGGAATTGGACACGGAAAAGAGTGCTGGAACCAAGGACGACAAGTACTATTTCATTCAAGAGGTGGCCAAGCAGACTACCGACCAGAAGCGGATTCGCGAGGAACTCATCAACATCCTCCTTGCAGGACGCGACACAACAGCCAGTTTGCTCAGTAACATGTTCTTTGAGATTGCCAAGAGGCCCGATATCTATGCGAAGCTGAGGGATGAGGTTGCAACGCTTGAGGGTCGCACACCAACGTATGAGGAATTGAGGAACCTAAAGTACCTCAAATGGTGTCTCAACGAATGTAAGTCTGCCTTCTGAGCTAACAATCGGCAACATGCTAATCAAGACCAGCACTCCGCATCCACCCAGTCGTACCCGGTAATTCTCGCCGAGCCATCCGTGACACTGTACTCCCCCGGGGTGGCGGCCCAGACGGTCAAGCGCCCTTGTTCGTACCCAAGGGAACGACGGTCGGATACTCACCGTACACCATGCACCGCCGCCACGATCTCTACGGCCCAGATGCGGACGAATACAAGCCTGAGAGATGGGAGACACTCCGTCCGGGCTGGGAGTACTTGCCTTTCAACGGCGGTCCACGTATCTGTCTCGGCCAGCAGTACGCGCTTACCGAAGCGAGCTACGTGACGGTCCGTATGGTACAAGAATTCAAGACTATGGAGAGCAGAGACCCCGAAGTGTGGCGAGAGAGTCTGACGCTAACTCTGTGCTCGATGAACGGTACCCAGGTGGGTCTTACGCCTGCCTAGAAGGAGCGTAAGCGACAACGAACATCAAGTTGCTTCGAAAGATGTCATGCTGGAGAACATGGCGGAAAGGCACAGCACGACGAGTTATGCCTGCTTTCCGAAACAGAAGAGGATTTCTCATCTATGCGGTTCACTGTGCATGAGCACATGAAGGGGCATAGGAGCAAGGTTAGGAAATGGAGGAGGCCATCTCTACACTAGCGGGTTCATAGCTTTTTGAATTTTGGCGAGGGCTCTTGGGTATATAGTTCCTATTCTTCACCTGTAGAATAACTTTGACTACGGAATTGACATATGTTCCTTGACAAGACATTTCAGCTCGCGGGGTAGAGTCCATGTGGTGCTGCTAAGACATGCTGGTGGATTCTGTCAAGCCACGAGGTCTCTGATATGTGAATTTCACTGTTTCTCTGTCGGGATACAAATGACCATTATCCTTCTCTGCTAGACTAGCCAAAGCCACAAAGTTATTTGCAACTGTACTGAGCTCAATCGGGACTAGCGCCGGAAGTCCGCAACGTGGGAACCTAGAAACCCAAGTGTTGATCAACAACAGCGAGACAGGTCACGACGTACGCAACGAGCCCATTCTTCAACCTGTCCTACCCTTTCGCCGGCAAACACGATGTCGCGAAGCCACCGCCCTTCTACTACGCCTATGGACTTTGAGTGGACGAACCAAACAGGGCCCATCGACTCTCAATCGCCGTTCCTAGCAGCCAGCCAGCAGAAGAAGCGTAAGCCTCCAGGCCCCTCGTTTGCTTCCAGACGAGACACACAAGACAAGACAACCCCGCTGACTCCAGGGCCCTCGTTCGGCCAGCCAGGTCCCCACTCAGTACTAGACTCCCCCTCGAAAGGCGGTTTCGCGACACCAAATCGGCTGCGCGACCCTGACAACCGCATGACATACTTCAGCCGCGACCCCAGCAAGCCATTACCCTCAACACCAGCATCTTCGGTGCCGGCACACATACAACCGAGCCCCTGGTCTATGCGAACGCCCTCACACGACATCGACTTCAGCTCCGGCGGAGAGACACCCGGCACGCCCCAAGTAGACAGCGACCCTGGCACACCAGACACGCAATTGGCGAGCAAGATGGGGCGGCTAGGCAATGGCGATGCCAAAGGCGCTCGACGAGAAAGCTGGTTCAAGCGAACCTTCATGTCAAGTCCAAGCCCCACCAAGGAACCCCGCGACAAGGACATGTCGCAAAAGTACTATTCCAAGAAGGCTGAGAACCGTATAGTCAAGCGCCGGTCAGAGCGATCGCGGTCAAAGAAACGCGCTGCCATACACGACGACGACGGCGACGATTCGGACAACGAACGAACACGCCCACCGGTTCCAGCAAAGGAGGCGGGGCCTGTCCAGCAGACTTTCGCTATGACTGTGGGCGGCTTCCTCTCGTGGGTTGAAGCGCATCCCAACCTTCCATCCGTACTATCTTACTACCTCCAACTCACCGTCAACATGTTCCTCGGCAGCCTCTTCATCTACATTGTCTACTCCGCCTGGGCCGGCGTCATGACAGACGTCGACATAGAATCCTCAAAACACGCATCCGAAGTAATGGTCGAAATTGCGGCCTGCGCTCTAGAGTACAATCGTAACCGCTGTCGACCCGAAGAAGTCGTGCCAGCCATGGAGAAGGCGTGCGGTGTCTGGGAGACGTGTATGAATCGCGATCCGAAAAAGGTTGCACGCGCGACCGTGACAGCGAAGACGTTCGCCATGATCTTCAACTCTTTCGTGGAAGAGTTCAGCTACAAGTCAATGGTACGTTACCTCCTCTACTTTTCTTTTGTCAATTCATCACATCCAACATAAGTGCCGTTTAGCTGACCAATCTCTCCTAGATATTCACAGCCATCGTCATCTTCGGCGGCTTCAACCTCTCAAACTGGGCATTCGGCCTCCTTCGCTCGCAACAGCAGCAAACACAAGCCCATCACCATCAACAACCACAGCCGAACGATTTCGTACCACAAACCCCGCACAGAGTAACCAGCGGTGGGTACATGCAGAATCACGAGAACTTCCCTCCACCGAGTGGCAACTACCAAAGCTACCAGCAGAATTGGCAGCAAATACCTCAATATCAGCAACAGCACACACCGTACCAGAGCAATACGCCATACTCGCAAAGACACATTGAGGCGCCGCCACTGGTTCATGCGCACACTATGCCTGCTTTACCTAGTTCGGCACAAGAAGGAGCGCCTGTGCTGGATGGTGGCAAAACACCACGGAAACGGGGACTGTTCCGATAACCGCTCTTTATCATAACGATTTTACTTGAACGTCTTGGTCTTTGTCTGGATAAGCGTATTCTTCATTTCGATTTCAACTTCTTAGTATGGTCGTAGGGTAGCCATCGGTTTGGGTCGGGTCAAAATGGGTCGGCGAAGCCGGTGTAACACACTTGAATGTTATGATTGTTTATGTATCTTCTACTGCTTTCCCTTGTACTCTGTCTTCTTCAAGTTGATGGTCAAGCATTCTTTACTCCATCACCAAGTTTCCTACTTTCACAACGTCATCACCAATCTTCGTACCAGTATTATCTTGAATGAATGAATTACTAAGTTTTATCATGAGAAGCATATCTAAGCCTCCAACCTGGATATCAAATGGCCAATCATCTACTTGTGAACCACCAGAACGCCAGAATCATGGACCCCGTTCCTACATATACACATGCCCAAGTTTAAGCAACAGTCTCGGTCTTGGTCTCCTCCTTGCCGCTCTCTTCGTACTTCTCCCAGTTCGCCAGGATGTTGCCAATCTTGGGTGAGTTGGTAAGCTTGTACACGTCCTCAAAGTACTCCTTGGTCAACGCAAACGGCTTGGCCGTGACGTTGGGGATGTATTTGCCCACAAGCTTGCTGGGGTCGATGGACGTCTTATGGATCTTCTTAAGAAGGAAAGACCTGAACGGCTTCACACCAGAGCGTAAGAAGGTCGAGTGGAAGGGAACGTCGATGCCCTTGAGCGGGATGGTAGCAAACCCGCGCTGGAGGTCGAGCGGCTTAGGCTTGGCTTCTGTTTGCTCAGCGCAGCCCTTGATAATCTCTACCAAGTGGTTCTTGACCTCCTCAAGTGAAAGAGTCTGCATGAGCGCCTGGATGTCGATCTTTTGTTGCTTGAGGTAGTTGGTCACGCCAGTAAGACAGTCGAGAGCGCGGAGGTCACCGGCAGCAACGTACTGCATGTTGGCAATGTTGTAGTTGACAATCTCCAGGAGCCATCCGGTCGTCTCGGCAATGTTCTCGACCACGTATTGGAGTGCCTGCTCATTGAAGGTCTTGGAGATCCTGCTAGGGTTGACAGCGCACATGGAGTAGTTCGAGCGACCAGCCTCATCGCGCTCGACGGCGACCTGCATAGTAAGACCACGGTAGAACACAACCGAGACCAGACTCTCGATAGGCATAACCTCAGCCATGGCTGCAAGAGCAGAGTATTCACCAAGAGAGTGTCCGGCGAATGTACTCTCGACCTGGATCAAGCCCTTAGCACGCATATCTTCGAAAGACGCCTTCTCCATGAGTGTCAGGGCCGGCTGTGTAAATTGAGTGGCTGACAGCAGACCAGTTGGCGACCGGTAAGTGTAGGATGTGGTGTTTTCGTCAATCTCCTTGAAGATCTTCTCGGATTTGATAGATCCATCCGCAGCAACGGTCTCGAAGGTCATAGACATGTAATTCTGACGGATCGCCTTTCCGACTGGACCACCGAAATGAATGGTGAGTTCCTTCGGGTTGTTCTTTACGATGTTGGTGATAGCAAAGCCTGTTGCGAGTTAGCTGCTGCACAATATGAGCAAGGTGACTTTGACTTACCATAGTTGTCCATGAAATGCTTGTCGGCACGGTCCCAAACCTCCTTGGCCACGGGACTGCTGTTGTAAAGCTCCATACCCATGCCTTGCTCTTGCGAACCTTGTCCAGTAAAGACGTATGAAGTAGTGGGTTGCTCGACCTCAGCCTCACCGAGAAGGACCTTGTCTTCGGTCTCCTGGTTGCTGACCTCGATCTTGATGATCTTGCGACCAGAAACCATACCGACGTGTTGGAGCTTGACGTCGAGCATATCGTCAGGAAGCACCATACCGACAAGGTTGACGTGGTAGCTCCTGACACGACCAACATTGTTCTCTGCGGCCCATGTTTCGACTAGACTTCGAACAGCTGCACTAGAGTACATGCCGTGGGTGATTGTACCAGGCAAGTTGGCGTAGCTAGCAAAGACACGAGAAACGTGAATGGGGTTGTAGTCGCCAGAGACGCGAGCGTAGTTCTCGTTGGAGGCAGGTGCCTTCAGCTTGAGTGGCGTCCTGCCGTGTAGTGGAATAGCATTGTCGAAAAGTACTGGCTGATCAACGGCGGCACCGTTACGCTCCAAGTAATCGAGGACAGGGTTGCCGTACGCGGTACCAGAGCGGTAGTCAACCGAGGCAATTTGGATCACTTCCTTGGTTGGAAGCTCGAGCAAGACCTCTCCTTGGGTCTCGATGTCTGAAAAGACTGTCTTGTTCTTGTATCGGACGACAGTCTCAAGCTTGAAGAGCAGGGTCTTGTTCAGCAGGTCGATCTCAGGCTCCTCGAAGTTGAACCACTCCTTTGACCGCAGGATTGCGACATCCTTACTGGTGGCAAGGTTGAGCTGGATAGGTTTCTCAACCTTCCTCTGGAATGTGTTCTCGAAGTCGTCATATGCACCGCGGTAAAGGAACTGGCTGGTAACCTCCATTACCGGCTTGCCATCACGAGTGATGGTGCCGCAGACTTCTACCATCTTACCAGAATCCTGGTTAATGACAGCATTGATCTGTGCGGTGGTGTCGAGGACATCACCCTTCTTCAGGGGCTCAGCGCCGGAGATCATGCGGAATCCGTTGGAAAGATGGACCAACTTGAGAAGGTCGCCATCGATTGCGCGAGGGAAGATGGGCTTGGTAATAGCCTTCCAGCCAACAACGATAGCGAAGTCCATTGGGGCAAAGACTTCCTTACCAGGTCTGTCAACAAAGGCTTCACCTGTGTTGCCAACCGCGTGGACGAAGTCGTTAATGGCCTCACTCGTAACGGTAGCGCGGCCACCATCGAAGCGCGAAGTGACAGACGCATCGAACGGACATTCCTCATCTCCAAACCAGATCTTGTAGTAGAAGTCCTTGATCCGGTCGTTGCGGGCGTCCATAACCTCGTGGATAGGCGCATAGCCTACGTCGGGGCGGTAGGTGAAGCGGAAAGGCAACGCGACAGCCTTCTTAAGGGCAGTACGCTCCTCGTAGATGTTGAGTAGGATTTCGTTGTCCTTTGTCAGGCTGACATCGACAGTCTTGATCAACTTGCCGCCGTGGTGTAGCTCCTTGACGATGATCGAAGTCTTGGCAGGCTCGTTGGGGTATTGGATTTCGATGACCATACCGGGTGTGGGCGCGAAGACCCTGGAAGTAGGGTTGGTCTGGAAACGCTGACCCTGTACGAAGATATCCGCAGTGAAGAAAGCGTGTCTCCACGAGTAGCTGGTACCTGCCAGGAGTTGTAGCCATGAGTGTACCTCTGGCATTGTGGCGTTGGGAGCAGCAGAAAGGCGGTAGATAATCTTGTTCTCAAGTTCTGACACAGTAAGACCATCGACGTCAAGACCCTGCGGTGGCGCAAGCAGGTTGCTACCGAAGTACTCGATAACAGGAACCTTGGACTCGTCATCGCCATAGATGTCGCGCAAAAGGTACTTGATGTGGCCCTCGTGAACACCATCCAGGATCTCCTTGACAGGCTCGTCGACCTTGGTAGAGTACTTAACGGCCATGGGTCCTTGAAGAATGCAAGTCCTGCCGACGTCTTTGTCAACAACAGCATCAAGGTCTTCAGATTGCCACAGTGAATCCTTCTTGAAGAAGAACTCAAAGGTCTCGTCGAGGACAGGAACGAATGGAACAGGCTTCTGTCCACGGCGTTGGCAGAGAAGCAAGAAGTGCTGCACATCTTGGGCGCTGATGAGCTGCTTGTCGGAGTCGGGGTAAGCCTTGAAGACCTTCTCAAGCATTGGGAAGGGGTCGTTGAGCTCATCGTAATTCTGGATCAGTGACTCGCTGCTGGCTCTGCTGAAACGCTCCTCCAGTCGACGGATGAAGTCACCTGTCAAGCGCTTCAAGCTCTGGTCGATCCAGCGGGACTGGTGCTTGACATACATGAGGTCTACCATGCGTTGAACAACCTCAGCGTAGGTCATGTCTTCCAGGTCGACTGACTCTCCCTTCTTGTTTCTACCGAACCAAACTTTCTGGAAGTCCTTGTTCAGCTTTTCGATGATGTATTCGCGCATCTTCTTCAGTTCGGGGACGCGCTTGGCCTTGTCCAGACTGAAAATCTTCTGGTCCATCTCGTGCCAGAAGATGACACCACGGGTGGCGAGCTTGTGGATTGGCTCACCCATTTCGGAGCGAACAGTGATGACACCTCCAGCAGGGCCCTTGTAGGTCTTCTCCCAGTCACTGTCGTCGAGACCTGGAGCATCAACGATGGCCTGCTTGGCCATCTTGGACGTCTTTGCCTCCTTGGCGGTCATAACGCGGCTACCGAACAAGCAACCGTCGAATGGCATGGGTGGGTAGCCAAACTTGGTCGACCATGATCCAGTAAGGTATGGGTATGTGTCTTCCGCACTACCGAATCCGGAACCTGCGACAAGAACCAGGTTCTCGCATTTGCGCAGGCGGCCGTACATCTGCAGGATAGGCTGGTGGAAGTCTTCGAAGGAGTGATGACCACCACCACGACCACCTGTCCATTGAAGCAAGACGGGGAAGGTAGGGTTTGCTTTCGCGATGTTGATGGTCTGCTGGATAGCCTCGACAGAACCCGGCTTGAAGGCAATGTGCTTGATGCCTAGGGTCTCGATGTACTCAGTGGCGACCTCAATGGATGGCACACCGGCACCGATAGTAAGACCCTCGATCGGTACACCTTCAGCCCTGAGCTTGGCCAAGAGCGGGATCTGCCAGCCCATGGCACGCGGGTTGATGTAGATCAAGTTGATGCTGATACCGCGACCGGCAGGGATAGCCTTCTCGACCTTGTTGATGGCAGCAGTCATAGTCTTTTCGTTGTAGTAACCACCACCAGCAAGTTCAATCTCGTAACCGGCGTTCATTGTCGCTGCGACAAAGTCCCATGGCACAGTGCAAGGTGTCATACCAGCGACCATAATCGGGGGCAAACCGAGCACGCGGCTCATCTTGGTGTCGACATAGGTCTGGCCAGTTGATGTTTTGACGAGACGAGGACCGTGCTCCTTGACCCAGTCGACAGCGTACTTGACGGCATGGTCGAAGTCACGATCAAAGATCTCAGGCTTGTAGCCAACTTCGGCGTTTTGGCCATCGATAGCACCCGCGAGGATGACACGAACACCAGTACCGTCCTTGTTACGGTTTGTGAGTACGCCAAGACCGGAGATACCGCCCGGGCCGAAATCAAGGATGTGAGTGGCCTTGGGGAATACGGTTGCCTTCTCCCACTCGACCGAGTCGGCAGTGATCATGCTAACAAGGCGAGGAACAATGTTGTCGGTCTCGTTTTCGCGAATGTCTTGGCCTGTATGTGTGTCATACATGGGAATGCCAAGATCCGCGGTGGAGATCTTGATCGCCTTGAGATCATCTTCGAGCTGCTTGGTCGCATCTACCAAGTACGGGCTATGGAAGGGCGCAGTGATGGGCAGGAAGCGGTTGACAAAGCGCACTTTGCGCTCGGTGAAGGGTATCCTGGTTTGGTCTAGGCCAGTCGGAGCCTTGACCTTGCGCAGGCGGAGGTTGAGACCATACAGAGAGATTGGTGGACCTGTAACTACAAAGTTACGCGCGCTGTTGACCAGCGAGATGGCGATGTGTCGGTCTTGGGGTAGATGGGCATTGGTTGCGTCAATGTGATCCTGGACTGCCTTTCTTGAGAGGTCACGGATAGAAAGCATAGGCGTTGGCACGCCCTCGCCATTGTCGTCTGAGTCTTGCAAGACAGTGGGCGCCAGCGAGGTCCTAGGGAAGGCTTGCTGACTTCGCGCACCGATCCAGAAAAGAATCTCAATGGCTTTCTTGGCAGATCGCTCAAAGGTCTCCCAGTTCTTAGATTCAGCAATAGCGGCGGCTGTGACAACACCCTGGGAGTGACCGGTCACACCGGACAAGCGACTGCGTACATGTCCGGGATGGCTACCGAGGACTCTGCAGGTTACGACGTAGTGTGCGAGCTGAGTCAACCCAATCAAGGGCAAACTGACGGGTGCCGATACCAGGTAGTCGGTATCGGGTTGCGAGTCTCGGTTGTTGAGCCATCGCATAACATCGAGACCCTTGGAGTAGAGTTTCTCAGCGCGCGGGTCGCGCGACAGAACGAGGAGGTGTTGCGCCTCGGCAGCAACAAAGTCCTCTACGAATGAGGGGTAGGTAGTGTAGATCTCGCGGAGTTCATCGAAGTACTCCTCGATGTTGCCTTGGCCACCCAAAACAGCATATATGAAGGCATTCTCGTCGGAAGCTTCGCGGAACAGAGCCGATTCATGGTGCTTGATAGGTCTCTCTACTGCGGCACGGGCAGCGTAGTATGACCGCACTGTAACCAGCTTCTTCTCGGTGATGCCAGGCAGAGATGCAGCGAGCGCGTGCACCTCGTTGCCTCGGAGGAAGGCACGCTCGAATTCGGTAAGAACGAGCTTGAGCACCTCCTCGAAAGAATCAGGGTCCTCGCCCTCCTCTACCTCTTTCGCGACAAAACCAAGGTATCGTGCCACCAGCTCCGCTACCGACGAAGGCTCATCGTCTAGGGCGAGCTCGTCGGTTGGCTCAGGAAGCGTCGACTTGAACGTGTCCCTCAATTGTTGTGCATTGAAGTGGAGGGCAGTGGGGATGAGGAGCGTGTATTCGAGCGAGCCGTGGGAAAGGATGAGCGGGCGCAGGTTTGCAGCGGAGCGGGGCGTGGAGATGCCCGTCTGCTGGCCGGAACCGTACATTGTGTGAGTGCGATTATCGGTGTCCTGTGCAATGGCAATGGTAAGCCGGGCGTTCAGAGGATTTGGAGGTGAGTGAGGAGCAGCGGAAGGCGCATACCTTGGACAGATTATAGGTGTGGAAGGAACGACAAGGGCGGGAAGGAGCGTCTGGATAGTGTGAGCTCTCGTCTGGTGTTTCGCTATGGTGGGGGAGGCGCCATCCAGGCAATGCAACGAGCAAGAGCCGTCTGGAGAGAACAAGTGTCCCCAAGCTCTCGCAACAATCACTCAATGCGTACCTCTTCACTCAGACAGAAGCTAATCTGGCTGACGTGCTCGGGATCTGGCCCGTCGTAGTACTAATCGTATAGCAGCTCCCTTGCTATGTGCGGTGCGGTGTGCGAGGGGCGTAGAGAGAAAGACCGCAGGCAACAGGATTACAAAGGGCCCCAGGGTATAAGAAAGTAATCAGAGGGGACTGCTAGTGCAATTGGGCGGGGAGGAGGTGAGGAATGAGTCGGAAGCGGTGCGCTGGCGTGGTTATGTTCGCGCCGAGTTGGTCGACTTTTTCGACGAGGAGCTCAGATTTGGCCCGCATATCATGGGTCACTAGCGTCGGCAGGGGTCTGCGGTATGTTCCTACACAAATGCTGGGGCAGAGCACTCAACAACTCGGATGCAGATGCGCTTATCCGTACCCACGCAGCTGTTGAGGACACGGTGGACCAGGCCAGCATCCTCCAATTGCGTTACTCATCATCTCGCAAGTCCAACCAGAATCACATCACGTCTAGGTGGCTGCCTTTGCACCGCTCGCAAGCCCACCTCTTCCAGGCGAGATTAGTTCGTTGAGCACCGGCCAAAGCAGTAACGAGCTGCAGTCGCAGGGGTCTGGAATTTTAGTACCGCCAGCCCGCGGCGGGAGAATTCCTCAACGCCCTGCCATATCACCGCAAGCCGTTGTCCTGTCCAACAAGAGATAAACAGCCAATGCGTTGCGTCTCTTCTTCCTGCAACTCCCGTTGACCACTCACTCCACTTCCCTTGAGAAAAAAAAACCAAGTCGTTCGCGGGGGAGACAACGCACCCCTCCCGGACCCTTGAATCGCTCGAGTGCTCTCACCGCACTATACACTACCCACCCACCTAATAGCGCGTCTTCTTCCTGGCACTTCCTCCCTCCTTAGACCCACGATACCCTTCTTCTATTTTGTAATAGAGATACCCATTGAGCTCCGTCGAGCCTCAACCCACCCTCCTTTCCGCCAATTGCTCCCTCCGTTACCTCATCATGCGTCCCGAGGTCGAGCAGGAGCTCTCGCACACGCTGCTCATTGAGCTGCTCGCATACCAATTTGCCTCGCCCGTGAGGTGGATTGAGACGCAGGATGTTGTCCTCGGCGAGAAGACGACGGAGCGCATCGTCGAAATCGGCCCCGCAGACACGCTCGGTGTCATGGCGAAGCGCACACTCGCCAGCAAATACGAAGGACACGATGCGGCGCGGTCGCTGCAGCGTCAAATTCTGTGCTACAACAAGGACGCCAAAGACATCTACTACGATGTAGACCCAATAGAGGAGGAACCAGAGGCTCCAGCGGCGAGCAGCGGGGGTGCTTCATCAGCGCCCGCCTCTGCACCTTCCGCTTCAGCGCCCGCTGCTGTTGCAGCACCACCTCCACCAAGTGCTGGACCTGCAGCCCAGGTGCCAGATGCGCCAGTCACAGCCACGGACATTGTCCGGACACTGGTGGCCCAGAAGCTCAAGAAACCGCTCGTGGACATCCCGCTGAGCAAGGCCATCAAGGATTTAGTCGGAGGTAAGTCAGTTGCATAGACACAGCAAAAACCGTAATTAACAACTCTCCAGGCAAGTCTACCCTACAAAACGAGATCCTCGGAGACCTGGGCAAGGAGTTTGGCTCAACTCCCGAGAAGCCCGAAGATACCCCTCTCGACGAGCTCGGTGCTGCGATGCAGGCTACATTCAACGGTCAGCTTGGAAAGCAGTCCTCTTCTCTCATTGCCCGCATGGTGTCAGCCAAGATGCCTGGTGGCTTCAACATCACAGCTGTGCGAAAGCACCTCGAGACAAGATGGGGACTGGCGCAGGGACGACAAGACGGAGTTTTGCTGCTAGCCATCACCAACGAGCCAGCTGCACGTCTCGGCTCAGAAGCCGACGGCAAGGCTTTCTTGGACGAGCAGGCAAACAAGTACGCAGGCATTGCCGGGATCAGCTTGTCTGCCCCTACAGCCGGCGGCGACGCTGGTGGTTCGGGTGGTGGCATGATGATGGACCCTGCGGCCATTGACGCGCTTACCAAGGACCAACGCGCACTCTTCAAGCAGCAGCTTGAGCTTTTCGCCCGATACCTCAAGATCGATCTTCGTGCGGGTGACAAGTCCTTCGTCGACTCGCAAAAGGCGCAGTCTACGCTCCAGGCTCAGCTTGATCTCTGGACCACCGAGCACGGCGAGTTCTACGCCTCCGGTATCGAGCCTCAATTCACACCACTAAAGGCTCGTGTCTACGACTCATCATGGAACTGGGCACGTCAAGATGCTCTTACCATGTACTACGACATCATCTTCGGCAAGCTCAAGGCGGTCGATCGTGAGATTGTCAGCCGTTGCATCGCCATCATGAATCGCTCAAACCCTCTCCTTCTCGACTTCATGCAATACCACATGGACCACTGCCCCACTGAGCGCGGTGAGACATACGAGCTTGCAAAAGAGCTTGGTCAACAGCTTATCGACAACTGCAAGGAGGTTCTGAACGAGGCTCCAGTCTACAAAGATGTCGCAGTACCCACCGCGCCACACCTGGAGATTGATGCCAAGGGCAACATGAACTACGAGGAAGCCCCAAGAGCGAGCGTTCGCAAGCTTGAGCACTACGTGCGCGAGATGGCTGAGGGTGGAAAGCTGTCCGAGTACGGCAACCGCACCAAGGTTCAGAATGACCTGCAAAGAATCTACAAGCTCATCAAGCAGCAACACAAGCTTTCCAAGTCATCACAACTCCAAATCAAGAGCCTCTACAGCAATGTCATTCGTTCGTTGTCAATGAACGAGGGTCAGATCATGCCCCACGACAACGTCAAGGCTATTGGAGGCAAGAGGGGCCGTAATGGTCGCGTCAATGCCTCTGCCAAGCAAGGCAAGGTTGAGACGATTCCTTTCTTGCATCTGAAGAGGAAGGACGACCATGGCTGGGAGTACAGCAAGAAGCTCACTGGCGTCTACCTAGACTGCTTGGAGGAGGCTGCTAAGTCCGGTGTCACTTTCCAGGGCAAGTATGCTCTTATGACGGGCGCTGGTGCTGGCTCCATCGGCGCGCAAGTCCTTCAAGGTCTTATCAGCGGTGGTGCCAAGGTCGTTGTCACAACTTCCAGGTTCTCCCGCGAAGTCACCGAGTACTACCAGTCCATGTACTCGCGGTACGGTGCTCGGGGCTCTCAACTCATTGTTGTACCCTTCAATCAGGGTAGCAACCAGGATGTTGAGGCTCTAGTTGACTACATCTTCGACACCAAGAAGGGTCTTGGTTGGGATCTCGATCTCATCGTTCCCTTTGCCGCCATTCCGGAGAACGGTCGCGAGATTGACAGCATCGACTCCAAGTCGGAGCTTGCTCACCGTATCATGTTGACCAACCTTCTGCGCATGCTTGGAGCTGTCAAGAAGCAAAAGCAGACCTACGGTTACGAGACGCGCCCAGCACAAGTCATCCTGCCATTGTCCCCTAACCACGGAACCTTTGGTAACGATGGTCTCTACTCAGAGTCTAAGATGTCACTCGAGACTCTCTTCTCAAGGTGGCACTCGGAGAGCTGGGGTAACTACCTCACCATCTGCGGTGCTGTTATTGGTTGGACTCGTGGTACTGGTCTGATGGGTGCCAACAACATTGTTGCTGAGGGCATTGAGAAGTACGGTGTGCGTACTTTCTCCCAGCAAGAGATGGCCTTCAATTTGCTTGGTCTTATGGCACCACCGATTGTCGACCTCTGCCAGGTCGAGCCTGTGTGGGCAGATCTCAACGGTGGCTTCCAGTACATCCCCAACCTGAAAGATCTCATGACCGATCTGCGCAAGGAACTCACTGAGACGAGTGATATCCGCAGAGCTGTCATCAAGGAGAATGCCATTGAGAACAAGGTTGTCAACGGCGAGGCCAGCGAAGCCCTGTACAAGAAGGCCACGGTCGAACCCCGAGCAAACATGAAGTTCAACTTCCCTAAGCTACCCGACTGGGACACTGAGGTCAAGCCTCTCAACGACAACCTGAAGGGTATGGTTGATCTTGAGAAGGTCGTCGTCGTCACTGGTTTTGCTGAGGTTGGACCCTGGGGTAACTCCAGGACACGCTGGGAGATGGAAGCATATGGCGAGTTCTCCCTTGAGGGATGTGTTGAGATGGCATGGATCATGGGTCTCATCAAGAACCACAACGGTCCACTCAAAGGAAAGAGCTACTCCGGATGGGTCGATGCCAAGACTAACGAGCCGATTGATGACAAGGATGTCAAGCCCAAGTACGAGAAGTGTATCCTTGAGCACGCTGGTATTCGTCTCATCGAGCCCGAACTCTTCAACGGCTACGATCCCAAGAAGAAGCAACTCATGCAGGAGATCCAGATCGAGGAGGACCTCGATCCATTCGAGGCTTCCAAGGAGACTGCCGAGGAGTTCAAGCTGGAGCATGGCGACAAGGTCGAGATCTTCGCGATCGAGGGCTCTGCCGAGTACACTGTTCGTATGAAGAAGGGTGCTACACTCCTCCTTCCCAAAGCTCTGCGCTTCGATCGTCTCGTTGCTGGCCAAGTCCCTACTGGCTGGGACGCCAAGAAGTACGGTGTGCCCGATGATATCATCTCTCAGGTCGACCCTGTAACACTCTTTGTACTCGTCTCTACTGCGGAGTGTCTGCTTGCCAGTGGTATCACTGATCCCTACGAGTTTTACAAGTATGTCCACATTTCTCAGGTCGGTAACTGCGTCGGTTCCGGTAT